GTGAAAGATGGCTAAAACTGCTCACTTTACTTTGGAAGAGAAAAGTCGATAAAATAGGCTGTGATCCTTATACAGTTTCCTCTGAACTCCTGCTCCCACTTAAACTGGCGGAAAGCTACCAAATTAGTGTTTTCCTGTTATTTATATTTATCTCATACACAACTCCTCTCCCTATTCTGGAGAGTCTCTCAAAGCATTTAAAAGCACAGAAGCCCACCGGCTCTTCGTGTCAGGGTGGGTAAAGGATCCCATGGTGTTGCATAAAGAGGACAAAAATTCTGTCATCATAGGAGAGTAAGGCCCCATCAGCTAATTAACACAGATGTGAACAGTGCTAGCCTTTAGGTAACTTGGCAGAAAATGGCAGAGAACGTAGTTTTTCTCCCACATAAATACCAGGAGCCTTATTTCGAATTCATAGTAGAAACATCAGACTATAGATAATAGGGGAAAATCATGAAAATGAGCAGACAGGAGCTTTAAATGCAGTTTGAAAATGTAAATTGCATTTTGGCAGCTGGGGAAGTGCTTTCAGTCGCTGTGCATGTTGCTCCATAGACAGCAATGACAAGAAGTGCCCTTCATAAAGGTTGAAAAGGCGTCGTCTGAATGCTCCCTAAGGGAACTGTCAGTGGTTTAAGACAGGTTTGTTTCCATCTGTACCTTTTCTAAGATAAAACAACGCATGCGCAGTTTGACCCATCACTTCACTTTACATCAGGATTAGTCAGAGAGCTGATGTCAGCTGTGTATGTGCGTGCGTGTGTGTGCGCACACCTGTCTGTATGACTCTCACAGGCTCAGGTTTTCATCTCAAGTGCCTGTTTATACAGTGTTGCATCAATTTTTAGTGCTGCGTGTCTTTAAGTATTACGTAGTTTTCACTCAGTATCCTTAGACCTGTTCTCCCATCTAACAGATTAGGGCTCTTTTTGTCAGCCCTAATTTCTGTTAGTGTCTGATTAAATCAGGCCAGACTCTCCTCCTGGCTTCCCTGAAAACACGCAAACACACACACAGCCCTGTCAGTCAGGGTTAGAGGTCATCTCTCATAATGCTTTGCAGCGAGGGAGTTTAGGCAGGCATGTTGCACTCCTTTAGGGTCATGGAATGTGCTAATCTGTGCAAATGCCAAGAATCCCTTCAACTGTTGGATATTTTGATTAATGAATGATCTATTAAATATTGTCTTGAATATTTATATTCTGTAAGAATAAGAAAAGCTCAAGGCGCGTTTTACTTTAATTACTGAACGGGGAGGAAAACCTTTTTATTCTTCTCGTTTTTTTGTTTGTTTTAGTTTATTGGTGCAGAAATTCTCTTTGTTTTGCTTATTTTAAAATGTAATTGAAAAGCTACAACATGAAAAACGTCACTGATTCCATAGCAAACGTTAAAATGCTGTATTGGAGATCCTGCTCAATCTGGCAACACTGATTAGGTTGCTGGCTCTGTTTGAGGAAAGCACAGAAAATTGTCTTTTTAACCATCATCTTAAAATAAAAACAACTTTATGGTTAACTCTTGTCAGTGACTGTCAGTGAATGGGGGAGTGATGAACTCGGACGCCTTGTCTTGACTGCCCAATGTTGTCTGAATAGTTTTCCTACAGCTAGCTAGCCTGCTCTCGTTTATTATCGAAAACAAAAACAAAAGCAAATGAAAACGGTGCGTGTGTGTGTGTGTGTGTGTGTGTGTGTGTGTATATGTATGTATGTATGTATGTATGTATGTATATATATATATATATATATATATATATATATATATATATATATATATATAGATAGATAGATAGATAGATAGATAGATAGATTTAGACCACCAGTCTGTGAGGGTGTCCATCCGTCCTTCTGCTAATGCTGATAGCTTGTAGCATTAACAGCTAATTCAAAGTGCTGACCACTATAAATAACTCTATTATGTGGACCAGCCATTCCTGCCATTCAGCAGAGCTGGACATACCGGGGGGTGATGGGAGTGGGGGGATTGAATATTTGTGTGTGTGTGTGTGTGTGTGTGTGTGTGTGTGTCTGTCTGTCTCTGTGTACGCTTAGATGAGTTGATGTTCCACTGTGGTTAATTTCTATGGAAACCAGTGGAGAAGTTGTGTCCTTTCCTAAATAATGAGAAGAGACGGCTAGAGAGAGTGAACAACAGACCAGAGGAAGAGGGAGGAGTGTGAAGGATGGAAAAGGAAGGAAACAGTTGGAAGGACACGAGCAGTGAACTCTAATGGCTCCTTGAATGTCCAGCTGTGTGCGTGCATACACAAACACACAAGCGCACACACAAAGAGGATGATCATGTGAGTGTATGTCTATGGGGAGCTTGTTCCATTATCCTCTCAGAGCTCCTGTGGGACGGAGTGCTGCTCTGAATATCTGCCTGGCCTGCATGCGCAGATATTCATCGTCTGAGAGTTCAGATTCTCCAAGCCTGCTTCTTGCTCGTTGGCCTGAATACCATTAAAGCCTTGGGTTCACTACACGACACGAAAGTCTGAACAGATTATAAAACACTGGGTATCTAACCCAGATTTTTTTGGGTGACTGAAATATTGGGGATTACACACTACTCAACTTTTCAGCTGCTGCCGAACCAAACGGAGCTCATTGAACTCGCACAAACTCTCACGTTCTCCTGTTACTTGGAGAACCAGATAAACAAATATGGAGCTGCTGCTGCTGTTTTCTCTGCCGTTTGCACTGATGCAGTAAAGAAGCAGCAGGTAAACATGTTTAAATGAGGCTCTTGGATTTAAAAATGTGATCAGTTGGTATTTTTTAGAGTTTTGAATGTACATAAACTCGATTGTGCCTTAAACTCAGCTCATTAAAAAGCTTCACTCCACACATGAGACTTTTCGCCATTTTTCTTTGTTTACTTGCTGTATTTTCTTCTTTCATGCTCTCGGTTTTCATTGGCTCTTGCAGGTGTCTGTTCAGATTGAGTCATTGATCCGTTTACACTAGTTTACACTCAGAGTTGGGTCGAAAAAATCGAACGTTTGATAAACTGACTGGTCTGAAATGCGTCTGTACCCCTCACACACGACTCGTTTCTCTCCAACTGTCGACTCCGACTACCCCAAAAATCTGCAGACCAGAGCCCGACCAGCACAAACTCGGCCAGACTGAGAATCGGGATTAAATCGGGGTTAAAGTCGTGTAGCATACCCCCAGTTCAAGCCTTGATTGGGCTTGAAATGTTGGTCTGAACCTTAATGTAGGTCTGATAACATTCTGCCTCATCCTTAGCTCTGTTCTGCCCTTTGCTGCTGGTCTCAAACATAGTATTTTGCTGTGGAACAAAGGCAGTCTGCTGTTGCAGGCTTGCTTAGTTTTCAACATTACACTCCACCTGCTGGGTGGGTTTTACAGGCTGCTTCATCCTTCTTTGTCCTGCTCAACAGTTATGTTAAAATTTTTTTGTCAAACAAAGTGCAAAGAGTGAAAATAGAAACCATTACAACCAGGTAACATTGCATGGTGTGTGCTAAGCAGCGGCCAACGGTGGACTAATTTCACCTGCAGTATAAAAGGCTACACCGATTAACGTAGGAGCGACTGTGATGGTGCAGTTACAGCTTTTTGACAAAATGCACATTTTGTTGAATTTATAATAGTAATTTAAGCTGTTCCAGCTGATGTTTAACTTGTCTCAGGGACAGGGGTGTTTGTGGTTCTGTTGTTGAGCCCATTACAGTATCCACAGTATGGCACAATTATCATTCTTAGACATTACCGGCATTCATACAGGTGTTCAGTTACATACCTCCCAACCCAATTTCAGACAAATATATTAAGTTCTACGATACCAGACTCACATCACAGCACTGAAATCCACCAGGGGCCTTTCACAACAAGAGCCTGACTTCAGGACTGCAGTGGAAATAACCGTAGCTTCATGATGTATTGTTATTTACTGAATGGCTACATTGAGGCAGACACTGGGCTTCGTTTGTGTGCTGCTGAATTACTGTTGAAAAAGAGTGCGTGTGTGTGTGTGTGAGAGAGAGAGAGAGAGAGAGAGAGAGAGTAGTATTGTGTGCATATGGAGTGAATAGATTGCATTGTTAACTCTCTGTGCAGATCAAGAAAGGCTCTCTGTATGGGAGTAGCCACTGCCATATGTTATAATAGACTCTGTCAAATCATGGGCATTGCCCACTGCCTCTAAGCACATGCATGTCTTTAAAAGGACACTGGTATAACTATCGGCTTGTTTGCTTGCATTTTTGTTTTTTAGTACATAGAACTGCTTTCAGACAGTAAAAACTTTCTAAATTGATTACAGTAAGTAGACTACAAGACTACAGTATATGCTATGAAATCCAACATACTTGTCAACAGAGAATGGTTGGTCATCCAAGGTAGTGCCTGTACTTTGCTTCCTTTGCACTTTTGCATTGTCACTTTAAATTTATTCAGAGTTTAAATCTGTGGCTACAGATTGTATTGGCATGCTAGCAGTGACTTACTGCTTTTTGTGTTTTGCCGTATTCTTGATATTGTGCGGGGTCTTAAACCTGTTGAGAAATCAATGAATGTATTACCTCCTCTTGATACTCAGGATGAAAAGAGATTAAAATTGCTTGGCCATCGTTCTGTGTAAAACCTGTGAAATGTTTCCACACAGCTGACTTACCCTGCCTATCTGCTGCTGAAGTAGTCTGAATGCACCTGTGCTGACCAGCGCAAGCGAGCGAAGGAAACAGAGTGCATTTTAAATCACAATTTTTTTTTTCTTTACCGCTTCAAATTATTTGCAGTCTTCGATTTTGACGTCTTCATTGTGGTCCTATTTAGTCTTATAATTTTTTTCAGCCTATGTTTTAGGCGTTTTTCACTTTCGGCCAAAAACTGAAAGTTACATTTCCAGTCAAAACATTGCAGTGTCTAATATTTATATGAAGCCTGATTCACTCTGCATGTTCATCATAGACGTTTCTCTTTGACTTTGTGTCTCTCTTTTTTTTTTTCTCTCTCTATCTGTAGCAAATAAGAGGCGGAGCCTGTATGGCAGTACCTACAGCCCTCAGGTGAGCTACGGAAGCCAGTACAGTCCAAACGCAGCCAACAGTCCATACAGCAGTGGGTTCAACTCCCCCTCCTCCACTCCTTCCAGAGTGCCTATCGTCAAGCAACTAGTGCTGCCTGGCAGTGCAGGTACAAACTCGACCGAACAGTGATCACTTGCTCAGCCCTCTAGCTATAAACAGATTTTTAAACAGTAAAACAGTCACTACTCTTTGAAATTGTGATGTCCTTTAATGATTTTATTATTAATTTAGTATAGTATGATTAATTGCATGTAATTATATTTCATACATTGTTGGAAACTTTATTTTATGTATAAAATAAATATATAAAATTATTTCTTTGTTACTATATTGTTAGGGGGGGAAATGAAGTCAGTGTTTTAGAAATCTCTTTGTGTGCCTGCATATGTGTGTTTGCAGGCCATCAGCGGAGCTCAACGGACAGAAATCCCCCGGCAATAAGCCCCCAGTCGTCAGTGGACAGTGAGCTGAGCACGTCAGAGATGGATGAAGACTCTGTGGGTTCCTCTACCACCTACAAGCTCAATGACGTCACTGATGTGCAGATCCTTGCCCGCATGCAAGAAGAGAGTGAGTGGCTCTCTTGTCTGATTCTTTAGCCTGAGAGTGTTCAGCCATCTGCTGATGGCTTAAGGGGTCTGGCTTTAGTACCACTTCACGTCGTGTTTTTTAAACTAAGGACCTCCTAGTCTTTTATTCCCCCGATTTATTTGTGAGTATTTAATTCTGTATATTGAGTGTCTGTCAATGTCTGATCCAATATTTGTATTTTTATAGATAGCGTAGCGACATTCCTAACATTTTTAACATTAAGATGAATAAAACCAATCCAGTTTAGATAAAATATGCTAGACTATTTTAAACTATTTTAAAAACTGCAGTAAAATGACTGTCAAGACACATAAACCTATAGAGCATGTTGAAAACAACAGATGTTGACCAAATGCTGTACGATTCATTAAAAGAGAAATTACTAAAACAGTAAAAGTATTAAGATTGGGCTCCCAAGTGGTGCAACCGTCTAAGCGTTGGCCCTCTCATCAGGAGATCACGAGTTCGATCCCTGGTGATGCTACAGCCATCCGTAGCTGGGAGTCCAAGAGAGCACACTTGGCCTCGCTCTCTCTGGGTGGATGGGATGGCCCTCCCCTCTCCCCCCATCACTCAACACGATTCTAGTCAGCGCAGGCGTCTGTTAGCTGACTTAACAGATCTGGCGGTCGGCGCTTTCCTCCAAGCGCTGTCCAGTGATGCTGCGTGAGCGGCAGTTCGAAAAGATGCGGTGGTGCTTCACAGGTCTCGGAGGAGGCCTGTGTTAGCCTTCACCCTCCTAGCATTGATAGTATCGTGTGATTGGGGGAGTTCTAACCAGTGGATGGATTTGGAAACGACTAAATTGGGGAGAAATTGGGTAAAAAATTTAATTTAATTAAAAAAAAAAAGTATTAAGATGTTTGTTGTATAAGTTGTTTGACACTCTGAACTACTTTTCTGAAGTAATATACTATTTTTCGTGACACAAACCCGTCACACGGGTCACAAAGCAGCTTTGAATTTGCTAATAGTCTTGTCACTATTTTACATATGGCTGGTTGACCCATGTTTTGGCAAAGCGTTGCTAGTTTAATTGTAGGTGAACTGCAGGCACTGTAGATGTCACATGTGGCTATTGAGCTCTTTTCTTTTTTAAAATAGTTCCACTCTGCAGACAGCCTGTTAACTTCTTAAACTCTGGTGAATGATATGCATTTATGGCACTTCAACATAAATGAGTAAACAGAGTGTGATAAGGTAAAACAATCATAACAAAGGATCAGAATTTGATTAAGCTAAACAGAGCCAATACTGATTCATCAGAAATATGCTTTGGTCAACATTTGAGACATCCTTATTAACAACGTGTTTTTTTGGGATTTCCTTCATTGGTGTGAAAAGGCATAGCTTGTTATCAAGATCTCCTGTTCGGGTCATGCTTATCGCTGTTGGCTGATATCTGTTGTGCTTGTAAACTGAGCAGCTGTGTGTTCTGTGGTCCGCTAATATGGTGGGTATGATTGATTTCTCTGTGGTAGTCTGGTATGGTCTGAAAATAAGGCCCTCATATGATCATTAAACAGCAAATGTCCTGTGTAAAATGTCTCTGAGGGGCTTCAGTGTTTTAAAGCAGTATCTCACACACAAATTAGTCTGCTTACTCTAAACAAAAACTGGGACCAGTATTTGAGACCATTAAAGCTGAAGCTGAGTCAAAATTGAGACCAGAGCAGCATTTTTTCCAGAATATATAAAAAACTACAAATTAATTGTTGATGTTAGGGCTTCTGTAGTGGAGAATTTACACAGCAGTGTTTGACTACCACCACTTTGCATTAGGCTAACTTCATTTAATGATAATTTAATTTAAGCTTCATGTAACATCACTAAACACAAATATTTAAAGCACAAATTTTGTGCCACAAATGGTTTGTCACAGGTCTAAAGTGGAATGTTTTTGCAATGCCTTTTTATTTATTTATTTATTTTAATGTATTTATTTTTTTTACAACATCCACTTGCGAAAGGTTTGAACCGCTTGGGAAGGTATTTTGTGCAAGCTTCTAAAGGCAGGCGTCAAGAAATTAAGCTTGAAACGTAACACCTTAAATAACCAGGACTTGCTGGATGTTTTTGTATTTGATATTTTATTGCACATATCTATAAATTAAGTCTGTCATTCGTGTAGTTACTAAGCCTAATGACCCTGAGGCTGTAATAAGCCTGGGATTTTAAGGGCTTTAAAATGTGGTTTATGCTGTCTATATAGTGTTATATCACAAACCTCCTTCTGTCTTTCTCCAGGCTTGAGACAGGATTATGCTGCCACAGCATCACGCCGCAGCTCAGGCTCCTCCTGCCAGTCCCTGCGGCGGGGAACACTCAGTGACCAGGAGCTGGATGCCCAAAGCCTGGAAGACGAGGAGGAGGCTCTTCACCCTGCACTGTACCACCCACCTGTAACTCGGTTCAGCCCGTCTCCTCGACCCTCACCCCGCGTCTCGCCTCGCCACTCGCCACGCTCACGCTCACCTGCTCGTTCGCTGGAGTACTCCCGTGGCTCGCCGCAGCCAATGATCAGCCGCCTTCAACAGCCCCGCCTCTCCCTGCAGGGCCACGCCCATGAGCCCCACACCAATGCTATCAAAAACGAAGGTAGGCGGTGGCCAGACCTACTTGCTGGAGTGAGCTGATAACATTGAATGGTGGATCATAGAAATAGTGATGCAGCTTGAAAATTGGGGGACAGATTTTAAAGTGTTGCTAGTTTGTGACAATAGATGTGTTCAGCAAATGTTTGTTCTAGAATTGAATTTCTGCTGTTTAAACACAATGTCCAAATGTGCAAAAAAAAGGGTGCGAGGAGAGCGAGAGGGCTACAATCACTAAAGAGTTGGAGCTGTTGTATATATGGACTGTATATATGATAACTTACACTCATTGGTTGGGGCAGGCAGCTCCTGTTCTGACTGTACATTGGTGATGAAAATTGGTAGCTGCGTTCACCGTTTCACCTGCGTTTCAGGTTTATGTGAACCCTGTATTCACATGATGATGAGAATGTTATTAAATGAATTATTGAATGTAATGTATATTCAGATTTCACTCATATAGCTATAACAAGACTCACTGCTTTTTAAATGGAAAACATCTTCAGGGTCCAATTTGAGCAAATAAGACAAATGTGATTAATCAAATCGCAATTCATTGTTGTTTTGAATGTTGGACAATGCTAATATAAACCCTAATATAAAAACATATGTCATTTTGATGGCCCAGCCTCAACCGGTACATTCATATTGCTATGTTAGCGGTGTGAAGATTCAGTTTCAGGTTCGCAATTTGTTATTGTTACTCACAATATTTTAAACAATTTATAAGAAGAAAAACGATTAAAATCATGTTCATGCACAGTTTACTAATGACACTAGAGCTGTGAGGCAGCTGTGAGTGCTGGACTGAGCTGCTGACGGTGCTAAATATTTGCAAACTTTGGTGTTCAAACAGTGAAACTGCATTAGATGGCAAAATTAGTTGAATACCCGTTCTCCATAATGCACATTGCACAGTTTTGCTTTGTGATATAATAATGACACGAAGAAATTATTTTTGTCAGTATGATTGTTATTGCACGTGTATTATTTAGGATAACTTTAGGAGCATGTGTGTAATGTTTCTGCTGTTGGTTATGTATGTAGAGAAATTGCGGCGCAGTCTTCCCAACCTGACGCGCTCCAGCTCAGGCCCTGCTGCTGAACCTGTCAAAAACAGCCGCAGCTGCGAGTCCAACCTACAAGTGCCAAATGGATCCCCTCGACACCAGAGCCAGTCAACCAGTGAGTTTACAAGCACATTCACTCACACAGTCAGATGTTGGATGTTCACAGTTCTATGCAAAAGATTTAACACCTCCAGTCAAATTACATGTGTTTTTGGTTTTGTGCAAATCAAGAAGTGAAAATGTGAAACATCCTCTACAGGGAACACATCTAACTATGGTATTTTTCTTCAAATACTAGTGCAAAATTTCTGTGTATTTGCTGAATTTTTTAACAAATTTGGAAAATAAAAACGTAAAATACAAAATAGGCTATAACTTGCACAGGCCACATATTTTATGTTTCTCCAATGTGTTACACACAGCAATACATAGTAATTGTGCATTAAAACGTGCAGAAGCGTTTTCCCTGTATAGGATGTGATTTACTTATTTTCACTTAGAAAATGAACAAAACATAATTTGCCCAGGGGCACCTTTTGCATATGACTGTATGCATATAGAAACAACATACATCATATTGATCTTGCAAATTATTACTTATGAATTTTGCATTATTTGCTGTCTCAGAAATTATTTAAATGGAAATATCTAATGAAATGACGAGCACTTCTTTCTATCTCTCGCACACTCACTGCATTTTCAGTGCCTTGGCTGTGGTGGAATGGGATTTTATCTTTTTTTTTCTGTTCATCATTTTTGATCACTCATTCTTGGCGTTCACTTTAGTTTAGCTCGAGTCACCTTCCTGGTGAAGATTTTGGAAATGATTCCCAACCAGCAAAAATGTGACTTCAACTTGCTTTTGATTTTGAGCATCCAAAAGTCTCTTTTTGCAATGATCTATAAAAGAATGCGCACCCTAAAATGCTAACGTTGTTAATATTGAATGAATGTTGGGCTGCCGCTGTCGCTTTTATTAGTCATTAAGTGATCTAGTGACTTTTAAATTGAGTAATCATATACAAGCAATTTATTCAGTAAACATTCATTTTTACTTTGTGTACATGAAATTTGTAATTACAAACATATGCATATTCATGAGATCCTGCTGATGTGGGTTTCCTCTTTTTTGATAATGCGCACACAAGCTATTGGAGTGCTAATGGCTCCCCCTTGTGAAGAATGTTCAGACTGCTGAACATGGCTTTATAATGACCTGCGAGTACCATGTTTATCACTCAAGTTGTGAACGTAAATTTTAGTCAGTTCGTTTTTTAAATCATGTAATTGTGACAGAGAAAGCCACTTGCAGTGGACATTCAACAAATGAGATTAGTCATTGTCACTTTTGCATTTTGGGATGATAATTGGTGATAAATAACAAACAACAAAAAAAAAAAACTTCTGATGTGATCAAAACTACTAGAAGCTGGAAGTGTGAAAAGTATTTAGTGAAATTATCTTCTTCAGGTTCTCTGACTGAGTAGATGTTAATAAGCATGCATACCTGCAAGATATGTACAGTATATCACTTCAGAAAACAAGTCGAGGTTGACTCTGAATTATGTGCGTCTCCATGTTTCTCTCCATCTCTTCACGTCTCTTTTTACTCTGTTTCCTGTTTGATTGCATGCCAATGCTTTCTCCATCCCAAATCCCCCTCTCTTGGCTGAGGTAATGGTAGTTTGGCTCTACTATTGGTTCTGGTCTTGGCTTGGTGCTTTCTTTCTGGGTCAGATCATTCCCTTTTCTGCGGCGCCCTCTAGTGGCCACTGATCCCTTGGCTGGGCAATGGTGTGTGCTCTCTAGTCGAGGCATGGCTGGCTCACAGTGACCTTTGCTTCATTGGAAAAAACCCACCCTGGCTGGTTATCCCTCCTTTGACTGTCCCTTTTAACCTTTAGTTATATGCTGATCCTGGATCAGTGTCTCATTGATTGCTGAAGGCCTGTGGGTGGTTCTGAGGTAAACGATGACCTCAGGCCAGTCTGAATCAGACAGTGACGTCTGCTTGTTTCTCAGCAGCGCAGCACCAAAGGCTCTCCGGGCCGGCTCGCGCCTCCCCAAAACCCAAAGAGCGGCTGCAGAGCCCCACTTCTCTACGAGGTAACACACGCAGACAGCCTCAGCCTAGTCTCACTGCTGCACACAGATACTGTAGCCTCACAGCCATGCCAGCACTGCCCCCTACTGGCCATCCATTTTCTTTGCCATGACATATTCAAAAGAGTTATTACTATTCATTTTGCTATGCTGTTCAAATATCATTAAGTAATTACGTATATAATTAAATGGACAGTAATTCAGTTAATTAAATTTTCAGTTCCATTCCATTTACAGTCTATATTGACTGGTTCTTTGATGGCAAAAACATGGCGAAAAATTAAAGGTTTTTTTTTCCCTTTTTGCAAAACAAGACTGTACACACAATGGTAACATAATTATTCATATCATGATAAAATATCTGCAGCTTGTAATACTGGAAGTGACAGCATATGTGATCCCCAGTCATGCTTGAATATAAAAGAAGCATCCAGGAAAGTTCTTGTCCTTTATAAGCAAGGATGGGTTATGAGTCGCCGCTTTGCCAGAAAACGTGTCTGCGAATAATCCAACAGTTTAACATTTCATTGAGCGATTGAAAAAAATTCAGGTATCTCACCCTCCATTAGGGGTGCGGGAAAAACTCGATTCTTAGATGCATCGCGATGCAGACGTGAACGATTCTGAATAGATTCACAAATGTCAAAAATCGATTTTCTAAATATTTCATTTATAACGTAATGTTGAAGTGGAAGTGCGGAAGTGCAGCGCCCGGACAGTCTGTGGCGGCACATAACAAAAACACAACTGGATGAGCGAGAAATCCGACCGACAGCCTCTGCATTAAAGCCAAGTTAGATCAGGAGTCACAACCCAAATGTTAAGAAGAGCCATTTTGCCTTTCAACAAAGTCAAACCACCTTTGGAGCCACAACATTTAATGTCCAGTACGTGTTAATGTCGTAGTATGGGCTAAAAATACAAATGAGAGCGCAGATTTACTTTGCTCTACTTTTAAAGTTTTAGCTTTAGCCGCTTTCCTCCCATCTCCGCCAGAAAACTTTTCTTCAAAAATGTCTCAGCATCCGGCTGTTTTACGAGGCTGAAGTCGTTTCTCATTCGCCAGCTTCTCGTTCTAATTTTCACCTTAAATTCTGCCTTAGGCGCCAAATGTAACTGCTGCACCATTTAAGGTGGAACGGAAAAATTCGAAAGAGAAGCGACTTCATTTTCGCAAGTTTTTTTAAACTCTCGTTGCAGATTTTTTTCCGTTCGCTACAGACCTCGGTGCTGTGTGACCTGCTGTCTGCTCACTGTTCTCGGTCATTCAGAACCAGGGCTTTCGCGCTATGCTGCACACTTTGGAGCTGAGATTCAGCGTCCAGTCTCGAAAATACCCCATCTCTACAACGAGACCAAAACTGAAGTTATAAGATCACTAAAGAAAATGGGAAGGATGGCTGTAACGTGCTGCGTGGACACCCATTACCACTGGATCTTATTTCAGGGCAACAGCGCATTTTATCGCAGATGAGTGGCAGCAGCGTCTCTGAATGAGAGCCTTCTAGTTCACTTGCCACATCACCTCCATTTGATTTATTAATAAAAGATATTTTAGATATTTAAAGCAAAGTATTTGTAATGATCCATAATGCATTTACATTATGGATCATTACAAATACTTTGCTTTAAAACTACCAAGTCCTCAGACAGTGGGAAGATAGAAATCCTGTATAGAGAAAAAAGATGCATCGAGATGCATCGATAATCGTTTTATAATTGCATCGCAGCCCTCTGAATCGTAATCGAATCGAATCGTGAGGTGCCTAAAGATTCCCACCCCTACCCTCCATGGTGCATAATAAAAGTTTCAGGGAATCTGGGGAAATCTGTGTTTGTTTAAGGCAAGGCCAAAAATAACAACTAAATACGCATGACCTTCAACCCCTCAGACGGCACTGCATTAAGAACCAGTATGTTTCTGTGATCTCACCATATGGGCACGAAAATACAGGGTGATTCAAAAAGATTAATCTGATTTCAAAGCGCCATATTTTTACAACCATGAGGCGCCTAGGAACCAATCACATACCAATTGTAAGAAGGGGTCATAGAGTTTCTGACTGTCACTGGAAGATGGCTCCCTTCAGTCTGCAAGGAGATGGAGACCCCTGAGCAGAAAGCGTTTTGTGTTCTCCACTTCAATAAGAGTGAATCCGTCATAACTGTGCAAAGTGATTTTCGTCGGCAGTGAAGCTCCAACAGCTCAGAGCGTTCGGCGTTGGTTCCACGACACTGGATGATCTCCGAAATCACACTGAAAGAGCCGTGAGTGCAGCGACACCCGACATGCTACACTGATGTAGTGGAAATAAGTATTTTTAGTCTGACAAGTCAACCTTTCAGATATTTATGGAAATAGTGGGTGTTGTGTTTTCAGGGCCAAAGCAGGACCATTCATATTCTTATCAGCATAAAGTTCAAAAGCCAGGATCTGTCATAGCATAAGGGTGTATTATTGCCCAGAGCAAGGGTAACTTGCACATCTGTGAAGGCACCATTAATGCTGAAAGATACGTACACATTTTGGAGCAACACATATGCTGTCATGTCAATCACATCTGTTTTGGAATATTCATGCTTTTCTGAATGTGCTACAACAGCATGGCTGTGTAATCGGTGCACAGTTGCTAGAATGTCCTGACTCGTCCAGACCAGTCTCCTTTTGAAACTGAGGATCAGTGTCTTCAGTCCCCAAATGATTATTAACTGTTGTTAAAAGGAAAGGTGATGTAACACAGTGGTGCAGGAGTCAGTTTTGGAATGACAATATATTTACATAAATTAATACATAATGCCCATAAAGTAAAACATCAAATATTGTGCTTTTGTACGGTTTTCTTTTTTTTTCTGTAGAATTGAGGTTTTTACTTTTACCAATTTGACAGTTTTATGTGAGTTGAAGGCCCTAAAAAAAGTCTTTTCTGGAAGGAGGCAATTGTTTATGATGACTAATGTGGAAAAAACGTTTCATATTTTAAACTGAAAACGAAGAGAGAAGGACCTCTTTTTCCTGGACACTGTAGGATCATTTTCTATGTAATTTTGTGGTTCTATTAAAAAGAGCTGTCTGAGGAATTCTGCTATGTGATGAGGGAACGGTTTTTGTTGTAGATACAGTTTGCCATGTTGCTGAGAGATACTTTCTTATACACTTTGAAAATTGAGATTTTGTGAAAAATGTAGTAAACCTTGAAGTCGTGGACGTGTCTATGAGTGATGCTACTTTGGTTTGAGAAGGTCGCGTGTGGGGTTATGAGCCTGATCACACCACTGTTGAGATGATCCTTATCTTTCACGCTGGCCTGTTTGTGTGAAACATTATTCTATTTCAGTTTTCCTGCATAAGCCGCTTAAACGTTTATGCTAAGTAAGGCGTTCAGAAACCCCAGCTGTTCCAAACAACCTGAGAGTCTCACTACCTGAAAGAGAAGTTTAAGGTGAAGCACAGTCAGATATTTTCACCCATATCTCTTCCATTAATAACCATTTTTGTCCTGTTTCATCTCATGCCTTTATGTACAGTGGTACTGTCAGTGGCTTAACACATAAAACTTTTTTTTTTTCATGAGAAAATTAGACATGCACTTCATTTACTTCATTATTTTGATTTTCACTGATCTGTGCTGCAATTTTGTAATGATTTAAATAATGTGAATCAGGTAAGTGTACACGCACAGTATTTGAATGCTGTTGCTACACCTATATCAAAGTGTCATAGCATAATCATGCCTGAACCAAAGTGCTGAAAAGCCAGTTGCCTCTTATGTTTGTTGTAGCACTTTTTTGTTTGCTTTAATGTTTTATACATCGATCGGCCATAACATTAAAACTACGTTCTTGTTTCTACACTCATTGTCCATTTTATCAGCTCCACTTACTATATAGGTGCACTTTGTCGTTCTACAATTAAATAATATGACTGCAGTTAATCTGTTTCTTTGCATGTTTGGTCAGCCCCCTTTTACCCTGTTCTTCAGTGGTCAGGACCCCCACAGGATCACCACAGAGCAGGTATTATTTGGGTGGTGGATCATTCTCAGCACTGCAGTAACACTGATGTGGTGGTGGTGTGTTAGTGTGTGTTGAGCTGGTGTGAGTGGATCAGACACAGCAGTGCTGCTGGAGTTTTTAAACATTGTCCACTCTACTGGACACTGCTACTTTGTTGGTCCACCTTGTAGATGTAAAGTCAGAGACAGTATCTCATCTGATCCACCATCCATATAATACCTGCTCTGGGGGGTCCTGACCACTGAAGAACAGGGTAAAAGGGGGCTAACAAAGTATGCAGAGAAACAGATGGACTACAGTCTGTAACTGTAGAACTACAAAGTGCACCTATATAGTAAGCGGAGCTGATAAAATGGACGATGAGCGTAGAAACAAGGAGGTGGTTTTAATGGCATGGCTGATGGGTGTACATTGACATCTGTTTCTTTTCGTTTTAGAGCCTAAAATGCCAGTCTAGCTCATTAAAGAGCAAATGTTATGTATATTGTGACTTTGGCTGATAAAAAGTACTGGAAATATGCAAGTGTGGTTCATAAGTTCATGTTGCCCACACGGTGTGAGCTTCAGGTTTACTGTAATGGAATCATCAATAAAAATTCATGAGCATCCTTAGAAAAAGTTATGTAGTACAGTTAGGTAGTGTGCAGTCTCAGAAGTAATATTCACAGTATTTGATAATCTACATCCACGCCTGCCCCTGTTCCATTAGACTAACATTGTCATGTATGAATACACGTTACTGTCACAGAGCATGAGCGCATATGATAAATGTCCATGAATGCATTTGAACCCAAGAATGTCCTGTTTCTATCTTTAGTTCATCTCTCGTGTTGCTTTGGAGAGGAGGGAGAGTTCAGTGAGTATTCACTGAGGATCCAGTTTTCCATTTTGCAGTATTTTATTGTGTGTGTGTGTGTGTGTGTGTGTGTGTGTGTGTGTGGTTGGTCTGACTGCTTGTTTTGTGGTATGAATCTTACTTTCCATTTTGCCACTAGAGGGAGTTGGAGCTGTGTGCTCCACTCTGTTAGAATACTGGGAAATATATGCTAGGAAGATGTGCAGATTAAGATCACCACAACCCATCTGTTTGTTATTTGCATCCCTTGTTTGTTGATTCCTTGTGGGGTTTTCTTTATTTATTTATTCATTTATTTAGAAAGTTGTTCTTGTATACACTGGTGTGGTGCTTGAATCTGTAAACGTGAACTGTTCTTTACACATGGACAGTTATGTTCCACTGTGGTGATGGAGAACATGTGGTTCCTGTGGTTCTTGTGATTCAGTATTCATGTCCATCCAGTGTCCATCAGGTTGGGTTTAGGCTGGGTTACAGCTGATCAGTCTGAGATGTTTTTGTTTGTTTGTTGTTTGTTTTTTTTTATTTTATCAGTTTTGGCTGATGTTTCGTATGTTTTCCTACAGGTGTGCGTGAGTGCTGGATGGCTTTTTATTCTGTTCAGAATCCACATTGTTATTTCTCTGCCCTCTGTTTTTTGTACTTACTTTCTATTATTTCTTTTTGCTTGCATGTTTTTTGTGTTTGTCTTCCTCTGCCTGTCTCTTAATCTATACTTTTTTTCTGTCTTCTCTTCCTCAGTCCCTTCTAGTACTAAGTTGCGGACTCCCGCAGCCCCCTCACCCCTGGCCCTGCGGCAGCCTGTGAAGGTCGTGTCTAATCCTGCTTCAGGCACGGCCACGCCCACCCGCTCCCTAGCCCCGCCCCGCAGTGCTCTGCCCCGCCCCAGCGGCTCTGCTGGTGGGGGTTTACCTGTGCCTCGCAGCAAACTGGTCCAGCCTGTGCGCAGGTATACATAGTCAGTCAGTCAGTCAGTCAGTCAGTCTCTCTCTCTCTCTCTCTCTCTCTCTCTCTCTCTCTCTCTCTCTCTCTCTCTCTCTCTCTCTCTCTCACACACTAAGTAAAAGGTCCATAAGTATGTGCATGTGAGGAATTTCAGTGCTTTTGACCAGTGCTAGTCGGGCCATGGTTATCTAATCAAAAGTTATTTTGAATAATTATTTTTTAAAATCTATTTTAAAAGTGTCTTTTTCCATCAAAAACAATGGAACCCAAAAGTTAAATGGATTTGGTAAGACAAGGTTACACACCCTTTTACATGTGGTAAACCAGAGAGCCAGAAGCTTTGTCCTCAAGTTAGCTTAGTTCAGCGGTTTCTGAATGTTTTACCATGTTTATGATGTGATGATAACACACCAGATGTACTGAATAATACTGAATAAATAATGTTATTGATGCTTGTAAGGCCTGTAGGGTAAGTGTGGTTCACTCTAGAGTGTGGGTCAGAGCACAGGGATGAGGAAGACTCTTGATTTGTAATCACAAAGGCAATAGTCAAAATGAAGGCACGTATACATCTTTGAGAGCCTGTGGCTGAAAAATGAACAAAATATTCACTAAACGTTCATCCGTTTAGTATTCAACAGCACTATAACTCGTAGAATCTCTACCAACATGTAACAAAAATCACAGCAGACTATAAACCGTTAATTCACTACATCCACAAACTAAGCCACATCTAACAACTCAGCAAGGTGTTTATATGCATTAAAGACAGTTAATAAAAGCTTCACTTCATTCAGATGATAAACTAATGAATGATCACAGCTATTAATAATTTCTCACAGAAGTGGCTGGAGTGAAACACTGCTTTCTCCAGCGCAGGCTGTTTGTACAAATAATAAATGAAGAGCAACATACCTTACAAATATCACACTCACTCATGCATACGCGGCATGTGTAAAAGTATACAGTGCTATCCAGAAAGGAAAATTAAATAAAGTGTAGCTGTCCTTTAGAAACCACTGGCCTAGTTGGTAAATGAAATGTTATTTAGGCCTTAAGTTTAAGTTTTATTTAGAATTTATACAAATTTTTTTCTCAGTATCAGATGAAAATGTTCATAAAAGCGTTGGTGGATCATTCTCAGCCCTGCAGTAACACTGACATGGGGGTAGTATGTTATTGTGTGTTGTGCTGGTACGAGTGGATCAGACACAGCAGTGCTGCTGGAGTTTTTAAACACTATGTCCACTCACTGTCCACTCTATTAGACACTCCTACCTTGTCAGTCCACCTTATAGATGCAAAAAGTCTGAGACGGTAGCTCATCTGCTGCTGCACAGTTTGTGTTGGTCATCCTCTAGTCCTTCATCAGTGGTCACGGGACGCTGCCCACAAGACGCTGTTGGCTGGATATTTTTGGTTGGTGGACTATTCTCAGTCCAGCAGTGACACTGAGGTTTTTAAAAGCTCCAGCAGCACTGCTGTGTCTGATCTACTCGCATAGCACAACACACACCACCACCACGTCAGTGTCACTGCAGGGCTGAGAATGATCCACCACCCAAATAGTACTTGCTCTGTGAGGGTCCATGGGGGTCCTGACCACTGAAGAACAGGGTAAAAAGGGGCTAACAAAGTATGCAGAGAAACAGATGGACTACAGTCTGTAACTGTAGAACTACAAAGTGCACCTATATAGTAAGTGGAGCTGATAAAATGGATAATGAGTGTAGAAACAAGGTGGCGGTCATAATGTTATGCCTGATCAGTGTATGTATGTACATAGACTTATTCCCTGCTAAATTATTTCAGATGTGGACTTCAAGTCCCACTGTCCTCATTCTGCTGTGTTTGTGTTTCTGCTCTACAGGTCTCTACCAGCTCCCCGCACATACAGTGGCATCAGAGACGAGAGCTGGAGAGAGGGCTGTTACTGAGCAGTAAGCTCAGAAACCTGCAGCACAGAGGCGGACCATCCAACCTGGCACTTTACCAACCTCCATTTTTAGATCAAGCAAAACACACAAGTGAGACACTCTTAGCATCCCCATTCAATAAACATTGTTAGGAAATTCTCGTCCCAGTAGGATGATATCACGGCTAGCTGGAGACCTGAGAATGCCAAAGAAACCAACTGCCACCAGGGGGCACTCTCACCAACCAAACAGAGCCAATACAGAGAACAGATCAAACCCAGTGCTGTTTGCCTGAATGCCTATTCTCTCTCTCATGAACTTGTGTTCTGACACTTTATTGTTCCTCTCTGCTTCTGCACCCTGAAAAGGAGACCCTTGACTATCCTTACATGCATTTTCTCTGTAACGGGCCTGTTGCAATCCTGTGAGAGTGGAATAGTCTTTTAAAGTTATACAGTGGTTGTCCATAATGCTTTGCTTGCTGGACACCCTTCAAACAGTGGCTGTATGGACTGAACCCATGACAGTGTCTTTCTCCCAGAATGTCTTGTCATATCTATGTGACAATTATTTATTTAGAAATCATTATTTAAAAATAATTTTTTCCAAAGTAAATTCATACTCAGTATTTTTTTTCTTTATGTTCTGAATGTTAATGTTTGAACCTCAACTATAAAGCTAAGTTTCCAAAGCATTTATCAGTGGATTTATGACAAAGTGGCTGGATATGTTCAGAGTTTGAGAACATTTCGTTTTATCACTGTGTTTCAGTTCAGAACTATGAGATCCAAACCAGGGTTGTGTTTTTATTTGTTTTTTTTGTTTGTTTGTTTTGTTTTTTTTGTAAGTTTCAAATGTAAACTTGTTGTAGAATCATGAAATGTTCTGCAGAAAAACGGGAGGATCATAAGTAGTACTCTGTTGAAGAGCAGCGTTTTCCAAATTGTGTGTATATTGTATCCCCATTGGGCAGTTGAACCATGGTAGACCATTAGATGTTGATCATGAATTGTCAAATTTGGTGAAAGAGAAAACATGTTTTTGTGCATATTATAAACTTTGATGGATGGCCAGTCCATCAGTCTGTTTCTGGCTCAGGGGAAGGGGTCATAAGATGGCATTGTGACGTGTACCGTGATTGTCAAAATAACTGAAAGTGTCAAAAGAAAAGCTGATCATGGAGTGTATCTTTTCGTGGTTGTTGCCATCGTCAGGTCTTTTATGATGAATTTGATTTAAAATCCAACTCTTTACCAGTTTAAAAAAAGCCTGTGTCAAACGAGTCGACCTTTTCGATGCTGAATACGTGCACGTTCAGGTTGATGGTCCAGCAACAGTGCAGGAAACAATGTCTTAAAGGCAAAGCTTCAACCATCTTGTACTTGGAGCGAAGGAGCCACATCATTATTCCAGTGAAAGTCACAAATGGGACGTTAAACAGAACAGTGCTGGATTGGCAGTGGCACTTTAGACGCACGGTGATGTCATCACGATACACGTGCGTGAGTGAGACTGCAAACGTTTGTTTTAAACATGAGTGCCTATTATTTATGAAATCACCTTGCTTTCATGTCAATATTTTCTTTTTTCTACATTTAATTTGGTGCCAACTGCATTGTTTTGCCAATATCGTTTTGCTTCAGGGGTCTCTGCATTTCTTGCTTAATATTTTTTTTGGCTAATGTATTATTTTGGTTTTGTAATTGCTTTGATAACATTTATATTTGCTTTTTAGAACAAAATGTATGTTATAAATGCCTTGATATTTATGACTAAATGCTCTGATCTGATAAGAGGCTTATTTATTAAACAGAGAGATGCCTCTGCACGGTGTGAGGCAGCGTTAGTGGGATGCCTGAGCCTCGTATAGGCATGAGGACGGCCATGCCGCACCATTTTGTGGACAGTTTTGTTAAAACTTTTATATCTCCACAAACATGATGCTCAGTTTCCCCTGTGTTAATTCACATTTCAAATAAAAAGTCAAAAATGTCACGTCTCTTAGTCTGATAAGTACATTATTAGGCTGGCTTGTTGTGGTAAAAACTACCAGCAGTTTTACGTTTTACCCTCTGTACACTGATCTGTTACATCAGTAGTTCTCAAATTAGTCCTCCTGGTCTCCCAGATGGTTCACATTTTGGTTTGTCGTAGCTACCAACACATCTGAACTAAGCAAAAATAGACTAGAGCAAAAATGTGGACTGGCTGAGCTGCCCTGAGGACTGGTTTACTACTGTATTACATCATAATTTCATTTTATAGCATGCCTCTTATATGGCTACTTTAATTCATGCACGTTAAATTCCTGTTTTTTTTTGTTTTTTTTTTAACATGAAACTAGTTCAGTTTAAAATATAATATGCATGTTGTATTTAAAATATTTAAAATATGATTTATAACAAAAACTATATGCAGCACAGTTTTGAAATTACCCATGGTTGCATGAATTAAATCAACATTTCTGTATGTATTTTGTTCATGACAATCCATGATGTGACCTGCAAGACCCCATGTGAGTTGTACACCATACTTTTTTTTTTTTATGCGATCATGTTCTTATATAAATGACATTTCTCTATGAATAGATTTTTTTTCTCTATAAACTCTCTATAAAGAGTGTTTACAAAAAGTCTTGCTGCTCTTAAACTGAACAGACCTGTTCCTGAAATGTTTTCAAACAGAAGAAAACCTGAATATGTAAATTCTTAATACATACATTAAATAATTATCATCTTATCAGTATTTTTTTTTGTTGACCCTTAGGACCCTAAGAACAAAACGGTAAGTCACTTCTAGCCTTCATAACTTCAGAAATGTTTAAGATACAAACATGATCCACCTATCAGGACATTCAGCAGACCCGCCCCTAACTAGCAAGCACTGTGAGTAATTTGGCTCGGAAAATCTCCTAAAATCCTGGTATTATTGTTCTGCTGTTCGGCCTTCATATTCCAACAAAGGGTTAAAACAGCGACATGATTCACTCATCAGACTTTGTCCTCACCATCCAGAGTGATTTCATCCACCTGTGACCATCCATCAGCCAGAATCCAGCTCCAAAATCAAACCCCACTTGCTACTGTTATATTACATCTCTGCTGTTAGCCTTCAAAAAAGGCGATGAAAGGCGATAAAACTGCAGTGTCCCATTCAACACAATGAGGGCACTTTCCCTCAAAATCACACAAACAGGCCCTAAAACACATCTTAACAGATAAATAACAATAAGTTCAGTTTACATTAATTTTGAGTATTAAAAATATCTGATGTTAATTATGCAACTCAATTTGTAATAAAAATAAAGCCTGTCTTGCTGTGTATCAAATTTTCATGCTCTCAGCATGAATCTAAGAGGACAGAAAAGCAATAAAAAACTTGTCCACCTTATGCTAATTGTTTATTTTTGCTCATAATAACCAATAGAATGAATCACCATCAGAATTATTGCTCTTTCAGCTCACATACACTCCAGAATTAACAATTTCTTAAAAGGTATCTGAGGTGCAACTTGTTTTCAAGATCTCTATAAGCAGAAAATTACTAAATTTAGTTGGCGCTAGGTAATCTTTTTATCATAAATGTCCCAAATTCATAAATATATCAAATTTCTGTCAGCATTTATATGTCAAATAATGGCATATCTGAGTAGCCCATGGTCTCCTGAAAATAACAACATGTGGCATGTGTGACTGTCACATGTAAATACTTTATAATTGACCCAAAATACAAAAAAAAAATCCCCAAAAAATTCTAGGGTTAAGTTAATAGGATGTACTTGACCAAGTGCCCTGTTGTTGGATCTTTGTCAATTCAGACATAACTTTGCTCCCTGGGTAAACATTAGACAGTGTCTGGCTGTGCGGGACTGCAACCCTGACCTTAACCAATGAGAGAGGCACAACAATCCTGAAAGCCAAATTAGTACAAAGAGCAACCTCTACAAACACAACCCGACAAGTCTTTGCAGAAGGGAAAACTCACTGATTATAGTGGTCAGTCAATAATCAGTGGGCGCAGCCCCACTTGTGTTGGACTGTCATTTTAAAAAGTGTTATTTCAAAGTGAAAAACTGACACAATGTCATTCAAAATATTTTGCGAGGAACTTTCATTCTCATTTTTCATGTAACAAATGTATGTAAAATATTCTTCTGATCTAGAATTTAGTTTCATTTTATTTAATCACTGTATCTTATATGACATAAGATGAAGTATAAGTTGTGATTTGCTCTTGCCTACTTTCCTTATTCATTGCAAAAAAGCTTTCCTTTTCTCTCTCCTCCATTCACTCCTTTATTACTGCCATCATGTCATCTTCTTCCATTACCCTTCATCCTGTCTTCCTTCAATCTTCCAGGCCCAGCTCTTTGCCTGTGAGTGTAGCGATGGCTCTGTCCTTTAGCATCTCAGGCATGGCGCATGTTGGCTCTGACTGCACCGACTTCTTGTTTAGCCGTTTCCACAGGTACTCCATCTTACTGTCACAATACCAAGGGTTCAGGTTCAGCTCCACCCAGGTGATACCCAGGCCGAGGGTGCCTGGGGCCAGGAACTGCAGCGTGTTCTCACTCAGGTCCAAGTACTGCAGACGGTCGAGCCCATGGAAGACGGTAGCAGGGAGACTCTTCAGCTTGTTCTTCTGCAGGAACAGGTGGGTTAGGTTAGTGTTGCAGCTGAAGGCCTTGGCGTCCAGAGCCTGGAGTTTATTCTCGTCCAGGTGAAGTCTCTCCAGAGCAGGGAGCGACTGAAAGCTGTCGGCTGGGAGCTCCTCCAGGAGGTTCTGAGAGAGGTGCAGAGTCTCCAGGCGGCCCAAGTTCTGAAGTAGAGCAAAGGGGGATTTAATGAGTCGGTTTCCTGACAGATCCAGCCAGGTGAGGTTGCTGTTGCTGGGCAGCCAGTCTGCACTGGCACTGCTGAGCAGGTTGTCTTTAAGCACCAGGTTGAGCAGAGGGGCGTGATAGAAGACCTGAGGGGGCAGGTCCTGTAGCTGGTTACCTGTAAGAAGAGGATGCAAAATGAAGAGTCAGGAGAAAAACAACTCCATACACATGCAAGAACACTTCTTAGTGTATACACTATTTTAAGAGGAATCTCTCCATTGAGTTGTGTCACAATACCACGCACACATAAACACATCATATTTTTTATTTTAAATATACTGAATTTGGTACTCTTGCCCAAAATTTTGCCATGCTAAAACAAACATTTTTAATTCCAGTCAGCTGCCTACTGGATCTACTTTGCAGTTTTTTTTTTGGAAAACCATTTCTGAAAGTGGGATGCGTCAATGTGAAGAGCCTTGCTGAAGTTTAAAATGGTATTAGACCTTTACATTTTGAGAAAGTTCTTAAAACCTTTGAAAGTTTCTTCATAGTTCTTTAGAGAACCAAAAGTGGTTCTTCTATAACATTGCTTAAAGAACCCTTTGTAGCATATTTGTGGAACTCCTTGATTGTGGTTTACATTAGTTTTGGACATTAATATGTTTTAATGTTCGCAGTTCCTTCCGCCAAATTATAGTTCCTTAACAAGCAGCTTGTTGCTACGTCAGAGTAACGAACTCCACTCACTCTGCACAGTCTGTAGTACGGACTGAGCCATAAAACTGCTGCAATATCAAGTTTAGCTCAGTTTTGTCCATTTGTCCATCAGTATTAATGTTGTTTTGTTCCAGCCAGTCTGTAAAGCATCTTACAGCCCGTTTTGTTTGGCGAATGGTGTTGGGTTCATTTCTGGCTGATTCCAGGTTGTTTAGCTGTTCTTCTGTCACAGCTGCCGACTGAAAAGCTGCTCAGTGGTGATGACAGTTTGGGAATTTAGTGTCGTCTCATCTTCAGAGTCTGACCAAATCGGCCATCGGTCAAATCTGATCTTGAAAGTATCCATTTTCTGTTTGTGGCAAAGTAAGAAGTAAAAAAACGTTCAAATGGCTTGAGCGTCTCCTACTGCTGTCAAAGTCGTTGCTTAGCAACAGCGTCTCAGCAGAGTGATACAGTGTTTGTGAAAAAACGTGATGTTATGGCGAAATAACAGCACAGTTAGAACGCTTCTCAACCAATCAGCTTGTGTGGCCGGAACTAACTGTTGTATAACAGTTTATAAAGCATACCTATCTAGTAGCATTTTGCACCTGGTTTGGCCTTCAGAACAGCATGAATTTGCCTGGGTATGGACTCTTTAAGATGCATTGTGCAGAAATGTTTCAGAAATGCAAAGAGGATTGTGTTGCACAGTTGACAGCTCTTTTTATTTAATTCCAGTGATGCTGAATAGGGTGGAAATCCAGGAACTGCAGGTCACTGAAGCAATGAAAACTCACTGTCATCTTCCTGGAACCATTTAGTGACAATACACATCTAAGACTAAGTGCAGTAAGTGGTGCATTCTCAGATGACATTTCGCACATATTTTTGTGTTCGGATATCATTTGCCAGGTTGTGGCTCAACTGTTTGCTAGCACAATTCTTGCCATTCTCCATTGACCCATCTGATCCACAAGATGGATTGCCAGTAGTTTATTGCTTTTTGAGACAATTCTCGGGATACATTTGAAATGACTGTAGGTGAAAAGCCTAAGACTAGTCGTTTGGGAGTTACTAGAACTAGCACACCAGTACCAACTATCATTCCACCTTTTCCATTTGATTTGTCCATTCCATTGCTCAACTGTACACCAGCAGATGCTAAAATATGGACTGGCTGATTTGTATCTCACACTCCAGTCATGTAACATATGAACTGTGCAATTTGTATGAAGCATATCTAAAGGCAGTTGGCAACTGAATGTATGTGTCGAGATAACATGTTTCCCAGACAGTTCTTGGGTTGTCCAATTAGTCCATATTTTTGGTCTATGCAATTGGTCAAGTCAATACAGCAAAAGACCAGCTGAAGATTCCCAAGAACTGGGATGTTAAACACTGGTCTACTAGTCTGCACTGGTGTGCAGGGATATTTTATACAGACACATCCACTTACCTGTGAGGTCTATGGTGTGGAGGTGAGGCAGGCCCTTAAGCATTTCTGCAGGCAACCTGGACAGTCTGTTCCCTGGTAGGTGGAGCTCCTGCAGGAGGGGTGTGGCTCTCAGCTCATGGGTGGTGATGTTCTCCAAGTTGGTATACTGGATAGTCAAGGAGGTGGTGTTACCTGGGAGACTTTCACTTGGGAAATGAGTCAGAGAGGCATCGGGACACACCACCTCAGTGGTTTTACTGCTAAAGTGGCAGGTGCACCGTTGCGGACACGAGAAGGCACCTTGATAGCTGGAAGAGACTATTATGGTGAGCACGAGGAGGAACCAGAAACCCATCGTTGCAAAACTGCTGCAAATAAGAGAACACTTTATTACAAACACCTCCCTTGTACTTCACTCACTGGTCACTTTATTAGAAACACTTACACAGATCAGGCATAACATTATGACCACCTCCTTGTTTCTACACTCCTTGTCCATTTTATCAGCTCCACTTACTATATAGGTGCACTTTGTAGTTCTACAGTTACAGACTGTAGTCCATCTGTTTCTCTGCATACTTTGTTAGCCCCCTTTTACCCTGTTCTTCAGTGGTCAAGACCCTCATGGACCCTCACAGAGCAGGTATTATTTGGGTGGTGGATCATTCTCAGCACTGCAGTAACACTGATGTGGTAACACTGAGGTGGTGTGTTAGTGTGTGTTGTGCTGGTCTGAGTTGATCAGACACAGCAGTGCTGCTGGAGTTTTTAAACACCTCAGTGTCACTGCTGGACTGAGAATAGTCCACCAACCAAAAATGTCCAGCCAACAGCATCCTGTGGGCAGCGTCCTGTGACCACTGATGAAGGACTAGAGGATGACCAACACAAACTGTGCAACAGCAGAAGAGCTATCATCTCTGACTTTACATCTACAAGGTGGACTGACAAGGTAGGAGTGTCTAAAAGAGTGGACAGTGAGTGGACACAGTGTTTAAAAACTCCAGCAGCACTGCTGTGTTTGATCCACTCGTACCAGCGCAACACACACTAACACACCACCACCACATCAGTGTTACTGCAGTGCTGAGAATGATCCAACACCCAAATAGTACCTGCTCTGTGAGGGTCCATGGGGGGTCCTGACCACTGAAGAACAGGGTAAAAGGTATGCAGAGAAACAGATGGACTACAGGCTGTAACTGTAGAACTACAAAGTGCACCTATATAGTAAGTGGAGTTGATAAAATAGACAATCAGCATAGAAACAAGGAGGTGGTCATAATGTTATGCCTGATCAGTGTATCTTTATAGGGCCACTATATAGGTGTATAGACTGTAGCCCATCTGTTGTCGTACATGTCGTAGGATAAAGTAGGTGTAGCTGTAAGTGTCCAGTGAGTGGGGGGTACAAGCTAGGTTCCAGTAAAGCGGACAGTAAGCATATAAGCACTTTCCTCACCACTCACACATAAAATCTATTTGTCAATAATATCATATTCAAAATGCAGAACTGTATTTGACATACACCAAGTAAAGCCCTTACGTGACCATGGGGCAACCGGCAGGCCCAAAGTTTTATTACACTTCTAGAACCTAAAAATAAGCTCAACCCCTTTTGCACTGAAGTCCCTGTAGTTACTAAATAGTATGGCCTTAGAATGTAATAAGCCTGGGAGTGTAAGAGGTTAAATCAGCCCAGATTATTAAAGTTTATTCAGTTGGGTTTTTTTACACCAAACAGGCAATGTAGGCAACACACATAGCATCATTATTATTATTATTAACATCATTGTTGTTATTGTTGTTGTTGTATATATTATTTTTAATGCATAACAAAAAGCAAATTCAATATAACTTTAAATAACATATGCTGATTAATCATATGGAACACGTATCCTTAACAAAAAGCATTCATCTTTTTTTAAGGATAAGCACAATATGGCCATGATTATACTCAATAGCATTAATATGAAGTAACATGGGGGAAGGAGCCCTTACCTCTCAGATATATGAAGTTCACTCAAATCCAGTCACTTTAGTCCCTGATTCTCTTCACTTTTAAAAGCCTTGAGCCATTTCAGCAGGCTTTACTGGAATATCGGTCGGGGAAAATCCGTCACTGAGTAAATAACACAGCACAGGTCGGGGGAGGAAACTATTATACAGGTGTTGAGAAATAACAAGATAAAGTAACACTATCTGTTGACTCAGCTTGACAGGTGACTCACCAAAGCTCATCAAAAAGTAATTTTGTGCACCATATGCATCCAAGTTGTGATCTTCAGAGGTTTTTGTAAAGTGGATTCTGACCAGATCAATAACAGTGAATCATTCACATGGAGGTTTCAGTGTCATCCTACATTGCACAATGTTACATGTCCAGTCCTTTCTTTTCATCTTCGTATTCCAGCTTACTAAACATGAGCTTCCCACATTATATTTTCCAAGGACTCACTCAGCGCATTACAGTATCTATTTAATTGGAACTATTACAAGCAGATAATAATGTACTGAAAACATTCAAAATCATGACTTTTATTCACACAAGCCATAAAATGACATCACAGCTAAGAGCTAAACGCAAAATTGTAAATCACATAAATGTAAATCACATAAATGCACACTACCTACCAAAATGCACACGGCCAACAGTAAAGTTTGGTGGAGGAGGGATAATGAACTGGGTTTGGGTTAGGTCCCTTAGTTTCAGTGAAGGCTAATGCTAATGCTACAGCACACAAAGACATTTTAGACAAGCCTTTTCAGAAGAGTGGAGGCTGTTATAGCCTCCAAGTGGAGCTCCATATTAATGCCCATGGTTTTAGAATGATGTCCAAAACACTCATTCGGTGCAATGAATAGTTGTCAACATACTTTTGGCCATAAAGTGTATCTACACCAATCAGGCATAACATTCTTGTTTCTACGCTCATTGTCCATTTTATCAGCTCCACTTACTATATAGGTGCACTTTGTAGTTCTACAGTTACAGACTGTAGTCCATCTGTTTCTCTGCATACTTTGTTAGCCCCCTTTTACCCTGTTCTTTAATGGTCAGGACCCCCATGGAACTCCAGCAGCACTGCTGTGTCTGATCCACTCGTACCAACACAACACACACTAACACACCACCACCATGTCAGTGTTACTGCAGTGCTGAGAATGATCCACCACCCAAATAGTACCTCCTCTGTGAGGGTCCATGGGGGTCCTGACCACTGAAGAACAGGGTAAAAGGGGGCTAACAAAGTATGCAGAGAAACAGATGGACTACAGTCTGTAATTGTAGAACTACAAAGTGCACCTATATAGTAAGTGGAGCTGATAAAATGGACAATCAGCGTAGAAACAAGAAGGTGGTCATAATGCTATGCTTGATTGGTGTATATTAGTCGTTCTATGAAAAGTGGAATATTTGCGTCCCCCAACTTTTTGCGACTGCCAAACTTGTTACCTATTGGTGGGCTGATGGTAACAGGTTGCAGGTTAAGTCAGCCATTATTTCAACTTGCACTGAAAGACATTAAAGTCATCGTCAACATATTTGTGCAACAATGTAATATATGTATTGCCTAATTCCAAAGCATCTGATCCAGCCAATCATGGACGTCTAAAGAAGATAATCAGCTGGAATGTGGTTGACCGCGGTTGGAACTAGACACCACAGGAAGGCAGATGTTCAGGACCAGGGTTGGCTGAGGTTAATGAACTAAAATGCATTTGTAAAACGTGGTTTTGAAGAAACAGTTGTTCTTAAAAATACACTCTAAAAGTGATGTGTTAAATAACAACTTGTGTTACTCATTGTAACAATTTTTGTGCCATGCTGTGTTTAAAAAGAACCCAAAAAGTGTTTTTCATAACTGGGTATAGAAATATTTCAAAACATTTTGTCTTCATAGTAAAACAAATTGTGTCTCCAGCTGAACACAGTGATGTGTCTGTTTAGAGACAGAATGTGTTGTTTTTAAGGGAGGGAGGGAGCAGGCAGAGGGAGGGGGAGAGAGAGAGAGAGAGAGGGAGGGGGAGAGAGAGGGAGAGAGAGGGGGGGGAGAGGGGGAGAGAGAGAGAGAGAGAGAGAGAGAGAGAGATGACATGTTGATGTTTGTCTGAATATCTTCTCTGTCACAACACAAAAGGAGAAAGGAAAAAGAAGAGCCTCTGTCACAGAGATATGGTCCACTCAGCTCTGCAGTGAAGAGCATTAGTGTGAAAGACGCCTCGTTGTGTTTGATCATTCAACCAGTGTCCATTTCTACTGAGCGCGCGCTGAGGTCACTTTATTCCAGTCGTTCTGAACTCTGTTCTCCTGTCCAGCACATGTTAGTGGTTTCTCTGCTCAAACACACCTGAGCCAACTAACTGGCTAAATAACATGCCCTTCCTGAGCTGAAGTGAGCTTGTTATAGCTGGACACCTATGTGCAGAACAGGGGTCACTTCAGGACCAGGCTGGAGAACCGCTGATTGATTCTAACACAAACTACACCTCATCAAACTTCTACAGGACCACACAGGCCTGCGGCTGCCCTCACTGACCCACAGCGCCTTCACTCCGCACCTCACAGTGAGCAAAAACAGAAACCCTGAAATCCACACTCAGCCCTCTGCGCGCGCGCGTCATGTTCCAATACACTCTAATGCGCAAATGACGCTGACCTTACTGACCATTAACTGTCACACGTTGTGCTGCTCAGTGGCTCTTTACAGCCGCTGGTGCTTGAAGTCCCCACCCTGACTGTACGGTGCGTGACTCCGCGTTGCGCGAGGCCTTGGCGAAGGCGCGCGCCACCCTCCACTGAGTGACAAGGAGGAGGGGAAAGAGGAAGAGGAGGAGGAGGAGGAGCACGAGTCGCGGAGTGTGCCAGAGGACCTCTGACGGTTCAGTCGCGATGGAGAGCTCGAGCGCTGCGCTCGTGAGCGCTGCGCTCCTGAACTCCACGGCGCGGGCGCGCGGCACCGGGGCGCGCGTGGAGGACCCCGCGCCTTTCTGGGACTCCCCGCTCAGTCACGGCATCAGTGTGTTCGTGGCCTTCACTCTGGGCTTCACCATGCTGGGGCTGGGCTGCACGGCGGAGGTGCGCGAGTTGCGCGAGCACGCGCGGCGGCCCGTGGGCGTGCTGCTGGCCGCGCTGTGTCAGTTCGTGGTCATGCCGCTGCTGGCCTTCGCGCTCGCGCTCGCCTTCTCTCTGGATGACGGAGCGGCCGTGGCGGTGCTGCTGTGCGGCTGCTGCCCGGGGGGCAACCTGTCCAACATCATGACCCTGCTGGTCAACGGAGAGATGAACCTCAGGTAGGGGTTACTTACTTACACACACACACACACACACACACTCCCTTAGCCACACTCTTACAAAATGATGATTCTTATTTATTTATTTTTTTTTTTTAGGAAAGATGTGGTTCCTTATAGAACCATGAACACCCAAAGAACCCTTTGATTAAATGGTTCTTCGCATCGTGACAAAGTCCTTCAGGTTGATGGAAATTATGCTGTAGATGGTTCTATATAGAACCTTTTTGAAAGGGTTCTAAATAGCACTAAACAGGGTTCTTCTATTGTTAGTATGTCAAGCTCGTATCAATAGGAGAACCATTTTTAGTGCTATAGAACCCTTGACAACCCTTATCAGATCCATATACAGCACATTCTCCATCAAACAGAAGTATTATGTAAAGATGCAAAGAACCCTTAAATCATGCAAAGGGCTCCTTGGGTGTTCTTGGTTCTATAAGGCACGATTTCTTTACTAAAGAACCCTTGAAGAACCATCTTCATGCACCCTCACATACACACTTCAGAGGTGGTTTAAAAATAAATACATGTTCAATTATAAATGGTGGTTAATCTTGTACTAAAAGTGATTTATATAAAAAGAGCTGATGAAAGGGAAACTTATTGTTTATAGTTTTCACTATTATAGAAAAAAAAAACCCCACTAATTAACATATTAATGCTTAACAGTGTAACTGTGCTGATCCAGTTGTAATATTTATAGTAGTATAATAGTATGATATTTGTATTAGTATAAAAATAGTATTTACACAAAACGAACAAACCAATTAAAGGCCAGTTGTTAAAACACGTTAACCGCAGTTATTCTAGTAATATTTATACAAAACAAATATGCAAAAAAAAAAAATCGTAAAAATCACACAAATAAATTGAAATCGATTAATAATTGGATCACAGATGAATTTCACAGTTTTCGACTATTCTCGAATTGTAGGTCAGGTTTAGAAGGGAGAGGTGACTTTTCCTGAATGTTTCTGATAAACGGGGTTTTAAAATCCTGGGTTGGTGATAATGAATCCAGAAAAGCGGCCTCTCCGCCCTCTGGGCTCATTCATATTCCACGCGCCACGTCTCCTACATTCATCTTTATATATCTTACATATGAACCCCTCCTGCGGACAGCTGCCCCCTGCTCTGCTGTAGTCCACACGATCCACTCTAAATGGTCACTCCCGTCCTTCACTCTGCTCTGTGTTCCGCTCCAGCATGCGGGACAGACTGTAAACTGACTGTGTGCTCCGTGTCTCCTCCACAGTGTGATCATGACCATCTCGTCCACGCTGCTCGCGCTGGTCTTCACGCCTTTCTGCCTGTGGCTCTACAGTCGCGCGTGGATCAGCGCGCCCGCCGTGCAGCTGCTGCCTATGGGCGCCATCACGCTCACGCTCTGCAGCACGCTCGTGCCCATCGCACTCGGGCTCGCGCTCCGCTACAGATACCCGCGCGTCGCCGACAAAGTGCTTAAGGTAAGTTAGTTAGCATCAGCTAGAGGGGTGTAAAGCCCCCCAGCACTGGGCCGTGGAGCAGTGAATCAGTGTTCTCTGCAGTGATGGAGCTCCATCCACTATCTTTGGGATGAGTTGGAGTGGAGTTTGTGATCCACAACTAATCATTCAACATCAGTACCTGACTTCACTAAAGCTCTTGTGGCTGAACGCAATGAAATCTTCACAGCAATGTTTCGAACGTGTAGTGTAGAGCCTTCCCAGAAGAGTAGAGGCTGTTACTGCAGCAAAAGAGGACAAACTGCCTATTTCTATACTAGATTTCAGAAGAAATATTAGATGAGTAGGTGTCAAAAGTTTGGGGGTTGGGAATGGGGTCATCAGTGGGGTCATACACAGGGACCACTTAACCCAAGCTTAACCCAAGCTCCTGCATCTAATGCGCTTCATGACTTGGACCTTTTACAGTTATGCTAAATGACAGTGATTTAACTCTTGGGTGCTGTTTACATGAGATCACAGTTCCGTTGTCCGTGTTTAATCTGCTTCACCATATTCTGGAGGTAACATCTCTCTTTCAGAATCACTGCAAATTATTCTAAAGATATACTTCTTGCAAAAAGGCCTCTATATAGTCCTGAAAAGGGCTTAACTGATTCAATATTGTTTGTAATTCTTTGAAACAATAGTGGAACCCTTTGTGGTGCTATATAGAACCATTTTTTAAATCCTTACCCAAAGAACCATGTACAACTGGTGTTGTATCATCATAGAGAACCACTGGACCATGCAAAGAACCATTTATGGATTCCAGTGGTTCTGTTGGGTTTCTACATAGAATTGTTTCCTTTTCTTAAGAACCCTTTTTTAAGAGTATAGTGATGCATCATCTTGAAAAAGTAAAGCGCAACCCAATGGACCTTTTTGCTTGTGGCAATAAAGAAATAAGCTACACCCTGCTTGACGACACACCCTAAACCTTCTCTTTCAAACAGCTAATCAGAAAACGCTGCGTGTGTCACTATTCGGGTAACAGTAATGTCCAGAGTCTGTCCGTTACAAAAAGACAGAGCCCTGAGGGCCACAATGATGTCACATGGGCACTTAAAAAGGTCCTCTTTTCAGTTAGGCTTATCTAAGAACAGCTTGAGACAGGCTGGACGGTGAATGAGAGATAGAGAGAGAAGGAGGGAGGGGGAGAGTGATAAAGGAGTGGAGGGAATGAAGATGTGTGTGGCATTGTGTGTGTGTTTTACAGAGTGATGTGAGGGGGGAGGAGAGCGGTACACATTAAGGCGAGTGGATAAAAGCAGGCTGCACTGTCACTCTGGTGGCTTTGCTCTTTTCTCCTCTGATAAATGGCACACAGTCAGCACACGTCTAGCCTCTCTGTTATGGCACTTGTTAATTTCAAGCTTGGGCTCATAAATAAATCTGTCATGCGAGTGTTTTGTACCAGCACCATCCTTCTGATTGAAATCTGCATTCCAGCTCTTTTTATTGCTTGAATTGTCATTTCAAGGAGGCAGTTTTACACCAAAGACAGCGTGCAGTGTTACAATCATGCATTAACTCAGTGATGAATTAACTCCTACATTATTGGATCAAATCTTGCTTCATATTACCTCTAACTGTACTTGATTATCTTTTGTTTATTTGTATCGAGATGTTAATTCAACACTGTTTTACTCTGCACTTAAATGGCCTTTATTATGGAAATTATTTCCTATACTTTTTTAAAATAAGAGATTGATGTAGTATGTAAACATTGGTAAGTCTTAAAACACACTCACACCCCAGTCCATATATGGAAACCAAGCTGCTCCATAAATCAAAACATCTCGTTTTGATTTCACTGTTTTTTCTGATGTCACAAAATCCAATGCATTTACACACACACACACACACACACACACACACACACACACACATATGTATATATGTGTGTGTGTGTGTATATATATATATATATATATATATATATATATATATATATATATATATACCTCTTTTTCTATACGGAGAACCTTGGCCTGGATTGCTTTTTGAATGAGGCACAATAAATGGCATCCAATCAAAACAGACCTTATACACATGATCCGTCTTAATGACCCAGTAACGAAAGGTTAGGTTGTAAAATAATCATGTACAAATTAATTGGTTTTGGTACATAAAGCCACAAAACGTGGACCTAGTGAGAAAAAAATTAATACAATAAAAATAACATTTGGGCCCTTTATGTTCACTACAAGAGCGTTTAATCAAGAAACCATATGTTTAAGTGACACAAGCATCCAGAATACCTGAGGTCTCTGGTCACTGCCATTATCCCCTCAGCCAGGAGTGTCCAATCATGGTCCTTGAGATTTACCACCCTGGAGAGTTCAGATCCAACACACTGGGCTCCAATACTCAGATACCCCTGAAGGCCTTCATTACCTGGTCTCTGGTGTGCTTGATCAGGGCTGGAGCTAAACTTTCCAAGGTGGTAGATCAGAATTGGCCATCCCTGCCCTCAGCCTTCACTCACCTGCTTGGTTCTCCTATCTGTCCACCAGGTGTCACTGTGGCTGCTGTTCGTCACACTTGTGATGCTCTTCATCATGACTGGTGTCATGCTGGGTCCTGAGTTACTGGCCACTATCCCTCCATCCGTCTACGTGGTGGCTGTGTTGATGCCTCTGACCGGCTACGCAGCCGGCTACGGCCTGGCCGTGCTCTTCGCCCTGCCGCCCAATAGCTGCCGCACTGTTTCCCTGGAGACGGGCTGCCAGAATGTGCAGCTGTGCACGGCCATCCTGAAGCTGGCCTTTCCACCTGAACTGATGGGCGGCATGTACATGTTTCCGCTGCTCTACGCGCTCTTCCAGTCAGCCGAGGCTGGTGTTTTCATCCTGGGCTACAGAGTGTACCGGAGGGAGGTGCTGCGCAAGCAGGACCTGGATCAGGAGGGTGACGATGACACTAACATCACCTACAAGACACTGAAGGAGGAGGACGGGCCCTTTGACATGGCATATGGCTCGGTGACAGTCAGCGACCCCAACACCATCGCGCTGGAGTCTCGGGGAGGGCTGGGAAGCCCCACACCTGTATAGAGATATTCAAGTTACAACTCACTAATTTAGGGGGAAAACATAAGCAAGAATAATTCAGCAGAAGTCCAAAGACTGACACTGTTCTCTGTAAAACGCCATTCCATCCATTGCCTCATATGGATCAATGACTGTATTGATTCTGTATTGGTAACGGCTGTGAGCCAGGGATGGTAGAAAACAAGCGCAGAGTCTGTTTATTGGGGATTTCCCCAGAAATTGGGGTTATCGGTAAGTATAGACAGTATGGGTCAACACACGGGCAGACAGGGTTAACATGGGCAAATCCTGAGCAATGTTTCATTATTTAACTGCATGAAAACAGCAGTAATACTTCTGTGGCATAATAAAAGATAAAATGTAACAATATAATAAGGGTGGGGATGGGTTGCTTTTTTTTTTCCATCCATTCCATGGCTCCTCTAAACGTGTGAGCGCAGGCCTAATCCACCATAAGCAACTTCAACCCTTCAGAGACGGGTGGGAAGCTTCATGCTTGTACAGCAGTATCAAAGCTTGGAGCACAAGAACGGCACTCAGCTTGACAGACATTCTGCATCCATTCATGACCTCATCACTCTTTGTTGAACTATTATAGCTAAAAACATACGGTGGATAGTGAACACAAAGTTTGAGACTTCTGAAGAGGACCGAAAAGTCAGCAGAAGCTGCCTGATTCAGAATTGGCTACAATATCACCTGATGCTGAATGTAGATCAATACTGCTATGGGAAAAACAAAATCATCTGGAAGAGTTAATGGAAATACATTACCCCCTTGTTTTTGGCTAAATTATATGTACACTGAAAAGATTATTTTCCATTAAAAGTGTGAGCCAATAGGCTTGAGTCCAGAAAATCAGCATCAGTTATGCATTTTTACCTTACATGATCTGCATAGCAATCTCAATGATACTTTATAGACTTTACATTTGTCATGTCTTTTGGATAAACTCAAGCAAATCGCTCATCGTAACAAAGCTGATCTAATCATCCACAGAACTACAATGAATGTTGGTTTACCCGGTGGACAAACACATTCAATATCAACCTGTCCACAGTGCTACAGCTGGGAATCCTTACGACCAGTGAGGTGCCTGAAAGAGTTGAGACTGTACAAGTCAGCTGCTGATTTAATCTCACATGTTAAATACACAGATAGCATAACTTATAGATAATACTGACCTGTGGGTTGAAGCTGAAGTGGAGCCAGATATGTGCCGTGGACAGCAATCAAAACAAAGCCAACTTCATCTGGGAAAAGCTTGAAAACTGAGATCGGTGCAATCACAGAACAAGACATGCTTCTCCATTCATCACTGAAATGTAAAACATGTTGAGAAAAAGCATATTAAATCAGATGTATGTGGTATGAATAAACGTACAGTGTAAATGTATGCTTTGTTTTTTTATGCAATAGGGGTGTCCCCCAACACCCGCCCTGCAACCCACCTGCATGGAACAGTTTTGTACTTTTTGCTACTGTGACACACCTGATTCAGCTCACAATACACATTGAGGAATAACGTCTACAGGAGGGCCATGCAGAGGAGGGTGACAGATGGGTGAGATGCACTGGCCCTTCACCCTCATTGACCAAACTGTCCCTTGTGTGCTGGTCTTAAACTAACCTGCACATTGCCTTTTTATTTCAACAGCCTAAAAAGGGGGAAATATTATTTGTATGTAGTTGCATGAAGTCCCAAGTACTTTAAATTAGTGTAAGGAACAATGTGTCAATGTAATAATAATTACAGTGATCTACTGATGGAGTAGATCTAAATTGAAACCTTTAGAACTTCTTCTAGAACCTCTCCTTACAACCAGTATTTCTAACTGGTTCCTTACAGAACCTAAACCCTAAGGTTCTTCAGAGAGTCAGAAGGATATATAACAGCTTTGTTATGGAACCAGACGTAAATGATAACGTAATGACATTATTTAATGTTAACTTGGCAGGTTGCCAGCTAGCGTTAATATCACTACAATTATCTGACTAAACAGTGAGTTACCTGGTTAAGTCTTATGATAACTGTTCCTGAGGGAAACGTCTGCAGAGCGTTAACAACGTGTATAGTGATTATAAATGCGGACAATGATTTATAAAACCTCCTTTAGCAAGTTCACAGCTCTGTGAAGGCACCAGATTCACCAGTCCAGTGGACGACAGAAAAAGAGTGGACAAAGCAGGAGGCTATTTGGAACACAGCCCGTTTATGGGTTTGCTAACCAATTCCAAAACAGGCAGTTAACTAGCTAGCAAGGTTAACGTTACTCATCTTTATCCTGCTACTTGTTATTCAAGAAGGCCTACAGCCAAGAAATCAAGCAGTCCTGCCATCCTTCATATGACTAACATCTCCATGCGGTTTTTGGCACTCATATAAAGAGTTTTAGCCTTTAAAGAAACAGAACTTTTACATTTTAAGAGCGTGTTTCTCACATTAAAATAATCCTGCGTGGGCTCAGTTCGGTGCAGTATGCTGCATTTAAGCTCAAGTCGCTTTTTCTCAGAAGAGAAACTTCTGGATCGTGTAGATTCGGTTCATGTCGAATGTAAACGACAACAAAAAAATAAATAAATAAAAAAAAACATGGCAGTTATAAAATGGTTGTTTGTGCTAGCATGCAGCTAACACACTGACAGTCATCTTTGCGAGTGCTTTTAATCACAAATGTAGAAGAAATAAAATGTGTTTACTCTATTTATTGAAAATTTAAAATAACTTTAAACACATTTTAAATAGAAAAAAAGACATTGCTTTCCGTTTTTTTATCAGCCTGTTCGTGTTACTCAAAATTCTCTATGGACCTTTATTATCCGACATTAAAGCCCAATCCCATTTCTTCTTTTTACCCCTACCCATTGTTTTCGAGTGTCACCCTAACCCCTTGGAACTGAGTTACAAGGGGTAGTGGCTGAAATCTTCCACTACAAAATGGAACAAATGAAAAAAAAAAAAAAAACACTGCTTCATTAACAGCTACTAGCGCTGCTCTGTAGGCGACCCGGCCCGTCTTCAGTGATAGCAGAGGAGGGTAAAGTTCAGCTCCTCACTGCTGGGCTTTAGTTACATTTAGAGCATCATATGTTTTCAAAGAGGGGGGCAATTATTTATTATCACCCACCGCTAATTCTTTGGTGATACGAAGCTGAAGACAGATATTCACCAGCTTCTTGTTCACATTTTCCCGTCCCACCTTAAATGGAGAAGCAGTTACATTCTGGCGCTTCAGGCGTCAGAACTGCTGGAATATTTAAGGCGGAACGGGAAAGTTAGCTAACTAGCTACCGAAACATTAGCAGGATATTAGCAATGTTTTATGCTTGTTATGAAGAAAATGACCATAATATCACTAATAATATCACTCCGTTTGGAGGCCCATGAAGCCCCAACACTTCGCCCTACCCCTCTATCTCAGCTAAAACTGGGACACGCTACCCCCTGACGCGAATGCGCAAAACAGAGGGCTGAGGGCTAAGTGGTAGGGGCGAGGGGTGAAATGGGATTGGGCCTAAGTGTGCTCCTGTGGCGCCTCCTGGTGTGGAAACCCGTTTTTCCTATAAAACCGAAAGCTCAAAGCAGCGTTAGAGTATGAAACATATCAGAGTGCACCGCAGGTGAACAGCCTTCTCACCCTCAGTCTTAATTGCGTTTCACTTCACACCTGCAGCCAATCAGTGCTTCTACTTAACCCGCCCAGGCCGCGCCCTCCTTCGGCTAAGCGAAAAGAAATAATGGCTACGTACGGAGATGAGTCCCTCGACAGCTACCTGTACTCCTCCTATAACCCTTACTCCTACAGGTGCCCCAAGCCCAAGGCATGGAGGCAGAAGAGTTATCAGACCGCGTACAGCGACGGTGAGAGCTACTTGGACAGCTACCACCGCGCGCAGCTCAAGTCCATCCTGTCTCAGATCAACCCCAACCTGACACCCCGCCTGAGGAAGGCCAACACCCGGGACGTCGCTGTCCAGGTGAACCCGAAGGCGGATGCCTCGATCCAGTGCTCGCTCGGGCCGCGCACGCTGATTCAGGCACGGAGGCGCGACGGTTTGCGCATGCGCAGGACTGACGGGGCGCCACCTGGCAGTCCTAATAGCAGCAGCAGTGGCGCAGGTGGGGTTCGATTCCCGCGCACTCAGGCAGTGTATTCCCCCATCGCCAGCAGGGGGCTGGCAGCCTTCCTCCAGGAGGACGAAGAGCAGGAGAAGGAGCGTGGGAGGACGGGAGAGGAGGAGAAGGATGAGGAAGAAGAGGAGGTTGGAGAGAACAAGGAAAGTAAAAGTGGCAAACAAGCCGAAGACAAGCTTAGTCCCGAGAAAAGCGTGGAAGGAAGTGAGCAGACTGGAGTTGTGGATGAAAAAAGTAAGCGTGAGACTCAGAGTGGACAGGAGGAGCCCAAGGCCAAGAGTAGAGTGAGGTTTCAGGTGGGCTGTTCAAAGTGTGGTTTGGGTGTGTTTTAAATTCCCTTTCCTCCTCTCTAATAATGAAATGCATACACAGTCGATTAAGTTCTGCGTCTTCAGTCACTTGTAATTTTGATACTAGATGGTCATCAAGTTACATACAGTTCAGTTAACTACTGGTGAGTACAACATCAAGGACCAGGTCAGTGTCTTCAGATGAAATCCTTTGGATTTTAGTATTGTGCGCGGGTGATTACACAATCTAGCACTACTAAGGTCCAATCCCATTTCTTTTTGGGACCCCTACCCCTTGTTTTCGAGTGTCACCCTAATCCCTTGCAACTGAGTTAGAAGGGGTAGTGGTTGAAACCTTCCCCTACAAAATGGGACCCTCAAAAAAAAAAACACTGCTTCACTAACAGCTACTAGTGCTGCTCTGTAGGCGACCCCGGCCTGTCTTCAGTGATGGCAGAGAAGGGAAAACTTAAGCTACCTCACTGCTGGGCTTTAGTTACATTTAGGGCATCATATGCCATCAAGGGGGGATATAAGACAATTTATCGCCCACCGCTAATTCTTTGAAGTCAGATATTCACCAGCTCCTTGTTTTTCCTGTTCCACCTTAAATGGTGCAGCAGTTACATTCTGGTGCTCCAGGCATCAGAACTGCTGGACTATTTAAGGTGGAATGGGGAGAGTTACCTAGCTAGCTTCCGAGACATTAGCATGCTATTAGCTATTTAATGCTTGTTATGAAGAAAATGACCATAGTACATTGAAACGACATTAAACTAAGATAAAACAATGGTTGTTGTCATTTTTTTCAACAGGGAAAAGACTTACATTTGTGGGTTTCTTTGGTTGCTCACGCAGCCATCTTGCCTTTAAAAAAACAAAAAAACAAAAAAAGACACCCCATTTGGAGTGAGCCTCTGAAAAACCTCTGTTTGGAGGGCCATGTAGCCCTAACACTTCGCCCTACCCCTATATGTCAACAATCAGGACGCCCTAGATGTGGACGCGCAAAACTAAGGACTAAGTGGTAGGGGTAAGGGCTGAAATGGGATTGGGCCTAAATCTAACTTCCTCCAATCCCACCCATGACCCCCATATATACTGAAGTGTGTCTTGACTCTTGAGTATTAAAGGTTGTGCTTTTTCTTGTATGCGGTACACTGGTTCCCATTCCTAGTCCTGGTGTACCCCTGTGCTGTGTTTTGCCTCCCTGCCTTCCTAAGTTGAAGTAAGTGAGGCAGTGATTCCCACTCCAGCACTTGGGACCCACTTCCCTGCACAGGTTCAGCTATTCTTTACCTCAGCCCAACTGACCCAGCTCATCAGTTGAAGCCCCACATGAGTTGGATCAGGTGTGCTGGGAGGGATTATGTAGAAGCCTGCAGGGCGGTGGGTTCTCAGGACTGAGACAACCATGTTAGAACTGTGGAAAAATACAGGGCAGGGTTACTAACCTGTAAACAGAGGTGTGCTGGCCTGTGGTGCACAAACTAACCACATCTGCTGTCCCACTAGTTTCTAGAACAGAAGTACGGCTACTACCACTGCAAAGACTGCAACCTGCGCTGGGAGAGCGCTTACGTGTGGTGTGTTCAGGGCACAAATAAGGTAGCTATGCCGTGTGTCTTATTTGGCCTTTTGCTGTGACGTGCTGCCACAATGTCCGCTCTCCTCCTAGGTTTACTTCAAGCAGTTTTGCAGAACGTGTCAGAAGGCATTCAACCCATACCGTGTAGAGGACATAACCTGCCAGGTAAGTTGGTGCTTGGGTTTAAAATGTGGGTTTTTGGCTTGTACTTGAAATTCATACTACACCTTTGTTTTCAGAGCTGTAAGAAGGCACGCTGCACTTGTCCAGGAACAGCACGCCACGTTGACCCTAAACGACCTCACCGACAGGACCTGTGTGGCCGATGCAAAGGCAAGCGGCTCTCCTGTGACAGCACTTTCAGTTTCAAGTACATTATATAACCCTCCCCCATCGTGGAGGTTCCTGTACTGCTGTTTTGCCCCACTGCTTGGGAGAGGATCTATGTAGCCATCTACAGCCAGTCTGTTTAGGCTGGTCTTGGGTAGAAAGGCCTGGGATGAGTACCTGAGCTCTGGGTTCTGTTTACGTTGCTCAGTAGTGTTTTGCAGGAACCACTTCGGAAAAGTTAAATAAAATGGCAATTACAGCAAAGCTGTGGTCTCGTTTGTGCTTTCCTCCTTGATTTGCTAAAGAGGTTTTAGGGCCAGCAAATGGACTGTTGGTTTAGTGAGTGATTAGTTTAAGGTTTTTTATAAAATCTGAAATACTGGTTGATGCCATCATTAATGCTTGAGTGGTACCTTAGTTCAGTGTAAGGCAAATTAGATGAAGGCTTTTGTAACTGGATCAGGCATGCAAGGGTGTCTCTTGGATTAGAGTTGGAACTAAACCGGAGAGCAGGAGATTGCCAGTGTGGGTAAAGGATGAATAAGACTTGTTAAAGTGGACTGCTGGGCCCACACTTGTAGTGTAGTGGGTGTAAGTCAGTGACTCAAGTGGAATGTGGAAAGCAACTGGCTTTTTCAACATTGCACACATCTTGCTTGCTGTAGTACAGTATGCCAAGAGAACACCCTATTTTCTGCTTTAATCCTACAGCAGGGGTCCCAGTTTTGTGGACTTCCAGGGTCCCATTTGTTTTTCTTGCTTTTAACACCTGACCACATTAGAAGCTTGTTAGTTCTTGATTAGTTCAGTTGAATCAGGTGTGATGGATGAAGGGAAAGCACAAAATGCATGGTGGGAGAAGCCTCCTTTACTGTAAAGGTACTGTAGAGGGACATTTCATTCATCAAGGTACCAACAATGTAAATGCACACTCAAGGGTACAAGTCCAACGGTATACCTTAAATATTTTTTCCCCCAGGGACAAGAAAAGTATTTGTACCTTTTTCATAACCTGTTTTAAAACAGAACAATAAAATAAAAAACCTGGAGTCACGGTGGTGTGTGGAGTCAATACAACTTAAAATCATTAGGATGTGACGAGGGGTACCGCCCCCATTGTCTGTCTGTATGAATAAGATGAAGCCTAAACTGACAGCTGGGAGGGATAAACTGGTACAGCAGTCAAGTTTGGTTATGTACCACAAAAGAATCATAAAACAGGGGTCTTGCCCCCCTGGTGTGAGATTTATCAGAGGGGTTTTTTACCACATAAATTTGTCATCTAGATGTTACAGAATGTAGTTTGTTAGCTCTTTTCTATTTTCACATTTCCAAAAACTATTCAAGTGCATTTTAAAATGAATGAGTCTCTAAATTTATCTGGTCTTCATTTTTCATAAGCTGACATGAAAACTACAGTAAAATACTGCAACTGTATTGATGAACTAAGGATATGTACATTTTGTTTAATGTATTACAATATTAATTTAAACAAAGCAATAACATTTAACATTTGTGTAAATGATTATTAGACATGAATGGGGAAAAATCTGTCAACTGCCAAACTCTAAACTCAAAAAGTTGCCTGATTCTAGCTAATCTTCACTATAGTTAGCATGTAAAGCTAATGCTAGCCAGTGAAACTCCATATAACATTTTTGTAATAATACTCTAAAGAGGCCTTCTTAGCCTTCAAAAGAAAAATCCCCCTCTCTCAAAATTAACTGATCACTCTATTCACAATCAAGTAATTTAACATTTTTTACAACTAAATATGAATCATTAAGGGTTAGTGATGTAACCCTGTAGTGCAGTGTACCTCGCACTGGGATTGGTAACCTCCCTAATACAGTCTATCAGGCACTTAAATTACCTGCATATCACAACAGTAAATAAGCACATTAGCATTCACAAACAGAGAAAGCTGTTGCTTCTGATTAGGTTTTTATTTAATCAGGACAGGGGGAAAGGCAAGTGAGATGACAAGGATGAAAAAAAAGACAATGAGAAAAGTGAGAGAGAAAAAAAACAAAACAAAACACACAGGATAATGCACCTCTAAATAAAAACTAGATTTTCTCCAGGTAAATAATATATCCATATATCCATTAAATAATTAAGAACAGCATTCAAAATGTACCAGACAAGCAACAGAAAAGTTCTGTGAGGAATGGATACAGTGATCGTTTTTGTTTTAATGTGCCACAACGTTGTGACGTCCCTCCAACTCTGTGGGTAAACGCTGGCCCGGTGCTGTTTGTCTTGCAGTCGAGCAAAGCGAAGCACAGTGGCTTTGAGAAGCGCAGCATGGACGCCGCTCCATCAGTGCTGCCCTGAGTCCGAGGACGACTGCAGAGCCAACATGGACGAACGCTGGCCCTGTCTCTCCCCTCGCAGGGGCTTTCAGAGTACTGCAGAGTACTGCGAGCCAGCATGAAGATCACAGTGGAGCTTAAGGAATGCATATGGTCAAGCAGAGCTGGGCGAAGGCAAGAGAGAGCAGAGTGACGAGAACAGACGACTCCTACTCTCTGCTCCCAGCCAGGCTTGCTTGTTAAAAGGGAAACGTTGAAGATCAGAGACTTGGATAACTATGGTGGACAGGGTTGTTAGTGACTGTTACAGCTGGAAATTTTTTTTTTGGCCTTTTTGCATTAGCTTCATACTCTCTATTCTGGTTGAACAGTGCATTACACAAATGTACAAGGGAAAAATACTGCTTTTACACTATACATTTTTTCTAAAATATATACAGAGTACAATAAGTTATTGATATTTCCATAATGAGTTGCAGCCAGTTTTTGCACTTTGTGTGTGCGTTTTTAATGTGCATGTGTGAGAGAGAGAATGTGTGTGCAAATATCGGCATATGTAAAAACACACGCTCACTCGCGCGCACACGGACACACACTCCCCGTGTCTCGTCACACACTAACACATGAATCTATGGTTGTCTACAGGCAGCTACTTATTTGGTTATAGAGTAGGAGTTTTGTTAGAGCAACCCAGTGAAAGCTAAAGTTTCTCCCCAATGCAGGTCAATAAAGTTAACCAGATAAACCTCTCTTTATACAGAGTCTGAGGGCCAAGCCCTCACTTTTCAATAATACATTAAATATCCTAACATTTACAACCTAGGATTGTTAGCTCTAATAAAAATACATTTCTCAAAAAATATTTCTTGCAGTGCTTTTTCACTTTCAAGCATGCTTTTGAAACATCTTTTTTTTTTGTTGTCATTTTCTTAAATATGTACTTATTGTTTTGAGTTGGAGTAAAACGTGACAGGAAGTCTCCATCGCGACTTGCCGATTCTCACACATTCCATGGATAAGCTGTTTATGTAGCTACATGCTACCTTACCAAAGAACCTTCGCTATCCCAGTGCTCTAGTAGAGCAGACATTAACCATTGGCCATTTTTTTCCCAATAGACACCCCAGAGGTCTAGGTCATTCCGCCAAAATCTTCCAGTTCAGCATCATCATTGCCCAGTATTCCTCCTACAAACTGTCTTTGACCAATCAGGTCCTCAGTCCGTCACTTTTACAGCCAAAATTCGGCGATGTTGCATTGTTTCAGAGAATGATGACAGGAGCAAAAATGGCTGAGGGAGGGGAGAGGAGAGAGTGTATATTCATAGATTTTTCATAGTCAGTATGATCCTCACACACATCCTTTAGCCCTTTAAAGTGAAGTCTCCAGAAATGCCCTTACCCCCCCACCCTCACACTTCCCCACCCCTGATCAGACACCTCACTGCTGCCCTTACTGGAACCGGTGAGAATTTCCAGCCCCTGCGCTCCCACACCCATCACAGTCCCGTGCTGAGGACCGTGCTGTGGGTGTTGATCTGGGTCTGTGGGGTGGGTGTTTGGTTGTGGATGAGGCTCTGGGGCATCTGGGCACGGCGCAAGGCCTCACGGATCTGCAGGTTGAGCTCCATGAGGCGGGCGCTGGCCTGAGACAGATCTCTGCTTGGCCCCACCACAGCCAGGCAGCCTGTCTGGCCCAGAGTCTGGTGCCGGAAGTAGATATGCAGCAAAGTCTGCACAGCATCATCCTTCTCACTGCCAAAAATGTCATTAGGCCACAAGCACCTGGGAGAGGGGAGGAGGGGAGGAGGAGGAAAGGAAGAGAGAGAGAAAGAGGAAACTCAGATCCCAATCACTCCACCCCAAAACTGATCAGATTGTAATCAATGGTGTTAGCCTGACTGAGGTAAAATGGTAGCGTGAGAATGTGACTTTGTGTACAGACCACTGTGATACTGTCTGTATGCAGTCGGGTTTATGATCTGAAGAACGTTGCAGCCCTTGAGCTTCAAGGTTTAAGGCTGTCACTGACAGTTATTCCTATGACTGGTTAAGGCTGTTATGAGTGCTTTTGTTTAAAGTGTTTGTGCATCACTGAAATGCTGTGAAATGCCATCTGCACGTTTCACTACACATCGCTGTTATTTCATTGGTGGAAATACTCCCACACTGGACATTCTGGGTCTTGCTTTCTTTAATTACTCTCTCTCTCTTTCTCTCTCTGTGCCACTCTCATTGTTCTGCAAGTTCTGTCTGTGCAAAAAGCAACTTCTTTTATGGTGCAACGAAACAATAGAAACAAGTGACTTGAATCTGGACAGTAACCTGGTAAGATAACAGAACCTGATAATCACATGGATTTACAATTGGTAATTAAATCTGGTTACTGGGTGGCAAATAACATGCAAAACAGCTCATATACAACAACCAAGGCGAACTGTTCAGTGGTAGCTGTGGGCTACTATTTTTCTGTGTTTTTCCACCATACACAAAACAGCAGCAGGAGGCACCATCACCGTGTTGGGAGGGCTTTTGGTTGTCAACTTTTTGTTTTGGAGAGATGGATGCATTTATACTTGTAAAACATCTGAGTGATTTGAGCAATCGAATTTAAATCTGTTACAAATGCATCTGGGACATGTTTACATCTATATTTTTATGTGGATAATTTCTACCCGGACATAATCCTGACAATCAATACATGAAACATATAGGTGTAAAGGGGGTCATATACCTCCCCCAAAGCTTCTTCTAGCATACTGCAATTTGTCAGAATGGCAAAATGCATCATTACAGAGCAGAAGTCACCAACCCTCTTCCTGGAGATGTACAAGTTTAGTACCAACCTACATCTAATAAGCTGCCCCAACTCACTGCTAATGCATCTGTTCCAAGCCAACTACAGACTTAGGTAGAGGTTAATTAGCTGGCAGACTGTGGTTGGAACTAGGCTCTGCAGGAAGCCAGATCTTCAGGACCAGGGTTAGTGACCACTATTATATGGTATGCAGTGTGTTCTTTACTTTAAAGTAAATAATCTGTCGACAATATGAAATTCATTTTTTCATAAGTAAACTTCTGGCTAATCGCAGCAGTCCTACTTAGGTTCTCAATGACATGAGTTTGTATTGTCTATCCGATTGAGAATGTCACACATGCACCCATGCTTGTTTATGCACTTGTTTTATCTGAAAGCTTTCAGAGAGTATGGGGCTTATTCATCTAGGATGCAAAGTGGGATGCAACAGTGTGTGTTTACCTGAACGCTTTGACCTGTGCGAGGGCAGAGCTGAAGTCTCGCGCCCGTAGACTCTCGATCAGTGAGTGGATGGCCGTCTCTGTACTGGACTGCACTGCCTCGGACACGCTGACTCCCTCCTGTCCGTCACTCACTGACTCTGCCTCCTTCAGACAGCTCTCCAGGATGGCAAGCTCCTCTGACATGTTTGTTACCTAGGAAACACCACTCATTTCTAACAAAACCTTCTTTTTTACCCCGACACCATAGCCAGTTTCATCTCTTAAAACCCAGGTCAACCTCTGAGAAATACAATGGCGTGTATGTAGAAATACAGAAACACAAACAGCCCCGTCCAACTGAATGCGCGCACACGCACTGTGTGTAGTCTATAGAGGCTGGTAAGTGTGTTAGCATTGATCTGCGATCAGCTGAATGGCTTGGCTCTGGCCTGTATGTGGAAGATCAGTCTCACTCAGAGACCTAATTTAGTTACAGCTACAGTGCAACAGCTCTGAGCTCAAATAAATTTAACAGTACACTCACAGTGCCACACACACATTGCACACACAATATGAGGCATCTAATATATTACGCAAGCGGCTAAGTAGTTGGTTCTCTAACTTAATGTGTGCATTAGAGCATCCAATTAATTTAGCCTTCTTTCAGTTTTACAGCAAAATCAATTGAATTAAAAGCAAGTCTGTTATTTCAAAATTACACTATGTTCCCTTTAACAGCTTAGCTACAAAAAAAAATTAGAATTCTTCAAAACAAGACATGATTATGTCTGACTGCACAGTTTTAGGGCTGCTGCTTGTGATTATTAATAACAACTGATTAATCAGTGAATCAAGACGCAGATTAATACAGTTAATAAAGTTAAATTTTCAATAGAGTTTAACTGTAGCCCAAACACATGGGATCTTTAATAACGCCAGACACTAAACACATTAAGCTATGCTGTAGCCTTCCATACAAAGAATGTCTTTTCACATCTAACATGAACATGGGCTTATATTTAACCTTTGAGGCTTCTGGATAATTTTCTGACTCAGCCTCCTTCAGACAGCTCTCGAAGATGGAAGCCTGTTTTCTTCTTGGCATGGAAAAATGAATAACTAGAATTTCATGGCTGTTTTGATTGCAAATTAAATAAGTGAAAGGTGGTCTCTTCTTGTGGACTTTATGCACAGCACTGTACATATACACAGTACAGTCCACATAGAGTAAACATGTAATGCAAAGCATACAGTGCAGGACTAGTACTTCTACACGGTGGTGATTCTTTGCACAAATACGAACCTCAGCCTCTCTTTTTATGGTGTCCACTCTGCTGATGAGTTTACAGTAGGCCTGAAAGAGCAGCAGCAGCTGAAAGTGGAGCTTATACAACCTCCGACAGAGCTCCAGCTCCTACAGAGAGAGGGAGACAGAGAGAGAGAACCAAGCATCATTAGCTCAACATCAACATATCCCAACCTTCACTTTCACTAGCATCAGCAGCATGTTTACATGATCAAATCACAGGATGGATGTGTGGATGAACAAATGAATGGATAAAAGTCCAGGGTTAGAGAGGAGGGGATGAAAGCGTTAAACCCTGAGACGGCATTCTGCAGCTGGGGCCCAGAGAGCACGGACTGAGCATGCTCACTAATCTTCAACATTAACCATGATTAGAGAATGCCATGAACGCATGCTATTTTTATACTTCCCCTCTTAGCTTGCAACAGCCAAGGTTCATTTCATGAATGTCTGTATGAACGGATGTTCTAGATTGGGAGTGAGGAAGAGGGAAAACGAGATAGGAGAGATGAACATGCAGAACGAGTGGAAGATGGTATTAAGGCTTCTTGCCTAGGTTGACATCCTCCTTTCCGTAACCCATGGACACACCCCATTCACTATAATCACAACAGTTTCTTTAACAACATTTGTGCAGGCTTTTATATTATGTAATATTAGCAAATTAGCACGGAAGTAGCAAAGTTAAGGTCGTACAAGTACAGTACCAATTTAGGGCAAGGCATTAATGAAGCATATAATATGTACAGAACATAAACAATAAAGTCTGTAGCAGTGTTAAAAGATACAAGGCGGAGACAGACTGTTCAGAGCTCTAACTGGTTTAGCATGACTAGTTGTGTTTATGATGAATGGATGGAATGGTCAGTGCGTGTTGCCACGGCGACATGATTACGGAAAGGTCAAGAAGACGAGAACCACTTACTGCTAGAATTTCCATTTGCTAAGCAAGAGGGAGAGCAGGTCACCAAAACAACAAAAAAAAACAAAGGAGACGGAGAGAAAGATACATTAGTCAGTGCATAACACACCCCAACCACCAAGAGAATGGACAGAGTGAGAGGAGGATTCAGAAGGAGAGGAAGAAGAAGAAACACTGCAGTAGATTTATCACAGTTAAATACATGCAAGAGACATGAGAAAGCAGAGCCGAAACCAAACCTCCATTTAGATACAGCAGTAAAAAAAGTCTCTTTAGGACAAAAGCTATTCTGAAGAAAATCAAATCATCTATGGCTCAAATAAACACACACGAAGAGCAAAACAGAGTGAATCCAGAGAGACATAGGGAGAGACAGAGAGGGAGAGACAGAGAGAGAGAGAGAACACATGACTAGAGAGGAAGATTTTTCCAAAATCTTCAAATACTTAATGTGTATGAAATTAACCATTTTCAAACATGCCAGTTTATTTTCTCTTTTACACATAATTTTCACGGCTGCTTTGAAAACAGTTTTCAATACAAGTTCATCATTACTCCACATGATCTTCTAATAACCTTCATACAGCTTTCTTTAGGACGTCACTTGGACGGTTTACACTTTCTCATCGAGGGCCTTCATTCTGAAACTGCCTACCACCTCATCTAAAAACTGTACTCATCAGCTTCAAAAACAGGTTAAACCCCATCTACTCAACCTGTGTGTTAAGAGTTGTGTTTGTTTTTATTTTATAAATTTTTCTTTTTTCCTTCAGGGACAGTACTTTTTTTTCTTTCCCTGCACACACAATCTCTCTTTTTTGTTTTTGTTTCTATTAACTGCACCTTGTGTTGTGAGTATGTGGATGAGTATGTGGACACCTGACCAACACCTTTAGATGAGCTTGTTGGACATCCCATTCCAAATAAAAAGGCCATTAATATGGTGCTGGCCCTCTTTGCGGCTATAACAGTCTCCACTCTTCCGGAAAGAGTGTTTAGTGTGTCGGTGGGAATTTGTTCAGTCGAAAGAGCATTTGTGAGGTTAGGCAATGATGTTGGACGAGAAGGCCTGGTTCACAATGCATGTTCTACAGGGAGATTCACTCGAAAGAGGCCCCGAATATTCTGTAATAACTCTCGCTAGGACAAAGCAATCTGAACGAAACGACGTGCAATGTGCTCCTCAGTCTATGGAGCTTCAAACAAGCTGAGAAGCTCCTGCGTCGGGGCGATGGGGTAGGCGCCAGACAGCCGTCGCGACGTTTAACCTCTGTTTGCAACTTCCGGGTGCATATCCCCATACCCCTTCATGTGTCTGGCAGAAAAAAGGTAAGTAATGTATTTTTTGGTTCAGATTGCTTCATCCTAACGTAAGTTACAACAGAATATTCTGGGCCTCTTTCGAGTGAATCTCCCTGTAGTTCATCCCAAAGGTGTTTAGTGGTGCTGAGGTCAGGGCTCTATGCAGACCACCAAAGTACCATACCAATCTCTTTAAACCATGTCTTTATGGACCTCACTTTGTGCAGAGGGGCACAGTCATGTTGCAACAAGAAAGGGCCTTCCCCAAACTTTTGCCACAAAGTTGGAAGTATATAAGTGTCTAAAGCGTCCTTGTATGCTGAAGCATTAACATCACCCTTCATTGAAAGTAACTAGCTGAGCTCCAATCCTGAAAACAGCCCAAGATCATTATCCCTCCTCCACCAAACTTTTGTTGGCACTGTGCATTCCAGTAGGTTGCATCCTCCTGGTGCCCACCAAACTCAGATTTGTCCATCAGACTGCAAAAGTTAGTGAAGTGTTAATCAATCCAGAGAACATGTTTCCACTGCTCCAGAGCCCAGTGGCGTGTTCAACACACTCCAGTCGACGCCTGGCATTGCACAAATTAATTTTAAGCTTGAGTGCAGCTGCTCCGTCACCATTTAATTAAGCTCCCGACATGCCTCCAGGGGCAATGGGGAAGGGTGTAGTGAGTGATGCAATAGAGCATAGGCAAATTTTATGTGCTATGCATTTCAGCACTTTGCATCCAACGTTTGCATGATCTACCACTTTGTGGCTGAGTTGCTGTTGCTCTTAGACCTTTTATTTTCACATTAATAGCATTTAACTAGGGCAGATCGAGCAATGTAGAAATTTCAAAAATTGACTAGTGGCAAAGGCATCTTGTGACAGCGCCATGTTTAAAGTCTATGAGCTCTTCAGTATGACCCATTCTGTTGCCAGTGTTTGTCCATGGAGACTAGATGGACATATAGTTAATTGTTTACACTTTAAAAATGGGTGTGGCTAAAACAATTCAAATCAACATGTAGGAGGGTTGTCCAAATACTTTTGGCCACATAGTGTATTAAAGACGATCAGGAAAAGTTAATTATCATCAATTTGATATCGATATTAATAATACACTAAATTTACAACTTATTATTTAGCATTTTATTTTAGTCACTACTACTGAGCATTTTCATTCTATTTAATTCACTAAAGCTATTAGATAACAGTGGATAACAACACCACTTCACTAGGGGCAGCCTGCCCATATATGCAATTAAACATGGCTTAAATAAAATTCTCATCTCACAATATTTCATATTGCGATGTGAAGTGATGATGCTTATTACCCAAGTTTATCCACCAGTTGCTACTGCACCCCAAACATGTCGTTCAGGTAGGCACGCTACTGCTCAACCAATAAAACTTGGTAGATAAACTCTGGCAAGAGACTCAATTGTCTCATACCATAACATTCAAATACTACTGTGAATAGCTTTGGGTAAAAGTCATTACAATAATTACAATTAGTGTCAAGTCTGATTTAGCTGTGTTAAGGCAAATTAATCAATGATCCAACTTTACAGTGTTCTGTCCTACACTGAATGCAAGTCATATGTGGACTTTAGTTTAACCTTTTTTTAAAATGTGGGAAAGGAAAAAAGATTTATTTATTACTAAGGTATTAATTATCACTTGTTATCGACCCTGGAATTCCATATTGGTGCTAACAGAATAGTAAGGAAAAAGGAAAAAGGGAAACAAGAAGGTCAGACAATCACAGGCTGAAAGACACAGACAGCTATAGAAAGATGAGACACAAATCTACCAGAAAACATTTCACCCCTGCTGCACTACAAATAAGAAGCTTTATGTAACCCATTTTGACCCCAGGGCACAGAAAAAGAAAGAAAGCAGAGGGTAAGGAAAGAGAGAGAGAGAGAGAGAGAGAGAAACAGTAAGCACAAAAGTGTGTAGATGTGCGAATATTTGCATATGTAAGCTAAAGTTTCAGATGTATCAGTAGAATTTTCTTTCGCTTATCTTTTTGCTCAGAAACCAGGCAAAAAAACAACAAAAATGCTAAATAAATATATAAAAACACCCTTATTTTCACGGGTAATGGTTGTGTAATACCTGAGCTTGAGTTGTGGGCCGATGGCTGCTGTCTTTATCACCAAAGGTCTTCCTGCAGTTCTCCAGCCACTGTGGAAAAAAGGAGTGACAGACTGAAATTGAAGGGTGAGTCTCAGGTCAGCTGAAAGAGACCAGGTCAGGAAGTATCAGCAGCACAGCAGGACAAGAGCAGACCCAGCCATTCCAATATGCGCAGTAACAAGTGTAGACATAAGGAGAAGAGACGGCTGCATTTACAAAGCCTAGTCTTTGCAGAAGTTTGAAGACTGATCTATAATGAAAGCCTAGTACTGTGTCAATGCGTATGGTAAATTTGATCAGAGCGCAGTATCAGGCAAATAAAAGAGGGTCTGTTTCAATGCAGTGGCAGGCGGGGCTCAATACTCTAGAGACAGCGCCTATGTCTTATCCAATTAACATCTTCCAATTCTCCACTATCTCATCAGCCCCCCTCCCTACCCTCTTCTCCCTCCTCCACTTCCCTGTGGCGTGTCCGCCCCGCTAACTGATTTAGGGGCTCCATGGGGCTATTCTTAGTGCCTGAACACAAGTGCTGGGTGGGCGCTAACGGAAACCAGCGCTGGCTAAAATCTACTCACGTCCTGAGATGATTTAATGGCTGCTCTCGACTATGACTGTAACAGACGCCAGGGTGCTATTTATCTGTCCGCATGGTCAGCTTTATTCTCTCATGTGCTCTACTTTCCCCTCACTCTTTCCTGTTCTCACCTCTATATGACTGTCATCGTCAAACCATTGGAAAAAAAAGTTGAAATTGTTTAGAGACAAACTCTTAAGAGAGAATTTGACAGCTTTTCAAAAATACTGTAATAAGTTAGTCACTAAAATGTAAAGTTTATTTTTTGGGGTGGTCTGATTTGAAAGAGTGCACTGTAGAGAAACTTTACACTGGTAATGAGAGGATCAAGAGGTTGCTGTTGTGGAGGAAACCGTGTCTAAGGTTTTATATGCAATGTTGGTAAACCTAAAATAGTGGTAAATCTAAATAAAAAAAACCTATTTGTGCCTTAAGCAAGAACATTTTAGGCCAAAATCTAATATCAAAACTAGGCATCAGGCAGAATATTGTAATATGGAACTCTCTGTTATGTAACTTTAAGACTCATTAAATGCCTTGGATGCCTGGTTCCTATCACCACTGCTGTGAACAATTCTGGCTCAGTAAGGTTTCGCTAGAATAGTGCATTTTACGTCAAACCACTCACAATGACTGTTTACATCTGAACCCCTTTTTACGCTACAAATTGGTCGAATTCCCCAGCAACAATTGTATTAAGAATTCAGAGATTTTTTAAAGGTCATAAATTTTATTTTATACTGAATTATGGTGAATAAAATATAAATAGGGTTGCATTAAAGTGTGCATGAAGGTGTGTCATTTGCAGCAAATGCATGTGAAGAGGTGCGCTTTACAGCAGATGGGCAAAATGGGTAGTGGTGAATTGCTGGTGCATACTGCACCTGGAGAAGTTTATGGCACAAATTAAGTGCCATGCCCAAAACTCACCTGTTCTGCAGCCTCTCTTTTGCCATTGTAGGTGTCCAGATGCTCCTGCAGCTCCAAAACACTGAACTTTAATGTCTCCAAGAGCCCACAGGAAACCAGCTGCAGAACACACAGACAATGCAAACACACAGCAGCGCAGTCAGTGCATAATAAGCAGACACTATGATTACATGAAATGGAGAAAATTTTACAGTATCTAAAAGTAAAAGCAGAATTTTCTATTTACTTTTCAAATATGGAGGGCACTTAACCCTGACCTACTGCATACTGTTTTTAATAACTGTACTAAAAGGCATTAAAAATATACCAAGTTATAGCAAGACTATTCAAGCATAATAAAAAAGCCATGAAGCTACGTTGCTGATACTGTCTATAAATACTTCAGGAGAAAGCTGCCCTTTAAAGCCAAATTAAATTAAATCGACAACTTCTACCATATAGTCCAACAGATTCTGATTGCAAAAGGATAAACTCACAGTCTCTGCATCAAGTAGAACTGTAGGGCACTGAGAGCAAGAAGTCATGACTTCTAGAGAGCTGAGGAACTGGTTTCCCATTCTCTGGAGCCCTTCACCAAGGAACCGCACTGAGGCGTGGGTAATGGAGTCAAACTTCCTCTGGATGTGCTGTGCAGACACGCAAAAGTCAGTGTTGCACAGACACATACGCACAAAAGACTATATACAGCATCTATCAAAACACTGGGATCACATAGCCTTCGTTTTAAATTGTAAATTCCTCGTTATAAGGAAAAAAAATCTTCAAAAGTTTATCAAATTGTCTTTTTTGATGTGAAGATCAGGTTTTGCCTAAATGATGATTTGACACTTTTCCAAACTACTGTTACAAACACACTGAAAATGACCCTAAAGCTAGTTTAAACAGCTGAAAGGTTAGAGGATGAGTGCTGACAGAACAAGGGGATAAAATGTGTGTGTTATGGCATTATTCCCAATATGGCTGGCCAATAGGATATTTATCAATACTGTGATTAACTGGGTAACATTACATCACAATATATACACAACACTGACCAACTGAACATTTCATAAAGAGCGCAGAGAATTATCCTGGATTATTTGTCTTCAGAGCAGTGCAGCATGTGAAACACTAAATTAAATTAATTGTATTCAGATTTTTTTAAATGTAGAACTAGTGCTTTTGTACCTCTTTCAACATATCAACCTAATAAAAAAAACTAAATATTGTGAAGCATATCACTTTGCACAAGTGTGATACCAATTCATATTGTGTCATAGGCCTGTAGATGTAACGTGATATTGTCTATGACATGTAACCCACTGACGACGCTTAAAAGGCAATAAACGTTCTGAAAAAGAGAACTGAGAGAACTAAAGAGGACTAATTTACATTTAAACAGCTTGCTAAATAATATTAATTAACACGTATACATAATGTTTTACTCATTTTTACCGTTACAACTATGGGCTATTATGGGGCCTTAAAAAGCTGTCATGGTCTAGTAAATTTCCTACTGTCTCTGCTGTGGGCTTCCCAGAGTATGACTGTCTAGGAAAAATTCACAGCTTAAGTGTTACGGTCATTCAGAGGAGTTAAATTACACAAATTATGAAAATATAATACTACATGTTTTTCATCTATTGCTGAATTTCCCTATAATGAAACACCTAATTGTTTTAATATGTAAAGCATGTGGGCACGGCTTTCGAAATCATCCATTCAGAGTATGTGCTGTAGTCACAATTTTCTCCAGCGAGGGGCGCTATTAGCAGACACGTCACTAAGAATCTACACCTGAAGGAGCTCATGAACGCATGAGTGCTGTAACAACTATTAACGACAGGTTAGATAGTTTTCAAAAAATGGTGGAATACTCACTATTAAATTTTTAGTATGTATTTTTAATAAAGCTTTTCATTAAAAACTGCTACTCAGCGTAAAAAAAAAAACAAAAAAAACAACTGTAAACTAAAAACAACTGCAGCAGACCTCATATAACATATGTGCAAATTATTTTTAGATATCACCCAGGCCTACTGTGTAACGTGTGATATTGTTTCTACGAATTTCGACATGCTGGTTGCTAAGTAAGAATGGAAACATGATCATTCATATAAAAATAAGTGTCCAAAAACTTTTGACAGGCAGCAGCCCCAAGTTTGTGGTATCACTCAGTACTGGTCATTACAAAAGTCCAAACAAGCATGCTGCTACTTCACCTGGAAGAGGCGGGAGAACACGTGGAAAGTGTAGACGGCACAGGACCCGTCCGTGTCGGACAGCATCTGGTTGACATGGCAACGCCAGGCATCCTCCTCGTCATCGTAAGCGATGGGCTGGAACGCTGCCAGGATGGCAGAGAGAAAGGGCGAGGGGGGCGGAGAGCCCTGCAGCTCGGGGAAACCGTCCGCATCGCCCTCGTCCTGACTGCAAACACACAAAAACAACACAGGTCAGATCTACTCTCTCTCTCTGACACACACATCACAAGAAGTAAACAAGTTACGTCACTGAAGCAAAAACACGTATCAGGAGCTTGCGCCACGTCCGACCCCCTTTCCCTTGTCCCTCCTCCCCCATCCTCATCTCTTTCTCTCTGCAGATGCTTCACTCTGCAGTGTAGTTTCAGTTCAGACCTACTGCAGAGGATAAGAAAAACCTCTCTCTCTCTCTCTCTCTCTCACACACACACACACACACACACACACACACACACACACGCACACTTACAGGCCTGAGGGGCCGAAGAGCCTGATGAAACAGACGGAGTAGAAGTATCTAAAGCCTGTGCTGCTGAGCGTCGAGAAGGACACCGTCTTCGTCTTCATCCTCATCCTCGCTAGTAGCCTCCTCTCCTGTCTACATACACTCTTTGACTGCCTCTCGTTCTCTTCCTGTTTCTCTGCGGTCTTCACACCCGCTAAGCTCAAATTCTCTCTCTCTCCTTCTTTCACCTCACATGGTCTGACCACCTCTCCTATTATTTTTCCTCACTCTCTCTCTCGATCCCTCTCCTCCTCTCTCTCCCACTCACTGCGAACCGATATTGCACTGCATTAGCAAACTGTGTTCATTATCTCCCCCCCCCACCCCCGCTCTATACACACAAGCGCACACGGATGCAGTTCTGGATCTGTCAGATGGATCCCCTCTGCACGCCTCACCACAGGGAGAGCAGAATATAGGCCTTCGCTTCCTGTACTGCGCACGTGAACATTCGCACACATGCACGAACACGTGAGTGCCTCTGCTTTGAGGTAGAGGTTCTGCTGGAGCGCTGCCATTCGCTCGGCTAATCAATGACAAAGGGCTCTGCAGCGCGTGCGCATCCGCCCCCTGGGAGAGCAGATAATTGATAGTATCTGGCTCAGTGTCTTGCTTCTGCATCTTTACTGCAGTTGGGGGACTAATGTCCTCTGTCCAGGATTGGCCCACCTTCACATGGACTTATTAGCCCACAGCTGAAGAGCTGAAGCTGGCCAACCATCAAGGAGACGTCTTGGTGCCAAGCCCTAACCAGGACCAGAGCCAAGCATGAGCTCAGCCATCATTGTTCTAATCTAATTAGTCTAATTAGCCTCACAATAGAGGGTATGCAAGACACGCACATAGGTATATAAGGGATCTCAGTCTCCCCATCAGTTCAGGCACTCGCATCAAGCTTTGAGCTCCTAATGCTCAGTGTGGAATGACAGAGTTTCAGCAGAGTTCCTCAGTACAGACTGACGCTGACCTGGCTGACAAACAGCAAAACTGATTCTCATGAACACCTGCACAGAGATAAGGTTACATATTATGTTACAAATATTAATCATATCCTCCACCAATTTACTCTGTGTCTACTAGAGCTTGATTACTCTTAATTATGCAATTTTAAAAATATCCAAAAGTACCTCAATAATGACTAGTCAGCATATTTGAATAAAGATAATGCATATTTTAAATTCTTCTACTGGTCTCTCTAACAGTAAGACACAGACTGATAGACATACCAACTACAAGTCAATTTTTATTGTTCAGCCTTCTTTAAAAACTTATTTACTCATCAAAATAATCATTCAGTAAGTGGATGGCTGATATAGTTGACAGTGACTGCTCTAATACAGTCGTACGCAAAAGTTTGGGTGCTATAGTTATATCACACGCCTCGTTAATTTATTGAGAAAATAATTTGTCGGCACATCTACAGAGAACACGCTTCTGCACACTGCAATGCACAATTACTGTTTATTTGCGCAAGTTAAACTGGGGGGGAAAACATGAAATGTGGCCTCTGCAAAGGTTAAGGCACAGTTTATATTTTCTATTTTTTTCTGTTTAGTTAAACTTAGCAAATAAATAGAAAGGCACTAAAATTTGCAGAGAAGTGCTATATTTAAATTTGTTCACTGTAGATGATGTTTTAACTTATGTTCACTTTCGGAAATCAACAAAACTTAATGTCACTGAAGACATTCTATTTTTGCACGACTATCATTTGGTATTTGCACATAATGCTACATCATGAAGCCCTAAAATTAAGTCAACAGAGCTTCAGAACCAAACACAGCAGATAGCATGATATTTGGCCTCAGGAAGTAAACCAAACAGTTACTGACCATTAGCGTGACCGTTCGGCAAACAAAAATATATATATATATAAATAAATAAATAAATAATTTGTGCAATTTTCCTCTTATCCCCAATGTAGTCAAGCAGCCAATATACATTTTATGTCCAAATTATTCAGGTATCTCTTCTAATAAGTCAAGTCTGCTACTTTAAGATCCCATTGCTGACACAGCTTGTATAATCTGTGAAGTGAGTGACTCTGTGAAGCATCACTAGAGGGGTCTAAAGCCCCTCAACATTAGGTGTTGGAGTGGTGGAACTGTGTTTGCTTAAGTGATTTAAGTGAGTTGAAGTGGAATTTGTGATCGACAAGTAATTACGCAGCGTCCAGTACCTGGCCCCCCTAATGCTCTTGTGCTCTTACAGAAAAGCAGAGACTGTTAGTGCAGCAAAGGAGGGACAAACTCCCTATTACTACCTTTGATACACATACACTAATGTAGCAATTCCAAATAAGCTTGTTCTTATGTGTTCTTTTCTAATTCTAATTTTTCACCAAACTCGCTTTGAAGGCCACAAATACTTTGCTTTGGTATTTGATATCATACATGTTTTGATCTGGAGCTCTGTCCACCTGACTTCAGAGCGCAAATACAAACCCAGTCCATACATCACAAAACCAGCTCCGCCTCCCTGGCTCACCTGGACATGCCAGAGAAGTCGGCCTCCTCTTCTTCACACCTCTCATCCAGCTCTTTCAGGGCCAGTGTCACGTCCTCTTCACACACAGAGTCCGGGGCACTGTCTGGTGCGGTTGGGGGCAGCACTGTCTCATCCTCACACAGTGACCCCGGTGGGCTGTCTACCGCCGGCGGTGGAGGGGGAGCTGGGTCCAGGTCGTCAGGAGGGTCCTGAGAGTCTGAGCAGTCAGGCAGGTCACACAGATCGGGGGGGTCCGAGGGAAGAGGGGGGGCACTGCAGAAACCCGTGTCCTCACTCACACTGCTGCTAAGCTCATCCGCTGCCGTCACAGTAGCGTCCTGCAGGACAGAGTGCGGGGGGGCAGTGAAGCAGGACATAGACAACAAACAAGCTGACTCTTGTTTGCTTGTCTGCTGGTTTAATAGGGTTGGTTAAAAAACAGTAGGGCTCTAACTAACAATTGCTTCCACAAAGTATTACCATACTAACTATTATGCAGCTAGTTAATCCAACAAATTATGCCTTCTTTATTTTCTTTACTGCATCTATGATGCTTTTAAATGAGGCAGGGCCTATACAGGACAGTCTTAGACCAGTAGAATTGCTTTAGATGAAAAAGTATTTCACAAATTATGTATAATTATAAACTTCAAAAAACCCAAATATTACTCACTCCCTGTAAATTGTGCACCTTTAATACTTATACCAGTGCAAAACTCAGTGGCTTCACTTCACATGTATACACATACGCACAAAAGACCGCACACACAAACTCCCATCCACCAACCCACCCACACCAGTTGGTGAGGATTAAGAATGCTATTCTGCAGTGAACACATTTCCACTCTGCCTGTGGCACTTCTGACGCACTATCAGTAGTCTCCAGAGAGCCGTTTCAGTCTACAGCGGCAGAAATACATTTTAGTGCAAGGCAAATTTAGGCCAGTTAGCCCGAGGTCAGATCCTGACCACTGCTATGAGACACTTAAAAATGGCAATTCGCAAAATGGACCATTCCAGAGACACTGCTCTTATTAGCAAACATAAGAAATCAATAAATGGAAGTACATAGTTGATTTAACACTATGCATTTACGATGCAAATGTGACCTCCAGACCACCGCCATCAAAAATAAGGTACATGGTGCCAGTGACGCATGCCTTGACTAGTAATGAATTACACTCACAGGGGGGCACAAACATATGCATACGACTGTACATCATGAGATGAAATAAAATGCATATGATCTATGGAACCTAAAAGTTAATGAGAAACAGTTTTTACTCTTAAACCACAATTTACCAAGGCAGTCAGGTCACAACTGCAACACTTAGGCTACGTTCACATTACAAGCCTCATTGCTCAAATCCGATTTTCTGCTCAAATATGATCTCTGACACGATGGTTCACATTCGTTTAGGTAAGTGATTCAAATCTGTTATTAATGTGAACGAACTGGCGTCCTGAAATGACTCGCATGCACACATCCTACTCAGTAACGTCATGTGAATGTATCACGTTCATCATCAGCAAACAAACTAACGAGCAGAACGAGCTTCGCTGAGAAGATGATTAACTCTGATCAGCTCTCAGCTTCATTATAAGAGCGAGACAAAGGTGAAAAAGGTGAGATGTGTTGTTTTTCCACCGTTCACAGGCTTTAACGTCTGGTCGGCACTGTTGCCATGGTAACAATGAATGATGGCGCATGCGCAGTGGAAAAAAGCGCATGAATTCCGATCTGAGCTTCACATTAGGGGCGCTTGGCCATGAATCGGATGCGTATCCAATCTAGGACCACATATGAAAGTGGCTCAGGTCGGATTTGTAAAGATCAGATTTGCGTGTCCACACAGCCCTGAAAACATCAGATCTAAGTCAGATTAGGGCAAAAAAAAATCAGATTTGTGCCACTTTAGTCTGGTAATGTGAACGAAGCCTTGCAGAATTTGAGAAAATTTCAATATGTTCTGTTAAATTAAATAAATGAAGCAGTTCCTCAGTTCCATTGCAAGGCTGCTACTGTTAGATATTAATTTCAAATTCCAACACAATTAAAAAATACCTCACGATGTACAGTCGTATGCAAATGTTTGGGCGCAGCTCGTAAGAAGGTATGTTTTGTTGATTTTCTAAGTGAAAATACTACATTTCTAAGTGAGGCTAACACATCCTCTCCAGACAGCTCAATTATTGTTTATTTGCTGAATTGGAAAACAAAAATAGAATAAACATAAAATGTGCTCTATGGAAAAGTTACAGCACATTTTATGTTTTTTTCTAATATGTTAAACACAGCAAATAAGCAGAAATTGTGCAATAAAATTAGAAAATTAGAAAAATCAACATCTTTTAAACATCCAGGGTCAAACTGCACAAGAATGTAACACTTGACCATACTGCTCAACATCAATAAACACTCGCGAACCAATGCTTGACATTTAAGAGGCAAATGATGAATGGCATGTTATTCCTGTAAGCCCCATCACACAAAATGAGTGACAGCGAACTCCGTTTTGCTGGGGTACGCAATGGTCTCCAACACTCATGTTTTATTGAAAGCTGTATTGGAAGAATGCTGGACACGACGTGAAAGTGGGGGAAAAAACAACTACATATAACAAAGTGAATGAGTTCCTGCCTTTTTCTTCCGTCTTCCCCCTATTTAAGAGTCTAGTGCGATACAGAGCATGGTGGCGAGCAGCCAAATCAGGACTAGAATTACAGAAAGCTTTTAGAGGGAATAGCTACAGCGGCGGAGGAGTTGATGAGTAAGAGTATTGATGGTTTTATCTGGACTCATTACACTAAGAGCTGGGGGAATGACAAGAGAAGATGCCCTTGGACTGATATTGAGGCACGAGTACGCTGAACTTAGCTTGTATGGACTTAATGGATATTCAGAGAAGAGCCTTATTCATATGTATTATAATGAGCAAAGGGGAGGGGCATTTTGCAGGAAATGGAACATGTGATTCTGCATTGACTGAGAACCACTGATGCGGTCACTAGACGTGTGTGCATTAAGGAGCAGCTTTAAACTCTAAGAGCAACTTTTTTGCACCAACAGTCAACATTAAAAAAACGAACACTACACTGTAAAAAAAAAAAAGAAAACTACACTGATCAGGCATAACATTATGACCACCTCCTTGTTTCTATGCTCCTTGTCCATTTTATCAGCTCCACTTACTATATAGGTGCACTTTGTAGTTCTACAGTTACAGACTGTAGTCCATCTGTTTCTCTGCATACTTTGTTAGCCCCCTTTTACCCTGTTCTTCAATGGTCAGGACCCCCATGAACCCTAACAGAGCAGGTACTATTTGGGTGTTGGGTCATTCTCAGCACTGCAGTAACACTGACGTGGTGGTGGTGTTTTAGTGTGTGTTGTGCTGGTCTGAGTGGATCAGACACAGCAGTGCTGCTGGAGTTTTTAAACACCTTAGTGTCACTGCTGGACTGAGAATAGTCCACCAACCAAAAACATCCAGCCAACAGCGTCCTGTGGGCAGCGTCCTGTGACCACTGATGAAGGACTAGAGGATGACCAACACAAACTGTGCAGCAGCAGATGAGCTATCGGCTCTGACTTTACATCTACAAGGTGGACTGACAAGGTAGGAATGTCTAATAGAGTGGACAGTGAGTGGACACAGTGTTTAAAAACTCCAGCAGCACTGCTGTGTCTGATCCACTCGTACCAGCCCAACACATACTAACACACCACCACCACGTCAGTGTTACTGCGAATGCTGAGAATGATCCACCACCCAAATAGTACCTGCTCTGTGAGGGTCCATGGGGGTCCTGACCACTGAAGAACAGGGTAAAAGGGGGCTAACAAAGTATGCAGAGAAACAGATGGACTACAGTCTGTAACTGTAGAACTACAAAGTGCACCTATGTAGTAAGTGGAGCTGATAAAATGGACAAGGAGTGTAGAAACAAGGAGGTGGTCATAATGTTATGCCTGATCACTTTCTAGGTTGGTTCATCACTGTTCATCATTGTTATATATCCCCACCATGAATTCATTCATACACCCCTGCTGTTTGAAAATGGTCAAACAATTCCACAATAAACACAGAAACTGACAGAGGGAAGCCCTATCACCAGTTAGGTTAGTTTAATTTACAATGAGTTAGTGAAATGTAACAGAAAGCAATGCAAAGCCTGTTAGTACTATAAAGGAAACCTCAGGCTCTACCCGACCTTTGTACAGTGTAAAGCTTCAACCAAATACTCACGCCATGCTTGGAGGTCCATGAGTGACTATGAGGGGTCTCCGATGGGACTTTCAGAGAGTTAACTTCTATATTTAGCATATTTCTCAGGCCAATCTGATGTTTTAGCACAGCAAGCCTGAGGTGTATGTCATCCCTGAGAGCAATCTTTCCCCAAATCACCCAATAAGCAAGCCCCACCCATGCAGCAATTAATTTTTGACTAATTGCAAAGATAACAGGAATATAAAAACATGACTGCGAAAACAGGAAAATAAGCAGCAAAAGACTTTCTCAATGCATCAGTGTTAGGACACAGTAAGCCAGCTGACAAGGGATGGTGTCCCTTAGGGTCCACTATTAAGACCGCTGCAGCTTTACTAACACCACGACAGTCCCTGATAGCAAGTGTTAAGAGAGTCAAAGGGGCTAAACACTTTTTGACAACTGCAAGGATAAGCAAAGGAGCACCTGCTACACACCAGCAAAACAGCGCAGCTAATAAAAAGCAACAGCTAGAAAGCACCCGTACACCAGAATTCATTCAGACTCCCGATTGATCCCACCTCAGGCAGCTGGCTGATATTGCTGTCAGAATGTGTGGTCTCATGGATAGGGCTGTCTGGGCGGGGCAGTGGTGGGGTGGGCGTGGCTTCTTCAGTTAGGACACTACTGGAAGACTCCTGGGATTGCTGTAGAGAATCCATGTGATTGGATGTGGCGTCATCTGTGGCGGAGTCACTGTTGAGCTGTGTGAATGGATAAAGGTTCACGTTTTAACAAGTAATTCTCAAAAAAAGCAGAACACCAAAGTCAATTCAGTTAGTCAATACTCTCAGACTGAACTTCTGAAGTCAGCTGTTGAAAGTGTTATATTAGATGCAAACCAGTGGCCAGACACAAGTTATAAGCAGGAATTAAAATCTTCTAGAACTTTTCAATACTGCTGAGAACAAGCATATATACTTATACGAGATTTATAAACTAAATGTTTTCTATCTTTAAATATTTCATTCCTCTTGTTCAACATGCTGCATGCTAGCAGAGTAACGTCCAACCTGTCACAGTCAGAAACAATTCACTTCTAGAAGAGATACTTCAGTCTCACTCACACAGGGCGCAGTTGGAAAAGGGAGAGGATTCAAGCTTCCAGACCAAAGCACTGAGAGGATCAGATTTTTAGTGCATCAACATGCTTTCTAAAGTCAGCTCAAATAAGCTCTGCAAAAATGCTAGTGCACCATAGCAAGCAGGGTGGGTTAGAGCAAGTATATTAAAAGCTTGGAGACCATGCAGTTATAATTGTTTCAAATGTTTTGCTGAACTGGAATCATGCTGTTAGATGTTTCAATTCCTCTGCAAACCATATGTATTAGGAAACATTTTAAGACTGTATATTTATTGTTTCCAGCTATGCAAGTCACCAACGAAAAAGGGGAAAAATTACTAGGCCCCGGAGCATTACTTACCACCAAAGAACAAAATTAAAAGTAATTAAAATGAAAAGGAGCAGCAGGTATGTGAGAACGGATTGAAAAAATATACTGGGAAGGCTGAAGGTGGGCAGTAGGCTTGGCTGGGCAGCAGGGTATTGGTCTGAAGATGACTGGGACTGCAGGTTACGGGAAAAAGCAAGCGTCTAACCACCCCTAGGTGGGACGTGAGAGCATCTAAGCCCAGCTTGGCGCACAGACACACCATGCCGGTGCCCCGTCTGAGGAGGGGGGCCCCGGAGACGGAGGGGGGACTTACGAGGTTGGAGCGGGTGAGAATCTGGCTAGCGCTCAGTACCTCCTCCTCGGACGACTCATCCGTGTCCTCTTGATTTGTTAGGTTGAGGCTGGGTGTGCTGCCTGTGTACTGGTACTCCTGCAATGACGGGGTGTCTCCTTTGTCCATGCTGTCTAGAGAGCGCCGACGCACACCCCAGTTGAAGTTGTCCATGCTCTCCCCCTGACGGTTGGAACAGGAACAGCAGTCAGAGAAATACATCACTTGCAAAATAATAATAATAAAAAAAACACTTCTTCTCATGGAAGGAAAGGACAAAAGTCAGACAGACACATCTCTCAAGGAGCATCAGCACAGAAGGGAACACCTAACAGGCTGTAAAAACATGCAAGTACTAAGAGACACTCTTTCTTCAAAAAAAAAAGGAGGACAATAACAAAATCTTTAGTGACACTGACACAACTAAGTTGACAAAGCGATAACTAGCCCATTTATAGTCCCGTTTACATACACACTTGTATAGTTTAACTTAACTATAACATGAACCTCCCCCTTCATTACACACCCAAATTTACACATGATCTTCTAACCATTTGAAAAAAAAACAGAATTGTGTTTCTTTCTTGCTTATCTATCTCAAGATGTTAAACTCCTTTGCCTTTCATCACCTGTGGTTATTTTGATGCCAGAAAGCTGTTATCAGACATTTGGTACTGAAAAAACCCTCTGCATGAGAGTCAGCGGAGCCATCTAAGCATTTAAAATTCATACACAATCATCTTGAACAGTCAGGCTAATGTAGGGCTGGATCATGTTTTAATCAATTAAAAAAATACACTGACTAAGACTTAAGTCCATGAGTATGCATGGAAATGTAATTGTGTTGTTTTTCCTTCCTCATTCTGACAGCTTTGCTGATGAAAAGCAAAGCATTTAATAAAAATCAAAGCAGATCCTCAGGTCCATATGGAACTGACAATGAGTTTTATAAAGCAGTAGGTAAAAAGTGAAATGCACACAAACCACTGAGTATCTAAATGTAGGAAATGGACATTCATCACAGGATGCACTGTTGTCTGCTAAGATTATAGTGAATGTTTTAAGAATTGTAGCACTGTTTTGTGGCACTTTAGGTTGGGCGAAGAATATCGTTGCATTTATGCAGGCGCCAAACTGGTCAATGAGCAGGAACAGACAACACTATGACCCACAGACTGACACAGAAACTTACCTGCAACTCCTGAAGGCAAGAAAAGAGTAAAGACAACAGAAGGGTTAGAGAGGAAAGACAGACGGAAAAAAGAAGGCTTTGACTACATTTGACAGTGTTCAATAATGTTAGTACACAGAAACAGATACAGAGTCGATCAATCTCTCACAATTACTGAAAACAATTCAATTAAGAGAGAAGCCAAGGACAACTAATAAGAAAGTTGTTTCTATTCATAGCTAAACATGTGAAATATCCCCAGGGAGCCAGCAGCAGGTCAGTTCTCACCTCTGCATCCTCCAGTTCCACATCTAGGAAGTCAAAATCTTTGAAGACCCCAAACTGCTGCTCACTTCCTGCATCCTCTGCCTGAACCTCCTCTTCGCGTGTCACTTCCTCTACCGTAGGAATCAGGCTGTTCTGCTGGTCACCTGTATCCAAGTCCTCATTTGAAGAGAACACCACCTGCAGAACAGAAAGATGATGAATTGTAACAAAAGACAGTATTGTGGGGAAAATCTGGCCATTTAGACTTGCACTTTTAACAGCTGCAGAAAATAAACAAGAAAAGACAATTAAAATCATTAATATGATAATTAATCGCCAGCTATAATTTCATGATCGTAACTGTCCCACATACACGGAGACATCAAATTTAGATGTAACTGTACTAAATCAGAAGAGAGGAGTTAAACTTACTGAGGGGTTTTTGGGTAGGGCATTTTCTGGCCCACACAGAGACAGGACATTCATCAGCTTCTCTCGTGTTCTCCTCTGAAATCAAACAAAAAAGAAACAGTGATGAAGATATTTTGTCAGGCCAATACTGAAAATGAGACTTAAGGCTGACTAAAACAAAATGAAATATATATATTCAATTACATTTTACACAATGGCACCTTCACAGCGACTTCAAAACACATGCACTGATATATAAACATTTATAAAGAAATACTTGAGTATTTATGAACAGCTTATGCCAGTAACTGCAAGATGACACAAGACACTCTATGAAGTGAATTATATTTTATTAACATAAGTAGTATATTAAGGTAATCTAAAGTTAATGACATTTGCTCCAGTTATCATTAACAAATAATGGAAATTATAAGGCAGAGGCTTAATTAAAAACATCAATTCTGGGTAATTGTACTTGTATTAAAGAACAAAAGAACATTTTCTATTATGGAGACCTGTGTGGCTGTAGACAAATAACTAACTCTTAAGGCCGTTGCACACTGGACGCATTGAAACTCGTTGCGCAGTGTCCAAAAATTAGAAACCATTGTTTTTAAAGGAGGTACGCAGTCTGCTGATGCACATCGGTGCTCCATGCTGCATGGCACACTGTTCAATTTCTCTGTGCATCACAGTGCGCCACGCAGCATTTCGCCACAGAAAGCCACAGTAGATCACGTGATCTGAATTTTACACAGAGGAAGGCAGCCAGTCTTGCAGATAAACAGACAGATGCTAATGATAAGTTACCTCAGCTAATGTTACTATTCAAGCCTTTTCCAGCACCTGTTAGCTCAATAACAGTCAGTTTGGGTAGTAAATGGATGCTAAGTGTGACAGTAATGCTGAACACTTTATATATTTCAATTTATATGAGTAGAGTGTAAAAATAAATTTGAACCTAGTGTTTTTGGACTTTCCCTGTCGGTGTTCTACTGCAGTGCTCTGCTGACATCCAGTGTATGACGGCCTTAACAACTAACTGTTTTCTGCAGCTACACAAGTCTCCTTATAAGCAATATGTAACATAACAGCAACAACTCACAGAGCAGCAATTTTGAATTTGTTGAAGTAGAAATACAGCCAGGGAACTTCTGCACTTACTAAAGTAACATTTTACCAGGGGACTTCAAGCAAGCAAAAGGGACTTTACTTTGGCTATTCTATCATTCCATGCATGAAGAGTTCTAGAGGCTACACTGTTAATCCTTGAAGATGATAGTTCAAGATAGTGGATTTCCAATAGTGTACAAGGCCTGCGATGCACGGACAGGTTACCCATACTTCGTGCTGTTTGACTGGCTATTTATAACTTGCTATTTAAGTTCATGTCATTAATCTGCTGTACTGCACCTGAGAGAGTTGGGGTCTTTTCCAGCTGACTGGCACCAGGCCATTAGAGTTCGACCCTGAAGATGTTGAAGACGTGCTCCTCGTCACAGCAATGACCTGTGGTTTTCCATTACGACCTGCTGCATTGCTCTGGTCTCCATACTTGTGCCCTATGATGGGTGTCTGAGAGGTCAAGGGTCAAAGACAAAGATTAGTCAGGAGAACTGAAGTAGATGAGAGAGAGCTGTTGAGAAGAGCTTTTATCTAGAGTTAAGAGCTTCTTTAAGCCCTAGGATAAACAGCAGGAGAAGGAAGAAAAGAAAAAAATGTATTCATGAAACATCTGAGAATTAACGTTGAACCAATCTCCTTGTTTACATTTTCCATTAACATAAGAGGAAAATAACGCTGTTTTTTTAGCTCTACGCTTTATTTTGAATGAACACCCAATTCACACTGAAAGGGACAGAATGTACAAAAGTAAAAAGGAGAACCGCATGTACCTCTGAGATGTCAAAGTGGAAGTCCAACGTTTTGCCTGGCAGCTCTTTGGAGGAGTTGTTAAAGATGCGAGTGAAGGCGATTTCGGGCGAACCTGATGATTCGGCACTGTAAGAGCGCTGCATCTCGTCAGGCACCACCAGGCTGGCCGAGCGAGACACCACCAGCTTCAGAATGTTCTGGGCCTCCTTCCAATATGGGCTCTGGATTAAAACACACATGCACTGAGTTGGAAGTTCAGGAACTGTTTATAAAATGCCTCAACCAGAATGTAAACATAAAGAAGGGATATACTGGGGATTCCACTTAAACACATCGTCAAACTCATTTGTTCATATATACAGCAACAGCTCCATCTGGAACTGGAAAGTGGAGTAGAAAAAAGCAGACAGGGAAAAAAAATCAATAACTTTTCCTACTGAAACCCTGTTCTCTGCAGCCCTTAAATCCTACACTACCTCCTTCACTCCATCCACCCTCTCAGTGTGTTACCCTGGGGTGATGACAGGGTGAAAAGCTCAATGGGGATAAAAGCAGCAGTGCTGTTTCAATGCATTTCTTCAAAAGTGCATCAAAAAAAGCAACGTGCCCCCAAGCTCTACCACACTTAGAGCTTTCTTTTTCACAAAGCACAAGCATAAACCCACCTTCACTTCCGAAGCGTGAGTGAAAATAAACCGCTGTATTTTTATCAAACAAACTACTACAAAAAGTCACTCAAAGCACAAAGACAACAACCTACCTGCACATATTTGCCTATGATCTTCATAATTTCCAGGTTAAACTGTTTGACAGGCGCAGCTGACAGGTCTATGTAACTCAGCAGGCTGTAGATGATTTGCAGCAGTGACTGCTGCATGCTGGGTAGCCCCTTTTCCAGTAACTAAAATGAATGTTAAAATGGCAATAATTACAGAGTACATCATCAAACTGGAAAATAATTACTGCTTTTGTAATTATTTTTCATGATTTATGCAAACACTAGGGATGCACCGGAATCGACCATTATGCTCTAACCCCACAACTGGCAATTTATTGCTTTTATTTTGCAGATCTGCAATTTTGTGATGTAACATGTACCAGGTATGCGTATTTAAATGCTGTTTCTAAATCCATACCAAAAACAGTTTGTTGCATAATTATACATTACTCATTGTTTTAAACAGCCAGTTGTCTCTTAGTTTTGGACCAATAGCAAGTCCAAAATGACTTGGAATAAAATCATGTTACTTTAACTGCAATGATTTACAAAACTGACAAATATAACCCTGCAGGTTAAGGGTTTAAAATGCTAGAACTTTTGCTAATACGAATTAATGGGTATGTTAGTGTGTTTCATTGGTTAATTTAGTGCACAGAGTGTAAGCTTAGAGTTTAAAAGAAAATCAATAAAAACTGTCAAAAGGGCAATCAGCCAATTTGCTTACAAGAAATAAAAAATAAGCTTTAAAAATTCACGCTTGGTGCATCCATAACAAATGCTGCAGTATCAGGAGAAAATACAGGTGAGTCCGAAACCTTTAAAACCCAAATGCAAATGCATATTTATCTTTTTCTGTAACACAAATACAGTTAAGTAATAACAAACGTTGCTCAGAAGTTCTTTTGCTCACCTCAGCCAGGTAAGTGACCAGGTTAAAAGTGATTTCTGCGAAGGCATCGTGCAGGTATCGGCATACCACGTTGATCCAGTTGGTGCTGTCTCGCGAGTAGCTGTGCGTAGAGTACAGGCTCATCATGTGGGCCAGGTTGGCCAAAGTGGCTGACTTCTCCTCAGCACACACCTTAGCGATGCGGTCTGCGGTCTCCTTGCAGAACACTGTAGGGCTGTCAAAGTGCTGGATTAGGTGAGGCAACAAGCACAGGATGTTCAAAGGAAAACCTAAAAGGAAGAAGTGGAGGAAAGAATTAGTATATAGAATTGTACTGATAAAAGAAAACACTGTTTTACAGTATTGTTGAAAATTTAGTGAAAGTTCGGTGACAAAACAAATTTACATTAAATTTTGCCAATACATTTTTACAATAAATATAAGAAATCCCAGAAGAACTAACATCTTAAGACAGTATGAGGCAAGCATGAGAGGATTTAGGCATGCAGTGTAAAAGTGGTGGCTATAAGCTTCCATTACTTAGCTACACTAGCCTCTTAGTTCCACTGCCAAATCAAAGAAGCAAACCTCAGACATCAGAGATTAATGTCTGAGTCACACCGTATGGGTTAAGGGGAAACGTGTGAACTGACCTGCCACTTGGGAAGGGTCTACGAGTGTGTGTCTGGACACAGTGATGAGCTTGCTGAGCAGGTGGATGGTGAGCTCCTGTGTAGCAGCTGAAGTAAAGCCCTTTAGGAAGAGCTGCAGCAGGCCAGGGAAGTTGTACCAGCGGAGTTTGGCCTGCACCCTCTCCAGCCGCTCCCTGCTGTCAGCCTTCTCCAGAGGCAGCTGAGCCAGCAGTCGGTTCAGAAGCCGGAGTGCCAGCAGGTATTCAAACTCGTAGTCTGACTCGAGCAGCGAAGCTGCAATCCAGAACACTGTGGCCAACAGGTTGGTGGGGTCTGCTGGCGGCCCCACTTCTCCTAAGCCAGGTCCAACCATACCTCCTCCTCCACCACCTCCTCCACCTCCACCTCCTCCTCCTTCCCCTCCCCCACCACCCGGGACTGCACCTTCACGTAGAGATGATAAGCTCCGTGTGCGGGCCAGGTTACCATGGCTACCACCCAGGCGGTCTGCCACGTCGAGGGTGTTGCTGCGGCGCCGGTCACCCTTGCACTCACCCATGAGGCTGGCGCGGAGGGAGTTGCTGCGGGCATGGTTGTAGTGGATATGGAACAAGCCACCACTGCTTATGTTCAGCTGGCCTGTGCTCTTCCTGTTATTAGCAAATTTGGTGCCCAGCAAAGGATCATGGGAGGAAGCCCTGAGGGAAAATTGGAAATAGTAGTTTTAGTAGGATCTGGATAGATCATTTAACACATTGTGTGAGTGTGTGAGTGTGTGCACATGTGCATGCCTAAGCATATCTTACTTACAGTGCAGTAAGCAGGTCATAGTTCTTCATGGTGTCTGCCAGAGTATCAATACCAGCCTCCAGAGTCAAAAGCAACTCTATCACAAAACCCTGGGAGGAAAGAATAGAAAAAGGAGAAAACAATCAGCAAGTTAAAATGGGGTAAAGCATTGTGACAGGGTATCAGTATCCTAATCGGGTTGGCTCCCAAAGCATCCCTGTATTTAAGACTTATAACAGTGCTTTAGCATTCAAAGACTAATACGTGCTCTGCCACTTTAAAATGATATATTCCTTCCTAATCTTTACGGAAGTCTTGAAAGATCATGCAATCACATCATTTATTTACTCTCTCTTTTACTACTACTTTTTTTTGATCCAGCTGTTTTTATTATCAGATTATAATAACTACAAGTGTTTTTCTGAGATTACAATATAATCTGAGATCTCGTGAAAAAAAAAAATTTCTTGAGATAATGAATAGAGATGTACCAGTATATCACACTTATTAAAGACATAATTAGGGCAGTAAAACATATTATAATATGTGAATTCCGTGGCCAAGTGTCCAGAACTGTACTGGAGGGTTGGGACACTGTTCATATTCCTTCAGCTGGTGTTTTGATCATGGTGCTGGAGATCTCCAATAGGTGTTCAATTGGGCACAAGACCAAGGCCACAAGACCTTCTTTCTCAGTGTAGGGGTCAAGCATTTAGGTCTGTACCATTCACTTGGTGTAGTGAAAACATGCACTCGTCCACTTTTGGAGAATATGGTGAAGGATGACTCACCTGACCATATCACTTTTTTCCCCACATCTTTGCACAACCAATGCCTACTATGCCTTTTACACCAGTGAACTCTCTCAAATGTGCTTTCAGGGCAACACTACTATAATATCTCTCTGTCTTTATGGAAGGACTGTAATTGCTGAAACAATCTGAACATGTCCTGCATATACAGCCTCAGTAACCTGAGGGACACTCACTCTTCTGTTATTCCTTACATTTTGCATTAACGCATATGAGTAAAAGCCATTAAATGTGCACCTACAAACTAAATTCCAAACCTAAATACTGATGTCATTGTCATAGATCTAAATGCATGTAATTTTAGTTACTGTTCCTATTGAAAGACTAGCCATTAAATATTTTAAATACTTTCCCCTTTAAATACTTTTAATTGAGCAGTTTTATGAGCTTCCTCCATGTGTGCCCCAATAATATAAACTCATTCAAAGTCATGATATCTCTTCTTCTTGCCTGCTCTGCCTTTTTATACATGCTACGGAGCACAGCAGGATCCAACCCACAATCCACAGGATCCACTCCAATCCACAGAGGTCCTTCATTTATCCCACACTATACTTTTTTTTTAATTATAATTTTTTTTTTATACTAATAAAAGCAGGCCTGTCGATGTTACCTGAGCCTCTTCTCCAGGGTCTCCCACAGTCTCCACCAGCCGAGAGAGCAGGTCTGACAGCGTGGATGCTGTGAGTGGCTGTTTCAAAGCCCTGAAAATCTGGAAAGAGCGGCCAGCATAGTGCCTTGAGGAGCAAGACAGAGCCGTCTGCAGGGCTATTTCACTCAGCAGCTGCTCCAACTGGAAACCTGCTCAAAGACACAAGCACACAAACAGATCAGCTATTACTGTTAACTACCATACATGTGTTGCTTTCACTTTCACTACAATGAAGAAAAATGAGAAAACAAGCAAACAAACCTGACTGAGTCTGTTTGAAGACGGTGATAACGTGTCTGAGGAAGACACTGAGCTGCTCAGCACTCTTGATGTTGGGGTTTTTAGGTGACATGTCCTCATGGTTCCACAGTGGGCCTCGCTTCCTGTGAAGTAGCCAATTACAGATTAAGTGAGGACCAGCAAGTGACCACCGGGGCAAATCCAAGACAAACACACAAAAGAAGGAAGAGTACACAACAGCAGCTAAGAGATGATCATCATCTGTGAAAGCACTCTCAAATTTAAAACACACACACACACACACACACACACACACACACACACACACACACACACAAAAGCTAGGCGCACACACACACATGCAATGCAACAATACCCTTTCCGCTTAGACACAGCTGCGGACACAAGACAATACACAAAGCCTCAGCAAAGACAGCTCGGTATATTATACGGGGGGGGGCAATATGGCAAAAACGTAATACTGTGATACTTCAAGACATACAATATTTAGTTTTCATGAGGTTTGTTAACTTTATTCTAGGGATGCAATGAGAAGGGAATTGGGAAATGATATCCGATATCTTTCATGTACATATCTGCCAAAATCTAAACATTTATAAAATGTACCAACTGGTACTCCATCTATCTGAAAAAGCCTTATGGTGTAATACAACATTTATTTCTACAGGTTCATAAATGCAGTAAAATGAATAAAATGCAAACATTTTAGTGTAGTAACCCAATGTCGCCTAAACCTTCTGCTCTCAGAGTACATCATTAAATATTGGTTTGAATTATTGATCAAATCTAAACATGTCTCCTGCTGATCATTTTTGTTATTTAAACAAATGATCTGAAAATTAGTCTAAAACTCAATTTCGACATATTTATGTACAGTTGCTTATTAACATAATATTGTTGCACATACATTAATAAAATAAGGAACAGGACAATAAATGGGCAGTATTAATGCAAATAGTTGTTTACAGATTCTTCACAATTGGCCTATATCCAATTCTGAAGCATGCAAGCGGCCAGAGTTCTAGAAGTACCGGCGCTGAACTTGAAATATGCAGATTTAAGCAGAAAAATGTATCATGATGTAATTTACTACAATAACAATAATTAAATATCATAGCACTTAGCACTAGGTTTCACCAAAACAAACTACAGGATCCATTAATAAAAACTTTTCCGCAAGGTGATGCAGGTTTAAGTTATATATTTTTTAAAAATGCAAGCATAATGCAGTAGCAACCTTATGTGCACAAACCTAAAAAGGGCCTGCAGAGGCACTAACCTGGAGCTTATAAACTCAATGAGGTTTTTAACCTTCTCGTCCTGTTCAGCGGACAGGTCCACTTCATTTAGCAGTGTGGGGGGCAGGTGGGGCAAGGATGTGCCACCCAGACTGATACTGGAGGAGGTGGAGCTAGAACTCAAACCAGAGTCTGTCATTGGGGATGGCTGGTAGTCTGGAACCAGCTCTGTCACACCTGAAGAGGAGAAAGAAAGAGAAGAAGCAAAAACAGATAAATAAACACAGATTGATATACATAAAAAGCTGGGGGAGAGGGTTTAGTGGGTTGGGGTGAAATTGAAAACGGAGTGGTATTAAGCATTCTGCTGACAATCCAGTGAGAGAGTTGTGCCACCTGCTGGAGGACGCTGATGGCACTTAAGAGGGAATTCTGCTTCTTTTTCTAAATTTTTTCTACACAAATGAATGGTTGAGATGTAAACAAAGCCATTTAGAGTGGTTTAAGGGGAAACTGTTCATTGTACAGAACCTTCTTTATTTCCTTGGATTTCTTTACAGTGGTGGTGACAGGAATCAGGGTTTGCGATGGGTACAAATATAGCAATTAATATGTAAACATATATAAATTTGACAATGTTGATATTTGAAAATTAGCAGTACTAATATTGCCTTACCACACCTTGCACGTACCTCTTCACCATGAATCATTAAAACATAACCTGATCTCAAACATATCACAAGCTATGTATTCACATCCATTTAATGATGCAATAAATGCTTTCAGAAGCATTAACTCTTCAGATATCTGGTTCACCACTGTGAGCAATTTTGATAAATGATTTGTTTACATCATAATGTTTTAATTATGCAGAAATGTAGAAAAATTCCCCTTTATATACTTAAAAAAAAAAAACACTGTAAAGAACTGCTTTTAAGCAATTCTTGTGTATGTACAGACCTGTTAGATTAAACTCTTGTGGAACGGGTTTAACAGTCAGAACCCTGGGCTCGTGGTACTCCCGGTTGCGCAACAGGACAGATGCCAGTGACTGGACGCTGCTATTGGTTCCCTGGACGACCAGCAGGTGGAGCAGCAGTCGCTTACAATGCTCATAGACCTCTGGGTGCTGGTGGTCTAATCCTGCAGAACGAAGCAGAAACTCATTGACAAATACACAAAAAAACATGTACAACATATAAAAACATACGAAATACATGCAGCATCTTTGTATACACAATTTTGCTTATACATCAGTACCCGTTTTCTCAGTACTGTATTGTGCTGTGAGTGAAGCATCTCTGTAGAAATATATTAGAAATATTTACACACTGCATTTAGAGGACCTGTCGTTAAAGCTAATAAGGACTTATTAAGCCTGGAGGTTGTGTGTGAGTCTCTGGAAACATGATAGTGTGTTAAGTGTTTTTACCAATGAAGACGGAATGCAGTAGAAGATGCAGGTAGGCGCTCCATTCTATTTTGACTCCATGGTCCACGATGAGGTCAGTGAGCAGGATCACAGCGATATTACATCTGTAGAGAGGTTGTAGAGTAAGCAAAGGAAACAGAGACAACAGAGTAAACCTTTAAATCTGACGTACAGCAAATTCTATTGCATTTATGTGGATGTATTTAAGTACCCATTTTAATATTTTTTTGTTTCTGTTTGTGTGGTGTGTGCGAGACCTGTGAAGGGAAACTCCAGGCGTGGTGGTCTCTGGCAGGTAATCGACCAGTGGAGACCAGCAGCCTCCTGTGGGAGGGAAAGGGAGGGGCTCGGGCCGGTTATGATCCATGACCTTCAGACGCCAGTTAGCATAGACCGGCATAGAGTCACCTGAGGAAACAGAGATAGGTCGAGATCATTTATGGGTGACTACAGCATGGTTAGGAACAGACTTTTGGTCTTGTGATCTAAACGCTACAAAGTCTTCAATGGGAATTTTACCAGTTTTTTAAAATGTCTCAATAAGTAAATCATTAAGATGTAAACAATGTCATTCAGAATGGTTTGATGCGAAATGTGCTTTTCTGGAGAAACCTAGTGACTCATACTTGTTCACAGCAGTAGTGACAGGAATCAGACTTCCAAAGTTCTTAATGCCGTTCATGCCTTAAAGCGTTCCCTCACAGAAAGGTATTATATGGAATGCTTATGAATATGTTAAATGATACCTGAAATTTTGTTTTACAATAGTTTTGAGACCAGGTTTAGGCCTAAAGTGTATTTTTAAAAAATCCATTTATGGCAGAGAGGTACATGCAGGATGTTGTAAGGCAAAACACCATCATCAACATTACACATAAAAACTCAGATGAAGTAAATAAAACGGCTGTATTTGTGTTGTACACATGGTGGCCATGGATCCTATTACCACCATTGTAAAGGCATCTGAGTGAGTAAGTTTACAAAGCAAAACACCTAAAATGACTTTGTTTACATCTCAACAACTGAATTATGCATGACATTTGAAAAATCAGCGCAATTCCCCTTTAAGACCCTGGGTTACTACTGTGAATTGTTGCGTTTTGTGCATGTGCGTGCTCACTCTTCTCCTCCTCATAAGAGCCTCCAGAGCTGCTGCTGTAACGGGACTCCAGCCGATGGTGCTGTCTGTTCAGGTTGCTGTTCAGCCCACTGTAGATATCTAAATGAGCATAACTGCACACACACAGATGGTCATTAGTAACACTGTAAGAGGATCAAATATGTAAATGTACACACATCAGTGCATGCAACTGTGTAACCAAGAGGTAGAAAGCATTCCTGGAGATTAATGAACAACTGAGGTCTGAGGTCTTACTTGTCATCCATGTTGGGATCTTTGAGCTTGTTGTCGTGATGTCCATCAGGTCCAGGAACCATAGTGTTACTGCTGGAAGCAGTTCCTTTTCGCAGAGACAAAAACTAAAATCAATACAAGAGCATAAAAATACAAATATGCATTTAAAATGCAGGTTTGATAAAATGCATACCTGTGACAGAGGGGATCTTGTAGGAGGAAGTGATGCGGTAATAAGGCGGATTATCCATATGAGTGACAGCTGAGCTCACAGGGTCCATGAGCTCCAGCTCACACATCAGCTCCTCCAGAAGCTGCATAGTCTTATCTCTGCCCAGATAGACCACCACACGTTTGACCTGCACAACCAAAATTTACTGTTAATGCACTGAAAAATGCATGAATTTGTACCATAACTGTATGACGTCTCCACATTTCACCTAAAAACTTTAAGAAACCGCCTTCACGTCATTAATATTCCACATTAGCTGTATCACCATGGCGACTGGCTAAGAAAGATGTCACTTACATAAGGAAGGAGACTTGGCTCGCTGTTGACTCCAGACATGCTGATGAGGAAGTGCAGGATGATCTTAAGATTTTTGGGCCAGCTGTCTGCCAAAGTGGTCCATACGTTCTCAATCTCAGACCATGCAAATTCATCGCCATACTAGAGAAACGCACAGACAGACAACTATTAAAATACACTAATATAAAGACAAATTTTATATTGTCAGTGTCTAAGTTAAGATTTTAACAGCCCATAACACAACAGCCCATATTTTTCTAGTATTTTGTTTTTCCCCTTGATGTCCATTTATAACATTTATGCAGATTTATGTACCAAAAACAGTCATAATTAATTTTTAAATGGCCATTTCCAACCTCTTTATGTCCTGTAGAACTTAACAGGAGGTTTTGTTACTGTACCTTTAAGACTGATATAAAGTAATGAGCTCTGTTCTGATTGGCAGGCCTGTATTGTGGCTTATTCAAAAAGCACTCAGAGCTGTTTTTAAAAGCAGCTTAGTTTACATATACAGGCTGTATGGACTGGGTGAATAGTACGTTTAGAAATAATAACAGTGTAAAAATATTACTTCAAACTCCTTTATTCCAGTGAGGTTTCCATGATATAAACTCTTCAAAAGCCTAACACTTAAATAGTGTTTATATAAAACAAAGTGCTAAAAGACTTATAAAAGCTCATGAAAAATCATGGTGGTGGAGCATGTGTACCTTAGCAGTCATGAACATGAGGTTGTTGAGGATCATGGTTGTTGCCTGAGGTGATCCCCAGCCCTCTCCTCGGAGCCAGCGACGGCTGTTTACCATCATCATCTCCCGTGTGTCCTCTTCCTCCTCAGGCTCCTCCTGCCGCCTTGTTTGTGGCTTGAAGTCCACCAGCTCCACATTATTCATCCAGGGCAGCAAGTAGTGCAGCATCACCTGCCTGCCACCAGGGTGCGCTGTCTGGATCCTCTGACTTACCTCTGAATTAGGAGATTACACAACCAGTTAAGGGGTCGCTTCGTGGAAAGAAAAACTAGTACATGTATGCATTTAACTGTTTTACGTATAAATGCGCTATGTATATTGTCTAAATGGCATATTTTTATGTTCACAAGTCATGCCTGTCCAAGTTGAGTCTGGAGTCTCTGGGGTATGACTGTGAGTTGAGTCTGAAGTCTTTAGTACATCATTCTAGTTTAGTCTTGTTATTAGCTGCAGGCACTGCTTTGTACAACAGTAAACCACATCTAAAAACCTGTTAGGTTCGCCACGGCTGCAAATAACAAGGCTTTCATCACAATATAACTTTCAGTCTGAAGAACAGAACCGAAACACTGTATGCAGTAAATTAAGTGTTTAAATGAAAGCAGCAAAACAACTTGCAACTGTGCTAGCTATCTTGTGCAATAGCTAAGTTAGAAAGTTTTAAAGAAATGTGATGCATAACTTACTAAAACAATACCACTAGCAAGTGTACAGTAAAACAGTGCACTTGATTCAAATTTGCTTTACTTGAATCAAATTCGTACATCAGTTTCAAATAAACAAAATATATTACATCGAGACAATATTTCTCACAGTTTACTCACTTTTGGCAAGAACTGAGTGGATGTAAAATATTTAAGTGAAGCTGATGTACAGATTTGAATCAAGTAAAGCCAGTATATAATTTTTTTTCAGTGTACTTGCTATTTAAATAAGTCAAGTGATGAGTCAGTCAACAAGCGACTTGAGTCTCTAGTTCAGGTCCCCATCTCTGGTGTGCGCACATACCTGAGAAGATGGGCAGCGTGAGCTCTGGGTATGTGCGTGCTAGCTCTTCGCTGAGTTGGTAGTATGACACAGAGTAGAGGTGAGGCAGAGGAGAGGGTGGAGTCAAAACACCATCAGCACGCTGGATCTCCAGTTTATGGGCGTAACGGAACAGCTTCGGCTCCAAGATCTAACACAAAAAAAAAACGAAAAAGTTAATTAATGGTAACTTTACAGGAGAAGGAAAAAATGTTCTTAACTTTAAATAGAAGTCAAAGTAACAAGATTTTTTCATGTAATTTTGGAGCATTTCTATTCCTCCATTCAACATTGAATTAGGTTAGATCACATTTTCTAATTCTGCAAATGAAAAAATAAATAAAGAACGATTTTCTTTGACTGAAAAAGTATAACAGTTGGATGTTTTTGAATGTTTTTTTGTTTTTTTTTTAACTCTAACTCATGCTAATAGTTTTATGCTTGGACTACATTATTAAAATGTAATTTGTAATTGGTAACAGTGTACAATGTATTAATGCACTGATATACACTGACCTGAAGGTGATGATTCATTTTGGATTTTTTTTTTTTTTAAGAAAGTTCCTGTCTTTACATCTGAGTATTTAGTGTATTTTTCCACACTCTGAGCAATACCAAAAAAACTGAAATCATAGTGAAATGGTGAAATTTTTATGCTGTAGAGATTTACACCCCTAATAATGACTACTGTGCATTCAGAAATATTATACAGCAGCTATATGATCACTCTTGTGCGTGTGTGCTTCACCTGAAGTAGCTGCATGGCCGCTTCATAGATATCTCTGGAGGAATCTGCAGCCTTAAACAGGATCAGGTTCAGCAGCACCACAGTGTCAAACTGATAATCCCTGCCACAGACGAATCAATATACAGTAAACGCACTTCATTCTCAAAGAACACACACATGGCTAGACGCATTTAGGCAGAGTAAGCGGTACCTGTTGTGAAAGACGTTGGCGATGGCTCGGAAGCAGCCGGTGGCCACTCTGCGCGAGCCTGTGTAGCAGCGATCCACTGCCCAGAACATCAGATTACTCTGATCTGGGTTCAGCTCTAACAGCAGCATCACTGCCTCACAGCCCAGCTGATGCACCTGCACACACACACACACACACACACACATGATATTCACATTGCGTACAACAGACAGGAGAGATCTTTCAAATGCATCTTAATGACTTGGTGCAAAATAGGCAGTTCCAGTTCTACAAACTGATTGGCTGAGACAAGTTCAAAGCCTCTGTAAAATACTGGATATATGACCACACGCATCAACTAAATTCTGTATTAATGTGCCAAGAACATATGGAATAATCTTTGATCATTATGTTGCTTGACAACCATAAACTACTGAACTACAATGCTTGGCAAGATAATTGTTTAATCGTGCAATTTGTATTAATAATAAATAATTTATTGAACATTGCTGTATTTTATCACATTGCATTTCATCACTGTTCTGTAAGTGATTTACCACTCTTCGCATCATGCTTAAAGAGGAAGTTACCTTGATTTTTTTCCGCATAATTGTGTATATTTCTTTTCTGTACTCTGCATAATTAAATGGTTAAGATGTAAACAACGTAATTCAAGGTGAACCGAGTCAGAATTAAGAGGTGGAGATAAGAAACAGATGTCTGAAGCATTTAATGTGTCTTAAAGCTCCCCCAAAGAAAGTTATAAGTACGTTGCCTGATGCCTTAGACATTGTTGAGATAAGCTTTTTGGCCTAAAATGTACTAAATTCATGAATGAGAGGTGCATGCAAGGTGTCTGAATGCAAAATAGTCCCCAAAGAATTTTTCTTTTTCTTTTCAGATTTTACCATTTTCAACTTCACATGAACAATCTCAGACTTACTTTGTTTACACATCAACAACTGAATAACAGAGAATTTTAGGAAAATCAGTGGAATTCCCCTTTAATACCACTGTATGGTAGAAAAGTCCTAGTAATGCACATCGTCTCATGACTTACTTCTATGTTCAGCCAAATGTGGATTGTCAAAAGCTGCTAGCAGATTATTCAGTGAGACATTATGGAGAATGAGGCTACCTTGCGGTCCTGTGAGTCCAAGATGTTGTCTAACCATTTGTAGAGGTATCCATCAGATGAAAGACCAACATTATCAGCGACTGGACCACAACACAACACAGCAGACATGGCCTGGGGAACGTAAGATGCAGAATTCAGTACTTGTGCACATTAAGTCTCTCAGGTATGAGGCACTGGTGGTGTGTGTATGCGGTGTGTCGTACTTTGAGAGCGCAGTACTGGTGTCTGTTGATCTGCATGTTGCGGTCACTGTAGCGATCTAGAGGAGTGAACATGATGCTGAAGGGTCCGGCCCAGTGACTGAACAGCATAAACAGACTGTGTCTTAGAGACTGCTGAGGGAAAATGCTCCTCCTCTGGTGTACTGGAAAACACACACAAACATGTATATCAACCACATGCCGCATGTCCGGTGGGAAAACATATATTGGATATGTTGAATTAGTTGTACCTGGCACGTTCTGGATGATGTTTGCCACCAGGGCGCTGAAGTGGGAGCGGATGTCTTTGAGTGTGTCTGAGTCTTTGTCGTTCTCAGCCTCCAGCAGTTGCCGTGTCAGATCCACATACTCCAGCAGAGTGCTGTTCAGAGAGTGACTCTCTCCATCCAGTCCCCCACTCCCACTGCACAAACACACACAAACACAGACATACACAGACATACACAGACCAGACAGAAAGACAAGGTTAGGCCCAGAACCTCTAAGCAAACTTGTCAGTCTAATTCAGGGGTCACCAATTTTATCCCCAAAGGGCTGGTGTGCCCCTGGTTTAATGAAATCAGAGTTTTAAAAATTACATCTAATCTTTAAATCTGAATGATTAAATAAAACAGAAAATATATTTTATGTTTTATTGAAAAAATAAGAATAGAAAGAGCAATCACCATTTCTATAATCTAAGCTTCTTTTGCCATAACCATTTTGCAAGTTCTGTTTGTGCAACAGGCATTTTTCTTATTTTTAGAAGCCAAATTGCCCCCAAAATCTTCTTGTAATGTATTGTAATCTGACAGACATGTATTATTTGAACAGTATCAAGGACTACAAAGAGCTTGCGTTTTAAAAAAGTAAACAATGCATCAACAATCTAAATCCACATCAACGTTTCATAATCAATGTTGAGAGAGCAAGAGAGAGTGTGAGAGATTGTGAGAGAGAGAGAGAGAGAGAGAGAGAGAGAGAGAGAGAGAGAGAGAGAGAAAAGAGAGACAGAGAGAGACAGAGAGAGACAGAAAGAGACAGAAAGAGATGGACTCACATCTGGCTGATGACTCCTGAATCAGCCAGCAGCTCAAAGATCCGGACCAGCTGGACTCTGAGGATGTCACGACGCCGGCGTCGCTTCATGTTCTTCACACACGGAATAAAAGGGGGAGAGAAATAGAGGAAATAGTGAATGAAAACTGCTATTTTTAAAATACACAGCTGATCTTTACTTGCAGTGACAGAGAAAATGTAAAGATACTGTAATCTCAGCAGAAGCGTCTTGAGCTATTTATTTATTTATTTGTTTGTTTTTTCAACAGTTATCACAGGAATGGAAAGCATAGGTTAACTCACCTCTGGCCTTCTCTCCAGAGCCTCTTTAATGATGGGATTCAGCTCCTCCAAGAGCTCTCTAATCAACACACAAAAACACGAGCATTACAGTTCAGTGACACATAGCATACACACACACACACACACACACACACACGCACACACACACAAAACAACATGAGGTTAGAGCTGAACCATATACAATCTCAGTAGTGCACACAGAAACAGTATAAACTTTATTAGGCACATAAACATAGACCCACGCACCTGAAGGCAACGGGGTTGGTCCGGCCAAGCCCCAGGACGAGGGACTCTGTGATGTCCATGCTCTCAGAGCGCATCATAGGAACCACATGTTTGAATAAGGAGGAGGGGGACGGAATGCCAATGATCTGCACACGCACACGCACACGCACGCGCACACACACACACACACACACACACACACGCACACACAAAATTTACTACAATTTACTAGAGCAACTGCTGTGAGACTGAACAAGCTTTATAGATTCATGAATAAGAAGACTATTGCACCCAACATGGATTTCTTAGCAGATAACTCAGTTTTTGTCAGGACACTTACATTTAAAAACTTATTTTCAAATAAAATTTACTTTATATGAGTGAGAAAAGTCACAACGTCTAAGCCACGTTTTTTAATTAATATTTTCTGTGTGGTCAAACTAACAACGATGCCCAAGTCAGTACTGTAACATTTTAAACTGGAAACTCAAAGACACCTAGCTCTAAATTCATTAGTTTGAATGAGATTTTACTTTTCTGCATCAATTCAATCCAACACAGCAACTATCCTTTACATAATGTGATGATTTTATGATAAAGGGGCTGAGAGAAATGTTCGTAATAGTACCATGTTGGAGTTCAAAATTAGAGCAGTAGCAGAGTGAGTGCTGATCTATTTCACAGTTTCTACGAGGAACATTAGAGAACTCATTTATAAACTCTTCTGATGTGACGAGGGAATACAACACCCAGGAACTTCTCCGTTACGTTTGATACTACTTTAAAGCCCAGCATCCCGCACGATATGGAGAATAAAGCAAAACGAAAGAAACAGAAAGTCCCTGCGATCACACTGATGCCATCTGAAGCCTCAGTTTATATTGGCAAACAGTGATAAAGGGCAAAAAATAATAAAATAAAAAAAAAAAATAATAATAATGGCATTGACCATGGATGTTGGATTTCATGGTACAAACTGTTCTTATTCGTTCTTGTTCTTGTTCATTTTTTGGTTTTTGGTTGCATGTGTCCTAAATTTTGGTTTCAGTTTCAGCTTCAGCTAAGAATTTTTATTGTGGCCCCTCACTAGATATTTACCAGCATCCGACCTCCCAAAGAAAAATAAAAAAGCATTTGTGAGTGGAAAACATAAGTCAGCTGTAGCTTTAATATGAGTAGAACTCATATAAAGTAACCCATAAGGCTTTAGGTGATGATCCTTGAGAACATCCTTCCCTCTAAAAGGATTTTTATATAAACATAAGTATATGCTACAACACCAATAATGTAACAGCTGAGCTAGTGTTACAGAGAAAGTGCTGATTATCTAACCTTTGAGTCGTAGCTGTATCCGCTGTCCGGGGTGGACGCCAGCGTCTCAGGAGGGGAGCAGCGGACAGAGCCAGGAGCTGACGATGAGGATGAGGAGGACGACGATGAAGAGGTTGCAGAGCTGCAGCAGAGGATCAGATAGTTCCTCCACAGACCAACGTAGGAATCAGTACTGCTGCTCAAGCTGTTCATCTTCTTTGCATTGATCGGGCTACTGCAGTAGGAAAAAGGTGAAGGTCAGTAAGAAGCAAGAGAGAACACTCCAATGCTTTTGTGGTTGTGGCACTAAGAACTAGTTTGATGAAAACATAAACAAAAGAAAAAACTAAATTTAGGCTTCAAGATGACTGTTACGGCTGGTTTTAGCTATGCAAAGTACTGTCAGTTTTTGTAGCTAACGTTATGTCATACATACAAAGAAAGTGTACTTCAGATTACTTGACACATGCTAACTGGTGTACATAAGCGCCCATTATTTGCTAGCTAAACACCAGTGCAAAATTAAAGAAGCAAATTTCTTTCATTTTGCACTGGACCACACATGCCTTGGGTGATCGATTATGCTCGGGATAAAAAAAAAAATTGATTCTTCAGTAAACTATAGCTTTGAAGAGTGATGCAGCACTCATCAACCCCATATACAAGCAAATACACATGCATGTACACAAAACAGTATATTCTCAATCGCTTCCATACTTGATGTCAACTTGTGGAGAGAGTAGCTGGAGACGCGTGGAGGCGAAGAGCCAGGCGTAGCTCAGTGCAGTAGGGCAGTGCTTGGGAAGGTGCTCCTGCCGCAGGTAACTGGACAGACTGATGACCCATGGGTCCTGACCCTGAGTGACGTGGGCAAACACCCAGATGTGTGAGGGACTGACCACGTCAAACTGGTGACTGATGGGAGAGGAGCTCCACTCGGCCAGCGTCTGCAGGTCTATTCCACTGGGACAATACAGCAGGTTAGTCTGGGGGGAGAGAAAGAAGAGAAGGAGAAGAAAGAGAAGTTATAAAAACAACAGTGAGAGATAAAGACGATGGACTTATCATACACATTTATCTCTGTAATGTTGTCTCTGTGTTTTTCTCTACCTGGTCAGCCCCAGTAAGGTGGATGAAACTTTCCAGAACTGAAGCGCTCACCCTGTCCATCACATCTATAGCCAACTCCTCATCACCCTGACAACCAGAAGGAAAAAGAAGCATGATCATAATTCCAATGATGATCCATTAATATAAATGCAAACAGACCTAAGAGAGTGAGGACGGCTTATATATGTTGTGGTGGTTACCTTAGCGATGCAGAGGGCGTTGTGTAGTGCCCGAACCTCTTTCAGCACATTGACAGCGAGGCGGCGTGTGGCTGGCCTGCAGCTACACAAAACCACCAGAGCCAGCCCCTCCACCACATGCAGCACACCCCACAGTGGAGAACGCTCCAGAGGCAGACACGCTCTGTCATTAGAGCCCTAACACAGGAACACACACAAAGGAACAGAGGAAAGGTTATAGCTCTATTTATTACACAGATATACTGGGCTGTGTTCAAAATATTCACACTGCACTATTCAGCTGTATGCAAAGAATTACGTTTTGTTTATTTTCTAAGTGAAAATAAGTTTACATATCCTCTGCAGGGAATGAACTTAAATATATTTTTCTGCTAATTTAGTGCACAATTTCTATCTATTTTCTGAATTTTACATATTGAAAAAACAAAACACAATATAAAAAGGTACCATAACTTTTGCACATGCCAAATTTTATGTTTAATATTTTCGCAATATGTTTAATTCAGCATATACACAGTAATTGAACTGTGTTCTCTGTTGACAAGTTACCTTATTTTTCCTTTTTTACTTGTTCTTTATTATTATCTGTGTAAAAGGCTGTGCTAGAGGAGAAAATAGCATTTCACTCCAGTCCCCTCTGCGTGTTGCACATTCAACAGAAAGACAGCACGGAGTGAAGTTCATTCTTTAGTTTATCTCGTGCTGTTGTGGGAATGAATGAAGTGAGTATCCTTTACTAACTGTTGTTAAGGCATGGATACTGCTTGTTAGTTTCAAGTCTCAGGTTAGTTTCAATTTTACAAAAGTTTAGCACTAGTTGGTGAACACTTTGTTGTTCCCTGTTAAATTTGCAGCCACAGAGACTGTGATGCCTCCATCTGATTAGAAACTTGAGAACTTTTTTCTATCATTACTGAATATCAACAAAACCTTCAAACAGAATAAATCAGACCTTCATTTATATGCTTACATAAAATCAGTTTGCTGCTGTTTGAGGATCTAATTGATTCTTTCCATGATGGCTTGACCAGGTATAATTTGATCGTCAATGTTCACTAGTTCCAAAATTCAAATATCGCCTGAGAGCAGATTGCGATGTTGTTATTACTACAGTTTCATTTAGTCATAAAAATGCATGTATGCTGTTTGGTTTATACCTATGACTTCAGGTGACTCTGAATAAGTTATAGAGAAAGGACTGCAAACAACCTTGCTATCATTTGCTTAGAAAGGTTACAGTGCAAAGTTGGACTACAACTACAATATAATATTAATAATTATTAGCATTTTTAAGCAATATGTTAAGGTTGTATTTTTTACAAATTTAATTATAAAACAATTTTATTTATTTACATATATATTTACATGTATAATAAATGATGATGAATGAACAATGAACTACAAACAAGCTGTAGTTTTTTTTTTCCCCCACATTCTTCTTATATTAGATAAAATCTTCTTCTGGTCTTAGTGTTCTCTTAGTTTCGACTCGGACTAGACTGCTACAAAGTCTTGGTCTTGACAAGGTCTCGGTGGGCCCAGGTCTCTCTGTCTTGACTTTGACTTGACTCTAGAGCTCTTGACTACTACTACATGTGAAGAAGATATAAAACCAAAAAGGCCTAACTGCAGTCACACTGTGTCACATTCACTGGTTGAACACAGACAACACATTACTCCTTGAGAAAGCTCTGCACACCTGCGAGTCGTGTCCACGGTTGCTGCTCTGCACTGCCTGTTTCCACTGGATGATTAGCTGCAGCAGCATTTTGACAGCGTTGTCCAGCAGGGTGGGGTGCACGTCTGTCACCTCTCGCACAATGAAGTACACAAATCCTGAGAGAACGTCCTCCCTCCAGTCAGGGAAATCCACCATCAGAGCCTGCAGAGTGGTGAAGGCCAGCCCACGCAGCTCCTCGTCCATGTGGATGGTCAACCTGGAGGTTACAGGCACACAGTCTCAGATACTTTACCTTTGGTTTAGCTGAACACTTTCAAGGTTATGTCTGAAAATATATCGGGATGTGTTTAAATCCTCTACCTCAAACTAATGTGTGTGTGGCCATAAGTGACACAATTACACTAACGTCATTACTGATTTAACGACTGGTCTCAAGAAGATACCTTGTCTACACTGTGGCTGTATTAATTATGACAACGCAAAGATCAAATCAGCTCAGTGTCGGCTGATACTCTACCTTAAAGTATTTCATGGGCTTTGTGTATTCTTCAGCTGCCGTTTCCAAAATAGGCCCAGGAATCATTTACAATCAATTACATCATTAATAAATCACTACTTCTCATTGCATGTTGCTGTCCGCAAAAAGCACTGTTTGTTGTTTTATAGGAGTGCGTTTATGCACAACCCAGGTATAAGTGAGATCAGAGGAGAAAGGTCATTACTTGGCCAGAAGCTCAATGAGGTCCTGCCTGCTCATGCCGTCAGGAATCAGTCTGGGGATGGCAGCTACACACGTCCGGAACAGATCGATCTTTGGCTTCCGCTCGCCGCTACGACAGGGAACACAAACACATAGATGCAAATTACCAATTTTGCATTAAATTGTGATGTTAAATGATAAAGATAACAGTCCAGTTGATATGAAAACTGTCACTGATACCATCAATATTCAAGAGCACAAATTAACATATATGAATATAAATATTATGGCCACTGTTTCTGTTAATTAATTGATATATATTTGATTTGATATATTTGATTCCACACAGAGAGCACTCACGTGATCATGTCTTCTGGCTCTTTATTGGACATCTGCACATTGGTCATGCTCATGGAGCGGCCCACCTCTTTGTCCAGGTGCCTGAGAATGTTATCCAGAGCCTTCCTCACCTGAGGGTAGTATAGAGACATACCTACACACACACACAAACACACAAATTAAAACAGGTGTAATGAGAACACAATTGTTACCTACATTTTCATAAAACAAAGAAATTCAAGACGTGCCATCAAGCAGTCAGACAACACAGACTGAGCCATAAAACAAACATTCCCTACTACCCATGCCTAACTGAAAGGCAGGGATAAATACAGCAAGAATATAGAGGAAGGAAATCAGACAAAACAAGCAAAAACAACTCCACTCCTGCAACACTATGCTCTCCACCCACAGAAATATTTATGTTCAGTCTAGCAGTTGTATAAAGCAGGAGCTAAAAATGGGTCACTCTGAATGTATCACAATACAGTCCAGTAAAACACGCCAACAGAAAATCAAAGCATCTAGAAATGTTTGACATCTATAAGGAAATCCTGAACAGAGTCATATGTGGTCTTAGCCTGAGTGGCATGTTCATATAGGCTGTGCAGCTCAAAGGTGTCAGATGGAACTAACTTTGAATAAGGATATAATCTTTAATTTTATTTTTGACTTTCTGTACAAGGTGCTGTCAAAATGTCCAAACAAATGTTGGAGACTTGTCAATCTTGCGCTCTGCAGTGGTGGCTCACAGCATGAAGGGAGTTGTACTATGCATAATGTCGCAAAAAGAAAAGTACATCTGCATGTTATTTTAGGAACCGGCTATCTAACCACAAATCTACCTCCTGACGATAAACAAGATACAGATGCCGGTTTATAAATGGTTCTGAGTTACTCAAGAAGTACTGATAAACAACTTGAAAGATTCTGCTTCGCCTATACATGTAGTTCCGGTTGGTTTGACCACATTTAATTTGACAGCTGCTTTTGACTACCACAACCTGACAGAAGCAAACTTTCTCAGGATCTTTTCACCAACATGGCCTGTGACATCAGTATATTTGTACAGCTATGCTAATTGCTATAGACAGCAATAGTAAGGCAACATATCTTCGACAGCAACTGAAATGGCAGAGTAGTAAGAGATAAGGTCACATACCGATGACTTTGGCCTCCTCATCAGTGAGGGTGGTATTGAGGAAGATCTTTTTGACCCGTAAGGTGTTGCCGGAGGGTAGGATGACCCCTGTGGTGGGCATGGGTGGCTCGCCGTCCTTCTGTTGAAGGCTGTCCGCTATTACCAAGAATGCTCGCAAACCAATATTCATTCTCTGAAAGAGAGGGAAGTGTAAGATGAAGGGGAGGAAAAGAATGTCTTGTTACAATGTGCATGTATGTTATTACTCAACCAATACTCACTGGTATCAGAAAATTTTCCAGTGATAATTAACATCTCATCTTACATGGCAATGAGCCTCTGACATGAAGGAAAAAACTTCTAGCTAGGGTGTATATTGTTTATTTATTATTCATATTCTTATTCTTATTTTAATTATGATTATTTTAGTATCATTTTAGTCATTTTAAATAATTTTAGCTTACCTTTTGATCTTATTCTTTTATTTTATTTAGATTTGATTTTATTAAGTTTTACATTTTAGCTATGTTTTAATTATTGTTCTATATTTTCTACTGTATTTTTATGTATATTTATTATTAATGTTTCATTTTTTTTATTCTTAACTGATTGACTCATATAGATTTTTGTTTTTTTTTTATTAAATTTACTTTTATTATTTGATAGGTTCTTACACATTATCAATCCCTTGTTCTGTATCAACTCGGAAACATTGTAAATGAGGGTCACCCTCATTGTTCTCCTAGATAAAATAAAGGTTGATTGATTGATTGATTGATACTTTGTGTAATGTGTAATGCAAGACATTTGAAAGGTTTGGCTTGTGACCACGATATCCGGGCCCAATGAGCAAGTCTCACGGCCAGTTTTTGAGACTCGAGAGGTACGCTGTTGCTGAATAAAAAAAAATGTGAACTGAAACTGACCTGAAAACCATGTGACAATTCATGGTTTACAGTCATACCAGTCAAAAACGCAATGTTTAACTAAAACTGCTGGAGTACATAATTAAGGCATAACATTACACAGCTGGTGTCTCTCCATACCTCTGGGTTGATGGTGAAGGTCTTATGCGACTTGCCCACACATAGCAGGTCATAGATGATTTCTTTCATGGCGAAGTCCAGCCTTTCCTGCACAAGAGAATGAATGCATACAACATACCTTCAAAAATCACAATCAGAGCAGCCAAGAAATACAAAAGCCCTGAAATGAATCGGTACATTAACATGAGAAGCATCACACGGCCTAAAAAAAACAAATTATGATGTAGCATAGTGCAGATGACTTTACCTGAGCAATGAACTGAATGATCTTAACAAAGATGTTGAGTGGTGTGTCCCTGGGCACCACACTGCGGGAGCCCTTGGGGAAAAGTGCTGAAACAATACTGAGGAGACGACTAGGAGAGAAAACAAACAGAAGCTTAGCACACAATGTACTAACACTGACTCAGCAAAAATGTGTTCTGATATTATTAACTCTATATTCTATTTCCCAGAATGCGTGGTTATGTATCCACATGACATGCAGGTTTATGCATTTTATCATCATCACTGAACAGTTTTGTGTGCACTAATGCATAAAAACAAACTCAACAGAATGCAAACGTCATAGTAGTGTTAACTGTATGTGAAAGGTTTGTTAGGTTCTTTTTTGTGTTAGCATGTCTTAGTGCCCTTGTATTCATCTGTGTTGGGAATGGCAGCGTTACCTCTGCGTGGTGGTGTTGCTCTCACACTTGATTCTGATGACATAGACCCACAACAGCCTGTAGAGTGACTCCAGTGCTACACGAGACATTTTAGGATCTTTGTTCTAAAAAGGAAAGAAAAGCAGTCATTACCACAAATCATGACCAGCACATTTGCAAAAGGTGGATTAAATTCTTCTAACGTAGAAACAATTTTAAAATCAGTGGAATCAAATAAGATGCTTAGTTCATGCAAAAGACTTGCTGATTCAGAAGTTTTATACAGTAAAGATCAACACTACACAAGAATTCACTGATTCACAAAAGAGCTAATAAGGAATGTGATTCACAGACATTGGCTTATGAGCCAATAAAGCTGATGATTTCAGCATTAGTTGCATTGACCCATATGAAGATATGATTCATTAATCATCTGTTCAGTGAACCCGAAATAAGGGATTCATAAAACCTGAATAATGAGCCTGTGATTAACACATCAGGCTTGTGCACAATATAGTCGCTGACTAAGCAGCTATATCTTGTTCTAGATTTCTCCATCACACCCACACCCACACTCACACACACACACACACACACCACTTCACCATAGAGCCTTCAGTAAAGGTCCTCTACTGCACCAAAGGCCGTTCAGCAGTGCAGTTGTAATGACACACACTAACCACTGGGGGCAACATGGCTGCACAACTGAAGACAAGGTCCAACAAACCAGCAAATGCGCAGGGCATTTAGGAGTCTCTAAAACCGCAAAAAGATCTCAGGGCATGAATGCCGTGATTGTGTGTACAGTACTGTTCAAAAGTCAGAGAACATAATTTATGTAATTTTCAGTCAAAACAGCCATTAGGCAACTTTAATTTTTCAGTGTCAAGCAAAAAACAAAAACATATTTAAAATGAACAATTAAAGATAATAACTGATTCAGTATCTAGTGTGCCTTTATTATAGCTTCCACTCGTTTCTGGAGATCTGCTTTCAGTTTTTCACAAAACGCTGCAGGCATATTTTTCCCCACACTTAAAAAAAGTTCAGTCTTAGAAGCTGCATTTTCTGCTTCTCACAATCCAGATGATCTCTATTACATTTGATGATACTGAGGTCTGAACTCTGAGAACACCAGCAGTTTCGTCACTTGATTTGCACATTTTCTTCTTTTTCCTTTTCTTTTCTCTTCTCAGTAATGGCTTCTTGACAACAACACACCCATTCAGACCCTTAGCACTGAGTTGTCAATGGAAAAGTCCTGTTTTCTGTTCCATTGCTTTTAATATTTTTTTTTAGTTCTAGTTTTAGAAACTCTTGTTTTTTCCACTTACTTTTCTTTGACTTTGCCCTTCCTTATCCAAGTCAGTTATCTTACATCTAATCTCCTCTTGTGAAAAATGAGTTCTGTGCCATTTTGACAGGAAATAACTGAAGGTTGACGTTTGAACAGTACTGTATGTGCAGGATATATGTACCCAGCTTAGACAGCTCGACAGAAAGTTGACAACATACACAGCTCCATAATTCTAATTCCCCTTTTACAATTAAAACACACACTAAAGCAAAGCTAGGCTTCACAAAGAGAGAATAAGCACTGCCAATAAGGCAGAGTGGGCACTGCCCCTCAAATAATGACAAAATCAACAATAATCTATTTCTACTGGCTTTTCTAATGGAGTCCATAAACAAACACCTGTGGGAATACACTCCAAAATGTGTCCACTATCCTCGAAGACTCGAAGGTGTTAAAGAGCGCTGACCCATGAAGAGAGAGAGAGTCAAATAACCCCGTGTGGAAGATAAGGTCAATCAGATGACCTCTTAGAAGAATCAAGGCCAGCTCCCCTGACGGTTACTACAGTAACTCACCTGGAGGGTCTCAATCTGCTTACGGATGCTGTTGTTTGACGGCATCTGGAGCAGGTGAATGTGTGAGAGAAAGAAACCAAAAGAAAAACAAAAAAAACAGACACAAAACAGGAAGTGTGATGGGAGGCAGGGAAAACATGCATGTTAAAAAAGCAAGAACTTAAAACAAATCAGAGCCCACACACACACAAAAAAAAAACAACAAACACTGCAAATGCACTGCAAATCAACTGCAAAAGACATGCAAAACTGTAAATAAGATTTATGAGAATAATTTGTACAGAAATGTTGTGCATCTTCTGCATATTCTGGGGCTGGTCACAATCTGAATACTCGAATATTAGTTTGTTATCTTGTTATTTTACCTCGTTATTTTCTCTATTTAGTATTCGTAAGTTTACAAAAAAATTAGTAGTCTAACACACATTTCATCACTTTTAAAGACTTTTAAATAGAACAGTTAAGGTTAATGTATAGATGATGTTAAAAATAAATAAATTATAGCTCATTTAGTTGAATGCATTTTAAATTAATGGCAGGCAGCAATGTCATTTCTCCTCAAAGCACAACAAACGGAATTGCTTTGCACACGGCCAATGAGACTAAAAGAGCCGTGACAGCCACAAAATCCAAAGTGTGGTAGTTCTTTAAATTATCGGACAACAAGAAAAGTGTGCAATGGAAAAATTACATGACAAGGCATGACAAGTATGTAATACGTAAGTACAGTGATCCATCTGCGCCATAGGTCCATTCTATATGATTTAGCTTCTTTTTTCTCCTTTTCTATAAAAACAGTTTCTCAATTTTAGAATCTTAAATTTATATATTTTTATCACTATTTCTGAGAAGAATTTCCTTCACACATTGTCAGAACAGCACAGGAGCTGTTCTGAAACTACCACACCAAGATCACCACAGTTTAGTAAATTATTATTCTAAATAGACATATATGTGATTTGACTGAATCCCTATGGAACTTACTCTTGTGAAGTGGCGGAAAAAAACAAAAACAAAAAACACAACAGGTCGGAAGGGCTCATGTTCTGATGGACTCAGGATGCATGTCAAGTGCTTTCAGTGTGGACTGAAACAGCGATTACGATGAGTATCCAAAGAACGCCTTCCATTACTCCTTTTAACAGCGAGTCTCAGAACAGTCTACAAGTACTTGTCAGGAAATATCAACGAGTATTCAAAGCGTGTAAAACGCTGTTTGGACCAGCCCCAGCATATTCCATGCTAAGCTATGAACTGACAGACCATGCAAAACCCAAAGCAGCCCAAGAATGAGTTCCCACAAATATTAAAGTGATATTTAATTCTTTTTCAATCCAGCCTATCTGCTGCATCTGTAGCATATGTTCTATTATCACAGACAATAATTTCTGCGTACTTTGAATGGGTAGATGCTACTTGTAACAAAAGCGAATGGGCAGATGTTGCATCTACTGTAGGCTAATTTCTGTTCAGTTAAAAAATACAGTAAAATGCATCAACGTTTTTGTCTATGGTAACTGACTGCATGCTACAGATGCAGCATATAGAGATTCAATGCTGGAATATTCCTTTAAGTAGGGGAAGGGTATGCTCTGATTAGCCAAAGAGATATACCATATTAAATAAAGGTCTAATTAAAGAGAGGCAGAGATGACTAGAAGCAGGGTTAGTATTTTTAAATGCTGGAGGAAGGTGACAACAACATGTTTGGAAGCAGGGTAAGAACACAGCAGTACAGAAGAGGAAGAGTGTGGATCAATTAGGAGAGGAATTATACCCTTATTGAGACTACAAATCCCTTAAGCCACTGAGCTACACAAGTCCTTGCCCACCACTGATGCTAACTGTACTTCAACCCCTCAATTGATAAATTGATTTCATCCACAAACTAAAGAAGAGTTTGGACCTGAATAAAACCAGACTGAATCTGAAAGAGAGGTGAGGTGGGGGGGAGGCCTCACACTGGCAAAGCACGGAGATTGAAGAGCTTTGAAAAATCATTCAATCACCACCAGGGAATCATCAAGAATCAAAAAGCAAAGAATCATACTGAATCTCAATCACAGCACTCATCAATTTTTACACCACAAAATCAATAGGAACATGGAGCAATTCTTCAGTACATCAAAAGGAGGAACAAGGGGGAAAAAAAGGAATCGACTCTTTGCAGGAGATCCACAACATCTACTAAGCAGTCCAGTCATTTTCAGCCTTCAGTCACAGCAAAGAACCCACAGAAAACACAAATGTGTAGACATACCCACACACACAAACACATACCAGCACACAGGTTCACACATGGTGACGCATCGCACATTCATACAGAAACACATTACATAGCTACAAAATATACCATATCTTAGACTGCATCAAAGGGTGGAAACTTTTACAGAAAAGTAGTGTAGTGTTACCCTTTTTGTAAAAATACCATTTTATATTCTAAGCCAGAGGCCATTAATTTTAGTCTTGAGGATGGCCGTTGAGCACAATTTACTGATTTCCTGTTCAAAACACACCCGATTCAACTCAAAAGTTACTTATGTTCAGGAGACTCTGGTCCTCCAGGTCTGAAACTGATGACTCCTGATGTACTTTGAAAAGCTTTGTACACCTTGCGCTGCACAGAGCGATGCGCACACATAAATGCAAAGAAAACTAACGTACAGCTGGTTGAAGAGAGAATTTTGATCGTTTAACTGCTGAAAAGTTCAACACAGAAGGTAAAAGACTCTTTTCTTTTAAGCCTGGGACCTACAAAGCTCCTACTATTTGTCTTTTGTATTACCTGTAGTCTTCCCATGTCAATTAAAAGCTATTAAAGGGTTAAAAGGCTATTAAAAGCAATTTGGTTCCATTTTTACCTGCATCCAGGATGCTAGTCATATGACATACCCACACATACACAATATGGACAAAAGTATTGGGACACCCCTCCTAATTATTGAGTTCAGGTGTTTCAGCCACACCTTTGTTGCAAACAGGTGGATCCAATTAAGCACACAGTCTTGCAGTCTCGATACACAAACACTGGCAGTAGAATGGGTCGTATTGATGAGCACGGTGACTTTAAACACGGTGCTGTCACAGGATGCCACCTCTGTCAGTTTGTGAAATTTCTATCCTGCTAGATCTGCCCCTGTCAACTGTAAGTGCTGTTATTGTGAAATGGAAGCGTCTAGGGGCAACAACAGCTTAGCCACAAAGCGGTAGACCACACAAACTCACAGAGCGGGGCCGCCAAATGCTAAAGCGCAGAGTGCCTATCCTCTGTTGAATCACTCACTAAAGAATTCCAAATTGCCTCTGAAAGCAACATTAACAAAAGAACTGAGTATTAGGAGCTTCACGAAATGGGTTTCCATGTCTGAACCTCAAAACATCAAAATGCACAATAACAAGCGATGGGGGCAGTGATGTAAAGCACTCCACCACTGGACTCTGGAGCAGTGGAAACATATTCTGCAGAGTGAATAATTATCTCTATCTTGCATTCTGATGGACGAGTCTGGTTTTGGCGAATGCCAGGAAAACGTTACCTGCCAGACTGCATTGAGCCAGCTGTAAAGTTTGCTGGAGGAGGGATAATACTATGGGGTTGTTTTCATGGGTTGGCCTAGACCTCTTAGTTCCAGTGAAGGGAAATCTTAATGCCAAGACATTTTGGGCATTGTACGCTTCGAACTTTGTGGGAACAGTGTGGGGAAGGCCCTTTTGCCTTCCAGCATGACTGAGCCCCAGTGCACAAAGCAAGGTCCGTAAAAGGCCTGGCTGGGTGAGTTTGGTGTGAAAGAACTTCACACCAAACACTTTTAGGAATTAGAACAGAGACTGTGAGTCAGACCCATATCCACAGACACACTCCAAATTCTCGTAAAAAGACTTCTCAGAAAAGCGTAAGCTGTTATAGCTGTGAAGTGGGGACCAAGCCCAGGAAATTAATGCCTATGGATTTAGAATGGGATGTCATACAAGCTCCTGTAGGTGTAATGTGTAGGTGTCCCAGTAGTTTTGTCCATATAGTGCACACACACACAACTAACAGACAAAATATTTCTCACTGTGCTCTGCAGACTACATAGTTCTGCATTATAATAAGCTGGGGTGTGAATGTCACTGTGGGCAAACTGGCTGAGGTAGTCTTTCTACAGTGAGCTGACAGGCTATGTTGTACCTTTAGGTGTGAAAGGCAGTTCTGAAGGAAGATGTGCCAGTTATTGAGGAAGAACTGCTTCTGGCTGACACACAGCAAACATGTGACCAGAGGATATAGTGCCTAGAGGGAAGGCGAGAGAGAGAGAGAGAGAGAGAGAGAGAGAGAGAGAGAGAGAGAGAGAGAGAAAAATCAAGTTAGGTAGGGTTCTACTGTCATCATTCTCAAGTCTGAAAGTTTTTCGACAACAGTAATATTTGAACGCAAGAAGAAGTAATTAATTGCACATAAACCCAGAGGGAGGGAGGGAATGAGAGATTCAGTGAGGACTTTACCAGTGAGTGCTTTTTTCTTGAGCTGAGGTCAAAGGTAGTCTGGTAGAGCATCTCCACAAAGTTCTTTAGGCAGGGCACATTCACTTCATTCTTCACCGCCTTCAACATGTTCACACAAACACACACATTCAATACAAACTATCAGGATCAGAGCTCAATTCAGATCTTTAATGAATGAGAGTTTTCCATTAAAAGTGATATCAATAAGCAACAGGGCCCAGTCAATATGAAAATTCTGTGGCTGACACAGAAAAGATTTTAGGGGGCAAAAAATTCTGATAACTGATATTATTGCCTGATATCATGTTATGTTTGTTTTAGATTTCACTCAAGTTGTTACAAGCAATCTAATGCAACAAGCAAACTAACACTCTTGGGCACTGAAAAGACACTGCATGAAAGGAAATTTACTATAAAACTTATATCTACAAATGCCGGCTACTCAAACAGCAGCCTAAAACTGCCAAATCTCTGAACCTGACAAATGTTTCAGGGAAAAACTGTACTGCAAAGCGTATCAGCCTTGTGGCATTTTCATTTACCACAGGAAAAGACAGTGGCTGTGTTTACATACAAAGATTTTTGCCAATCCGATTGTATTCAATTACATTACATAGTAATCCGATGCAAAACGACGCGCATGCGTGGAGTAGCGCTTAGAGTAAACGTTACCATAACAGCGAACATCACGTGAGGTCCAGTCCAAGTGAGATGAGTTTCCAGTTGGCGGTGCTTGTGTTTTTAATTGCTTTAAAATGATGTCAGACTCAGGAAAACGTCCTTCACATGTACTTATTAAAGAAGTTCTAAGACACATAAGCTGGCCGTCCGTCCCACCGCCGTCTTTTAAAGCTCAGAGCATAAACTTTGTCTCCTCTGCAGACCAGTTTCTGCTCTGCCATGTTGAACGCTATAAACTTTCGCTATGACGTGACGCACATGCGCCGAACGTATTTACACGTTCCGATTGGAACGTAATCGGATACAGGCTACATTCACATTACCAGGCTGAAATGGCACAAATCTGATTTTTTTTGTCCTAATGTGACTCTTGGTGATCTGATATTTTCAGGGCTGAGTGGACACACAAATCTGATCTTTTCAAATCTGACCCGAGCCACTTTTATAAGTTGTTCTAGATTGGATATGTATCCAATTCGTGGCCATGCGACCTTAATGTGAACGCTCGGATTGGAATTCATGTGCTTTTTTCCCCACTGCGCGTGCACCATCATTCAGCGTTACCATGGCAGCAGCGCCGAACAGAAGTTAAAGCCTGTAAACAGTGGAAAAGCAGCACGTCATCTTTTTTGCCTTTGTTCCACTCTACTAATGATCAGATGAGAGCTGTTCAGAGTTAATTATCTTCACAGTGAAGGCTCGTTCTACTTGTTAGTTTGTTTGCTGATGCACGTGATTCATTCATGTGACCTTATGTGAGTAGGATGTGCGCAGGCGGGTCATTTCAGGACGCCTGTTCGTTCACATTAATGACAGATTTGAATCACTTACCTAAACAAGCGTGAACCATCGTGTCAGAGAGATCGGATTTGAGCAAAAAAATCTGATTTGAGCAACAAGGCTTGTAACACGAACGTAACCACAGTTAACCAGACAATGCCTCCTATTGTCAAAGCTTTTGCTCTATCATCAGGTGATTGTGAGGTTGAATGGTCAATTACTGGTCAATCATTGTTAATAATGATAGTAATTTGACTGCCCAATCATTCTTGTAGGTCTTTTAGCATTCTTTGGGGGCAGTTAAGAAAATGATTTTAGGTAAAACAGCCTCTGTCATCTAGTGTATGAAGCATCACTGTGTTTCAGGGCACCTGTTTATACTGTGGTTGACATTAGTTGTGAAGTAATCAGTGCTAGGCAGCAGATTGAGCAACCGGGCTAATACATCTCAGGAGCGGGGATGTGGCAATGCAGAGATAAGACTACATATCTGCATCTGGCATTAATAAGACAAATTCTGCGGTACCACTGTGGAATGTGACTCCCACAGTATCAAACATTTTATTTCAACAGCACAGAATCTAGTCAAAGTATGTTTTATAAGGAACATAGGACCATGCACACCATTATAAGCAGTAGGTCTGTTGAGCCAGGTTTTAGTAAACAGGTATGGTCACAGTATGTGATCTATTAAAGAGGCTCTAAGGTACTTACAGCAGCTACAGGGATGAGGATCTCCACAAATAGGCCGGCTAACGCATGCTTTATATCCTTGTCTTTCACTTCCAGGAAATACTGGGCACATTCCTGCACAAACAAATGAGAATACCATTTATAATAAACAACAATCTAATGACAAATTCACAGGGGGGCATGTAATATCATTCCATGACTAACATCCACAGTACAGGATAATCATGCACATACACAAAGAAAGGTGGCAAAATAAAGTCCACTGTAAAAACTGACTCAATAAAAAAGCTCAGAATTACAGGGCTTGTTAAATGCAGCATATATTGAGTGCACATTTTTACTGCCTATATCAGCCTTAATGAAAAAGCATTACTCTGCACTCAGCTTTTGGCACAGAATGGGCAGTGTCTGGCAAGCGGGCGTGAGCACACACACAGTTACTCAAACAGTTTTTATAGGCACAGGTTAAAGGACTGCAGACAAAGAGCATTGTTGAGAACACAATGACAAATTGACCCATATACAATACACCAGCAACTATACACAAAAAATAAAGGAATAAAAGAAATAAAAAAAGAGAAGAGGACAGAAGAGAGCAAAAAATTAGAGAAGAGCAGAGAAGAGACGAGCAGAGAAGAGCAGAGCGGAGAAAAGAAGAGACAAGATGAGCAGAACAGAGCAGAGAAGAGAAGAGACGAGCAGAGAAGAGAAGAGACGAGCAGAGAAGAGAAGAGACGAGACAAGCAGAGAAGAGACGAGACGAGACGAGCAGAGAAGAGAAGAGACGAGACGAGACAAGCAGAGAAGAGACGAGCAGAGAAGAGCAGAGCAGAGAAAAGAAGAGACAAGATGAGCAGAACAGAGCAGAGAAGAGAAGAGACGAGCAGAGAAGAGAAGAGACGAGACGAGACAAGCAGAGAAGAGACGAGACGAGCAGAGAAGAGAAGAGACGAGACGAGACGAGCAGAGAAGAGAAGAGAAGAGAAGAGAAGAGCAGAGCAGAGGAGAGATCTAGGAAAGCATGCTTCAAATGCTTCAAGACTGAACATCAAAACCTCCTGCATGTGAGTTTCTGTATATTCTGTGCCCCAACCTGCATGAACTGGAAGGAAGCCTCAAAGTCTTCCACTGGATACATTTTGACTCTGAAGAACTTCATGCCCATGATGAGGCTGATGATGCTCTGCACCACATGAGGACTCTGCTCCTTCTGCCGCAGCTCCTTCAGTTCTGTGATAAACTTTTTACGGACTGCCTGGAACCTGCAACAAGACAAAACACACAGCATGGTTGAGTCTTTTTAATGTTTGTAGAAACTGGTTAATTAACAGTTTCTTTAAGAGGTATGCCACTTGTATGTAGAGATGCCACAAGGTCTGATACCCAGTATCAGCGTCAGGTTGATACCAACTAAAAAGCTGGAACAGATATCGGAGAAAACAAAAAAAGGAATCTGATTCTATTCTGCAACAAATCTAGCCTGAAATATCACTGAAATGCTTGTAACATATGTTACATAATGTAAAGTATACCACATAATATAAAGTAAAGCAAGTCACAACAGCAATGTTAAAATCTAAGTACACAATAATTACAAATCATTTAATTTAAAAATTAATTTGCACTGTAATTGATGTTATCTTTGAGAATACTTTTTAAAAATGATTTAGTTTTCAACAATTGCTGTTTTTGCACCCTGTGGTAAATAAGTCTTTCAAACCTGATACGCTTTGTCGTATGTATGTAGTTTTCTTCAGCATGTTTTTGGATCTTAATTATGAGACAAGTAAAGAGTCAAAATATGAACACTGCTGCATGCAAGCTAATGCTGCTGCGCACTGAAATGACATTATGACTGAGCCACCTCACCAAAATACCCCACACAAACCAGCAAGCGTGGTAGTTAAGCTGCTCTGGCATGTGTGGTCTACCGTTTGAGTAGATAGTAGTGTTATAAAAGAGCTGAACTTCAATAGAAAACCTTTTACTTATTTTCTTCCACAGAGATAAACTCTTCAGACCCAGCGGTCCTAAGGTGGGCATGACGGCAACTAGAAAATAACGCACTACTTCACAGGATGCTCACAAGTTAGAGTAAAGCTTGGTAGTTCTTAAAGAATTGATATCATTATCAGCTAATACCCAAGGTTTTGGCCATCACATGGGTAAAGAAAAAGTGGCACTGTGCCAGCTGTACTGGTATGTCTAACCAAAGCAAAGCAAGTCTGAGACGACACACAGGCCTAAATCACACCCACTCTTTAGTCCCGCACTCATTCTAATGCAGAACTCGACAAACACCAGGGGCTTCAAGTAATTTCATTATCATTATTACATAATGTACTGTCCTCATTCTAAGCTAAAGTACTTTCAACACAGGAAACGGCTAACGGAAAGGGAGAGTGAATTCGTATGGTAAATCAGTTTCTATCAATGACTATTACAGCGCTAGGTTCAATTAGATTAGGGTTTGAACAGGCTATGTTGTGTATCTGTGTGTTGGAGTGTTAGCATGCATTCAGGCTGAGTTATGGGAACTGTAAATGTGTCTGGAGCTGCTTTAAATCACTTAAGGCCCTGTGCTTAGCTAAGAATCTGACAGTGTGATGGATTCACCAGTGTGAGGAGCAGCGTAAAGACTGACTGCTTTGTTAGCCCTGCATGAGCATTAAATTGAATCTGAATGTTCTTCAGGAATAAACGGAGCAACTACCATTTGCACTGAAATTCAGACTGCAGTTTAAAATGAGATGCCAACACTGAAAAAACAATTAGCAGAAATTAACAACGTCAACAAGACAAAATGCAATTAAAGTTGTGAACTGAGTCCTGGATTTAAACAGTGCTGAAGCTAAAATGGAGCTATGCAATGCAAAGTTGGGGGAAAAAACCTAAAGGCAGATTGAAAAAAGTTTTACTCAGGGAACTGGAAAGAAATCCTGACTCACTTGGACTGGGCGAGGACTCCGATGACCTCAGCAAATAGATCTGCAATGATGTGCACGTTGCCAGTGTTGGGACCAGAGTACCTGTCGGACACAAACAAACACAACAAAAAACAAGCTCAGCGATTAAGATATGCCGACAAGCACAGTGATTAAGATATATGTGCGGTCTTTGGAGTCAGTGAAGGTCGTCTACCATCACAGTGCTCAAAAGCAGTCGTGGGACACTCTCTAAATGCAATTTATATGTTTAGATAATTCATTACTTCCCAAGATAAACTAATAAGAGTCATTTACTTATTCATATCCATCAGAAAAGTTATCATAACCAGTAATACTGACCAGGTTCACTAACTGAAACTGGCAATCCCAGAAATTAAATAAAAATTAAGTAAGGCATTTAAAAAAATGTAACATTAGTGGGACAGATATTAGTTCCTCTGTCTTTTATGTAGGTCAGTAGTTAGTATTTTATTTAGGTTAGTATTTTGTTGCCTAAGCTTTTTTCTGGATGACACTGTTGGATTTTTTCTTTTGGCTGGCCAGAGTGCAGCAGGTTCTGGACACTGTCTCTTTCCATCACTTCAGTACATTTTTCACTCTTGATTTGAACTTTCAGCATATCTGTAAATATCCTCACAGACATTTTATTCCAAAAGCTGCTGTATTTTATGTCAGACTAATTCAACTCAATATTCAAGTTTCCTAACTTTCTCTATCTTTCAGAATGTTAATGAAATTTAAAGTTAGGTGTGCTAGACGGTACGCTGGAGATCTGGTTTGAACACATGGGCATTTGGAGTAGTGTCTCAGCATTTGTTTTGAAGTAAATTGTGAGGTAAGGTGAATGTTTTCGAGCTTGGTATTGCTCAGTTGAACTCCAAGAATTGAAAGATAAGTCATAACAGCTGTCATTAAAAGGTCATAATATTATGTACTGTTCAATACTGTAAATCATTCTATAATTGATTCATTCTATAAAACACATGATGATAGAAGCATCCCAAAACTAATTCTGAGCACTGTATGCTAAGCTGGCCTTTAGAATTTTGTCAGTTAAATTCCCATAGGCTATGTACACGTCTGTGCTGCTGCACTTCCAGGCACTGAATTTTTTATCACTCTGATGGGAAACGTTTTGAAGCACTTAGTCCTTTAGAGGAAGATTTAGTTGCTGGAATGAAAGAAAATCAAGCATCATGTCTATAAAAGTTATTTTAGAGTTCTGTTTGACGCATTTAGTAACTAGTAAATTAGATATCCTCACACTTTAGCAGACACATACCACTTTGTTTCACATGGCTCTGTTTTTTTTTTATATCACCATTTTAAAAACTGCCTGCTCCTACCCTTCACACACACATAAGGATCTGTAGTTGGTCATCTTTCATGTCAGTGAAAAAAAAAAAGTACTCAAAGTACTCAGGTCTTAGTCCTTAGACCAAAACTTATCATTCGATAAATTCACTCACAGAAAAAGTCGCTTTGGTGTTGTGTGCATGTGCCACTACTTACCCCTCTTTGTGTTTAAAGTGCTTAAATGCCAGGTTAAGGACTTCATGGACTAATGCATCTGGCACAGGATGAAGAGGAATCTAAAGGGGGAAAAAGATCATGCACAGAAATCTAAATTGTATTCTGTGAAATTTGAAATTTGCTTAAAGGGACTTGGCAACCCAAACACAAACTTGTGCCTCATTTTCAAAAATACAGTGAAGTTTTCTCTCAAATATACACAAACAGACCTTACCTGTTTCAAAACTTCTACTGAAACTAAACAAAAAATGAAGTCTATGGCTAAGTCCCTCCTCTCCAGTAGGTAGTCTTTATCCCGATGCTGTTCATCCCTGGAGTGGTAAAGGAAAGAGCAGAAGAAAAAAAAGTGGTAATATAAGTTTACATCAATTTTTTTTATCTTATTCATAAAGTGATTCTCTCTAAAGTGTAAAGACACATAATAAGACATGTAATTTTGGAACGGCAGGATGTATTTGTTCACCCTTTGGACTTGGTGCTGGATCTGGGTCTGTATTCGTAGGACTCGTCCTCCGTGCCGCTCTGTCTCCGGTACCAGTCAAACAGCGTCCGCAACAGCGAGGGCAAACAATGTTCCGCTATTGAGCTCATAGAGCTTATTAACTAAAACACACACACACACACACACACACACACACACACACACATATGCCTTTACTACTGAGGGGTAAAGAAATATTCTTGCTTTTTAGGTTCAGCACAATTTCTTCAATATTGTTACTGTCCAAAAAAATAAAAAATAAAAAAAAACAAGTCTCTCCAAAATGGTACGTTTACTGGAGAAGGCAAACCCCTTCTTTACTCTCAATGTAAGTTAATGTAAGAAACATTTATTTCTAAGCACTTTTTGAGTGAAATTTTTACACAATGTAAATGACAGCTGCTTTGTTCAAATTACGCAGGAAAAAAAAAAATCACAAAAAAATGGAGACTTATTTTTTTGGACAGTGACAATACGCAGCAAACAGAAGCTCAAAAGTTGATGTTTTATTACACTTAAATAGCAGAACAATTCAAGTACATACAGAACAAAACAAACAAGCAGAAGAATTCTTTAAACATACTGGCATCATGATAGTAAAGAAGCTCTGTTACACAAAGTGACATCAGTGACATAACTCCAGCAATCTGGACTGGAATGTGCACCAATAATGACATTAAACTGAGCAACAAAACAAAAACATCTGAAATGAAGAATGAGGGAGGAGAGAGAGAAAGAGGCGGGCGGGGAGAATGTTTTTGTTACATTATTTCAACTCACTATTCAAGTTTTCTAATGTTCATGAAATTTAGAAACAGAGAAAAGAGAGAGAGAGAGAGAGAGAGAGAGAGAGAGAGAGAGAGAGAGAGACAGACAAAGTGAGCAGTTAAGTGCAGGCACTATTGATTTGTCCTATTGGGAATGAAGATCTCTGCAGTAACCCAGCACCTAAAACAAACACACACCAAAAATATATGCAGCTTAAGTAGATAACAGACTAACAGTAGTACTAAAGTGCAGGAGATGGTTGACTATAATGTAATAATGGACTATTTGATTATGTTCTGCAGTGAGAGCCTCCTACAACAGTGACAGATCTTCAGTCACATTCACTGGCTAAACACAGAACTACTTCAGCTACAGGAGATAAATTTACTGCATTTTTCCTCTCTCAAAATTGGTTCTGATATATTTTTTCAACTCTACTACTGTTTCATAGCACATTAACATAAATATTAGGGCTGTCAAAGTTAATGGGTTAGTAAGACGTTAACATGAGAAACTCTTAACACAACTTAACTTTTTGAACACAGCTAAAACCCTTCAAACCATCCATCAGCAGCCGTACAAGTGCTGTATGTTGCTAAGATATAATGAGTGACTGTAAAACTCTCATTCAAAATCAGTTTTTAAAGGAATGCCTTCGACACACTGTGGACAATGCTCGCAGGAGACCATGGACAAATCCTATGGACCTATGCACAAAACTAACGAATGCAATAGTGAAGCTGAAAGCTCCAGATCCCTCAGACCCCAACATAACAAGAATCCATAAACCGTATGAAGAACAATCCAGAAACGTGGAGGAGCTGGAACCACCGACATATATGACTGGAACATGCAGCTACTGTTGCTCTCACTCAGTGTTCATGATGAAAAGAGAAAACTGTTCACCCTACAAAATTCACGAGTCCACATGATGAAAATAACACTACTGGATTTCGTCCACTCACACAGTTGTAACAAAAGGCACAACAATCTTTCTTTAGAGTCAAATTTGAGCAAATAAGACTAATGCGATTAATCTTGATTAACTACACGAAATAACGTGATTAATTATAATACTTTATTTTAATCACTTGACAGCCCTAATAAAAGAACAGGGGTGGCTGATTTTTGTCTTGAAGGGCCAAGGGCCAAAAAAATGGTAGGCATGTACAAATTAAGATTTGAGAGATGTATTTTACATTAAACTATATTTTATTCCAAAAATTCTCCAAAAATACAATTTTAAAGGAAAATAAGAACTTATCCAGTACATATAGTACACTGGAAAGGTGGAGCGGTTAGGGTGACCTTCTGGTGAGCCAAATCAAACATCCTCACAGGCCAACTTTGCCCAGCATGCACAAAACCTGGCATAGTAGTAGGTTTATACAAATGTCGGACAAGTATCTAATCTGTTTAATAACATTACTGATACCGATCCACTAGATACTAATCCAATATATTGGAATGGTGTATGTGTGTGTGTGTGTGTGTGTGTGTGTGTGCGCGTGTGTGCGTGTGTGCGTGTGTGCGTGCGTGTGTGCGCAAGAAAGAATGAGAGCCGCTTAGTGAAGTATTTCATCTTAAAGGCAGATTTGGATATAGGTTTATCTGTAATATCAGGATAATATTTGCATAAGTGTCTAAGATATGGTGGCAGCTAGGGACAATCAAGTGTGTGTGTGTGTGTGTGTGTGTGTATGTATGTGTGTGTGTGTGTGTGTGTGAGAGAGAGAGAGGGAGGGAGAGAGAGAGTTTCAGAAAGAGAATGTGTGTGTATGAGTGTGTGTGAGTGTGTGGCAGAGTGATGAATGCTGCTGAAGAGAGTTATGTAACTGCTCTCTCTGCCCTCCTCGCGCTGGGCCGACACACTCCAACACCCCACGCTGATATACTGCTGAGGATGACGCAGCGATTACACACACACACACACACACACACACACACACACACACACACACACACACACACACACACAGGATACCTAATCTCATGGTACATGCCTGCAGACTTACCGTACAAAACACATATATCAATCCTGTTTTCTCTATGCAAACAAATGCTTAGAAGCTCTCTCTCTCTCTCTCTCTCTCTGATGTAAACACACATACACACTTCATGCAAAAGTACACACAATAAACCAAACACAAACCACACAGACCTTCTTCCTATACACATACTGCACATGTGCCTAAGAGGTGAGAACCATGGCGGTGTGGGGTCTCTTTAGCTTTGCGTTGTGCTGAGCAAAGCTGTCTGCTGCTGCTCCTTTGTTAGGAGTTTAACAGCAATGACTTCTGACTACTGACTGATACTCTAACAGACAGAGAGGGCCACTGACAAAGAAAGAGAAACAGAGAGAGAAAGAACAGAAGAAAGAAGAGAAAGAGAGAGAGAGAGAGAGAGAACGAGATGGAAACAGACAAAAGGCAGAGAAGAGGGGGGAGAAGGGATGAGAGAGATAGACAGGGCAGGGGGAGAGAGAAGAGAGAGAGAGAGCGTGAGCGAGCAGGTGCCACACCACCTTCATGCATACACACCAAAACTCACCTGATCAAACTGTGCATCTTCCCCTCTCTGCAGAGATCTGGATAAAGTCTTCTCCTAAAAAACAAAACAGAGAGAAAACAGTAATTATGGGACTGGACTTCTAGTACTGGACACTGGTACATTAAGCACTTCTTAGCTTTATGCTCTCAAACAAAACAGTCCACTTATAATGAGCCCTCCAGTATTATTAACTACTAAAATGAGTAGTTAATAGATAGATAGACATACAGACAGACAGACAAATCCACCATCTACTGTCTGGTTGATGGCTTTAGCTCTGCTAACTCTGGTCACCTGCTCTGGTTATTTCTGAAACTCCTAGACTGCTACAGCGCACAGTGCCACTGTCATGAACTACTACACATACGGATATAAAACACAGTACTATGCAAAAGTCTTAAGCATTTGAGAAAACGATACATATTCATTAGGATAAAAAACAAACAAACAATTATAATAATACATTGTGATATGATGTGTGTCAGTATGTTATTTCCAAAGCTATTTCTGTATTTACAAATATCACCCAATACCAGCTTCAACTGATCAATCCTTCATAAAATGAAATCAGGTGCTGCTGCTGGAATTCAACAAATCCACGTGATGGTTGGAGGGCAGCGAGAAGTCCTGTGCTCTTTTTCTAACCAACATAGAAATTACTTTCTAAAACTAAAATGTCTTATGTTTTGCTGTATTTATATTCATTTGTATTTCTTCTAGGGCAGCACGGTGGCGCAGTGGGTTCGACTCCCGGCTGGGCGACCAGGGTCATTTCTGTGTGGAGTTTGCCTGTTCTCCCCGTGTCTGCGTGGGTTTCCTCCGGGTACTCCGGTTTCCTCCCACAGTCCAAAACATGCAGTTAAGCTAATTGGACATGCTGAATTGCCCCTAGGTGTGTGTGTGAATGTGTATGTCTGTCTGTCTGCCCTGCGATGGACTGGCGACCTGTCCAGGGTGTATCCTGCCTTCCGCCCAATGACAGCTGGGATAGGCTCCAGCACCCCACCGCGAACCAGAAGGATAAGCGGTTTAGATGATGTATGTATGTATGTGTGTATGTATTTCTTCTAATGTTACACAGGGGTTTTGCTGGCAAAAACATACTAATTAGACAAGCAGTTTTCAACAGCTTTGATAGCTGCTTAAGACTTTCACACAGAACTGTACAATAATTTAATGCAAAGCATAATACGATATTAAGCATGTGCATCACTAACTGTACCATGATAAACCACGTTGTTATACAAAGCAGTGCACAAAGCGGAGTATAAACCAACCTCGAAAGGCTTACTGCTTTTATAAAACTGCAATATACATGATGTAACAACGTTACATGTAACAATGCAATGGTTAAAATGATTTCATGAAGAGCAAAAAGGTTTTTAATAATTTGTAGTGCAATAATACAGAATTTAGCAGAGGTGTGTGGGTTTTTTTGGTGTCTCTGAACATGGTTCAACCAATCAGATTCTAGAAGCAGAAATATTCCTTTTGTAAATGTATTTTTTTTGAAGAACAAATATATTTCATCACCCTGACTCACGGTGCACAACCCCCAAATCACACATTTATCTGAGCTGTACTGACCAGCGGCTCAGCCATGACCACCTCGATCTTCTTCTCGGCGAGCACAGCGAACTCGGCGAAGAGGCTCTTGATGACAAACTCGCCAGGTTTGGCCTCGGGGTCGATGGTGATGCTGGACATGGCTGCGGCCTGGGCGCTGCGCTTCTCCCAGCTGAGCGGGGCTGACGGGGCTGCACGGCGTCTACTTAGACTGCTGCTGCTCACCGGGACAGAGGCTGCGCAAAAAAAGAGACAGAGATGAGGTCAGTTCCTGTCATTCATCGATGAATGCAACTCTGCAAACGAGCGAAGAGCTGGTGCTGGACCTACTACTGCTGTGTATCGGTGTCTGAACAATATGAAAATGTTGACGATACTTCTACTAAGGAGCTCAAAATTCCAATGGTCAATTATATCAGGCTGAGAGTTTTTTGTGCTTAAAATTATCCTCACGATCAAAACTTAAAACAGATGATAGTTCAAACAGTGACAATCTATACTGTGAGCAAGTGTCTGCTGTCAAATGCGATTTGCCAGTTCTTAACTGCCACGTTTCTTAAACTCAAGTAAACACCAGAAACTCCTCCAAAACCAGAATAATTTAAAAACTAAAGTGCCAATGTAACAAAAATAGCTGATAGCTTCAAAAGCTGGAGGATTTAGCTTTAACTCACATGCGCAGAATGTGTAACTATACATATGACTACAGAAACAGTGAAGCTCATCTGTGTAGTGGTGCACCTAAACATGTGAATATGAACCTGAGAATTTCTGTACAATTACTTTGCCTGTTTTTATCTTTTCAGCAGGGCTGAATAACAAATTCAGTAACAGAGAAGTACATTTATAAACATGATTTTTTTTTTTTAAGAGAACTGCCTCAGTCATTCAAAAGCAAAAGGTAACCTTTTAGCCACATCTCAGTCCTGTCTGTGGCTGGTTAAGGCACCTTTGGCCATCTGAGCTACTAAATGCACATAAACATTGATGTAGTTTGTGACCACAGTAACATGAAACAAATGCTTGTACAGAGTAAATCAACTCCAAACATTCATAATTCAAAAGGAACCGGTAATGCCACGTTTAAAAAATTACTATAAAAACTAAGTACAACTAACGTTTCACACACTGAACTAAATCCAATTCTACAAGCCTAATTATCCCAAACCTGCAGTTGGTCAGTGTTCTTTAAGTCCTCACGATATGCTCAGAAAAGCATACTGTGATGTAATTTATCACAATAACAATATTGTCATCAGGGCCTGAATTTGAGTACGGGGTGCGAACATGGACCGCTGGCTAAAACGTAAATCTACATCATCTGATGTGGAACCTGTTTAGAAAAAACTCTCAAAAACTCACCAAAACCTGAAAGGGGCTAGCGCAAACAGCAGTGCTAGAGACGTCAGCGTTAACGATATTAATCCTCAGGATCCTCAGTCAGGTAACAGTAACGTTAGCAAGGTGACTAGTCCATAGACAAGTTTCAGACTGGCTCAGAATATATTCGTGGCTCGAACTGAACAACGGTGAAATGAGCTGCTTGATACGTAAAATGTACAGTGCTGCGCCTTTTACCAGTCGATGTTACAAAAGGTCAACTTTAAGGCGGCAAAAAGCTTTACTGGAGAAGGTGGGACCTATATTTAAGCTCACAAGTGGTGTCCCCCCACCCACCCCCAAAACTGTTTAAATACCCCCTATGTGAAACATTTAGGAGGGGAATTCCCCTGTCCATTTTGAAAAATTAATTTCAGGCCCTGGTCATATTGCCCAGCCCTAGAAATTGCGACCTCTGGTTCCTAATGCCACCACTGTAAAGAAATCAGAGTCTGTAAGTTTCTCAACAACGAACCATTTCACATCTAACCACTCTAAATGACTGTTTACATCTCAATGACTGATCCTATACAGAGAACAGACGTCTGCACAGTTTAATGAACGATTACTGTTTATTTGCTGAATTTAACATATTTGAAAAATGAAACATAAAATGCTAAGGTATGATTTCATATTTTATGTTTTGTTTCCACAGTATGTTAAACTCAAATTAATTATGCACTACAATTTGCAGAAAAATCCCACATTTAAGTTTGTTCCCTGTAGAGGACGTGATCACGTATTCTCACCTAGAAAACCAATAAAAGTGTAATTTGACTGGGGGTGTTCAAAATAAGTGTGAGGTCATAGTTTGTCCATGCTGGAAGAGGACTGCAATGACTTAGATTAGACACGTGCAGAAATAAAGCAGCAATAAAACAGATCAAATCAGGTCAAATCCCAACCCTGAAGATGCAAAATTTAGTCAGCATTCACTATCCCACAGTCGCTCAGCCTGTTAGCCCTGCAGATTTACTCTTGGAAGACACCTCAGCAGCAAATTCCTCCGCATTCCCATACTGTACATCTGTGTGTGCATGAGTGTTGATCTGAGTGTTGTTCTGCTGTGTTTGCTTCCATAGAAACAGGTGAAAAACAACTCTTTCTCTTTGAAAGACATTATTTCAGGCATGCGCCATTTCCTGCTTCCTAAGTGTGCGAGCACACACATTCTCTGAAGAGGAAAAAAAAAAAAAGGGTGGAGAAACCTGTCAATCACAGTGAATTCGGGTAAACTTTGTTCTAAAAGTAAGACTTTTTATTTAATGAAGCTTCTGGTTCACAAAAGACAGCAGCACCCAATAGGCAGTAATTCTGTATTACTTACTCTCTCCACTTTCCTACTTTCACCGTTTCCCCCTACTGGCTTATCTGCGTCTCACAACATCTCCATTTCGCTGTGAACGAGCTACAAAACTGAAACCCCTGAAGAGGTGAGAACCTGATCAGATCACAGAATTAGAGCAAGGCTCTGAAATCTGAGGGACTGGAAATGCTGAGCATGTGTGTGTGTGAGCGTGAGAGACCCAGAGAGAGCGCAGAGAGCGTCACATGTCTAACACTCCCCTTAATTCAGGAAATCCCTGTCCTCTTCTGCCTTCGGTTGCTGGGGAAATCGTGATAAGTCCAGAAAAGTCCAAACAATGAGAGGAGGCTGAAGAAAAAGCTGTAAAGGTTTATGAGTTTTTCGGAAGAGGAAAGCAGAAGGGATCACACCCAGCAACTCAAACATAACATCAAACACGCAAAAGCAAGAACACAAACACACCCGCGACTCGACAGGCCTCTCGCCGAACGCTCAGCAGGAGCGGATGACACAGTGAGCGTGCTCGGCAGAAACGTGTTCCTCGCGGAGAGCACCGGTTTGCAGACCCGTGCCATGTTTAACCACGAACGCTTCGTTCTGATTCACCACAAGCGGGACTGCATTAACTACAGTCATTTGCAATTAGCACCTTCCAGAGGGCAAATCATGATAATGATTAATAGACTATTAATTGTGTAGCCCTGGTATGCGACAGTGTTTATCAGCTGGTCAGAAGAACACTCATTCTTTGTTTACGGAGTACCAGCAGCCTCCTCCACCCATATGATGTCACATAGCCAGCCCACAGCGGCCAATCGAATCAGCGTGCCTCCTTGCCCTTCGTCGTCTGTCTACTGGCACAGCTGACTGGCGTGGTCTGGAGAAAAACTCACATTGTACTTTTCCACTCAACAAGACAGAGTGGGAGAGAAAATATACGAGAAAAAAAGTCGGTCTCTCTGGCCGAGTCTCAGTCTTTTGTCGCATGTTTGTGATGTTTGCTTGAGCTGCATTGCTGAACCCACAGCACACATTACAGAGAGAGAGGTGGAGAGAGAGAGAGAGGCAAAGAGAGATGGGCAGAGAGACAGAATGAAGTACACAGACAGAGAGAGCAGACACACAAAGAGGCAGAGAGAGAGAGAGAGAGAGAGAGAGAGAGAGAGAGAGAGAGAGAGAGAGAAAGAGAGAGAGAGCTTTATGGAATACACTGTTGGTTGTTCTTCCTTTTTTAGGGAATGAGTCAATGCATGATGAAATCTCATTTCACCACACTAACAATAACAACAAACCCCAGCTTTTTTCTAGAATTTGTATTTTTAAAAATAGTAAGATGACTTATTTTTTTACCAAGAAATGATTGCATGTTTTATTTATTTTTTTAAAAAGTTTAACATTTTGAAATCAATGCTGTGAAATTGGCTCATCATGAGGCAATTTACACATCTTGTGTGTGTGTGTGTGTGTGTGTGTGTGTGTGTGTGTGTGTGTGTGTGTGTCTCTGTTTCTTGCTCAACTGCAGTTTCTTATCTGCTTAGCCCAGTTTCACAAAATCGAAAACATCCTCTTTTAAATAAAGGTAACAGAAAGCGTTGTTTGGATTGATGCCATAGAAGAACCACTTCTGGTTCCCAAAAACTTTCAACGGAGGCTCTTAAGAAAACCATTTCTGTAAATGATGTGTGAGTGTGAAAAATTGTGTGAACGTTACTGAAAGCTTTAGATGATTAGTCATCCTCAAACGTCTCTTTTTCAAACCTGGTTCTTCCGGGAACCAAAAGTGGTTCTTCTATGGCATTGCTTAAAAAAAGTACTACTAGGGTAATAGAATAAAGAGTAACACTTTACTGTAGGGTACTGTTCATAAGGCTTAATGACACTGACGTAAGCCTGTCATGACATCTGACATAACCCTACATAAATGTTTATAAATGCTTATTCCAGTAGGCGTAATAATATTATAAAGTTATATTATAAAGGCTACATTTGCCAGTTTAAATCAAACTTAGCCAAAGTAGTCTTTATGATAGATGACGCCTGTAGAGATAAGCATTTGTAAACATTTATGTAGGGTAAGGTCAGTTGTCATGACACACTTATGTAGGTGTCATGTAGCCTTATGAACAGTGCTCTCAAATAAAGAGGTCTGATTGTGTACTTTCTGTAGTTTCTGAAAAATGATTCATTATTTGTTGAAAGCTGGATTTCAAGCTGAGGTAAAGTGCCAGTCAGCAGACCAGCCTTTCAGTATCAGCACTGTTTCCAGTTTTATTTCACTGAGTCAGAAGGCAAAAAGCCAGTTTATCACTCAAATAAGTACATGTCCAAGTTTGTCTACATAAATGGGTGTAAAAATGAGATATCCTGTGTATCCATCAGCTGACGTGCCTCAAAACACAGTAGCAAGTTTTTGAGAATATCGCAACTGTTGGCAGATCTCGCTCATGTCGACGAACAACGTTGCCAACGTAAACGAACTGCAATGACTGATAAGAATTTATTTCACAACCGGTACACAAAACAAAAGTGAAAGTGGGAGTGAATCAGGTG